CTTGGGTCAAATGTTTTGGGTAGACTTCCACAAGCTTCCCACAATAAGTTGGGTGAATTTTGGCCCATTCCTCCTGACAGAGCTGGTGCAACTGAGTCTGGTTTGTAGGCTTCCTTGCTCGCACACGCTTTTTCATTTCTGCCCACAAATGTTCTATAGGACTGAGGTCAGGGCTTTGTGATGGCCACTCCAATACCTTTACTTTGTTGTCCTTAAGCCATTTTGCCACAACTTTGGAAGTATGCTTGGGGTCATTGTCCATTTGGAAGACCCATTTGCGACCAAGCTTTAACTTCCTGACTGATGTCTTGAGATGTTGCTTCAATATATCCACATCATTATCCTTCCTCATGATGCCATCTATTTTGTGAAGTGCACCAGTCCCTCCTGCAGCAAAGCACCCCCACAGCATGATGCTGCCACCCTGTGCTTCACGGTTGGGATGGTGTTCTTTGGCTTGCAAGCTGTCCCCTTTTTCCTCCAAACATAACGATGGTCATTATGGCCAAACAGTTCTATTTTTGTTTCATCAGACCAGAGGACATTTCTCCAAAAAGTACGATCTTTGTCCCCATGTGCAGTTGCAAACCGTAGTCTGGCTTTTTTATGGCGGTTTTGGAGCAGTGGCTTCTTCCTTGCTGAGCGGCATTTCAGGTTATGTTGATATAGGACTCGTTTCACTGTGGATATAGATACTTTTGTACCTGTTTCCTCCAGCATCTTCACAAGGTCCTTTGCTGTTGTTCTGGGATTGATTTGCACTTTTCGTACCAAAGTACATTAATCTCTAGGAGACAGAACGCGTCTGCTTCCTGAGCGATATGACGGCTGCGTGGACCCATGGTGTTTATACTTGGGTACTATTGTTTGTACAGATGAACGTGGTACCTTCAGGCGTTTGGAAATTGCTTCCAAGGATGAACCAGACTTGTGGAGGTCTTGGCTGATTTCTTTTGATTTTCCCATGATGTCAAGCAAAGAGGCACTGAGTTTCAAGGTAGGCCTTGAAATACATCCACAGGTACACCTCCAATTAACTCAAATGATGTCAATTAGCCTATCAGAAGCTTCTAAAGCCATGACATCATTTTCTGCTATTATCCAAGCTGTTTAAAGGCACAGTCAACTTAGTGTATGTAAACTTCTGACCCACTGGAATTGTGATACAGTGAATTATAAGTGAAATAATCTGTCTGTAAACAATTGTTGGAAAAATTCCTTGTGTTATGCACAAAGTAGATGTCCTAACCGACTTGCCAAAACTATAGTTGGTTAACAAGAAATGTGTGCAGTGGTTGAAAAACGAGTTTTAATGACTCCAACCTAAGTGTATGTAAACTTCCGACTTCAACTGTATGTCTATATATAGTTCTCTGTTTTAGGAACATCTACCCAATATATTTCAAATTTTTTACTACTTTACCAAACATACTATATCATGACATTAGTGATAGTCAAAATCTGTAAAATCTGTGACGTCTAAACAACATTTGGCCCATTTAAGGGGAGAAGGGCTATGTAAAGTCTCGATTTTGTCATTCTGAGCATATGCAATGTGTCTGCCTCCGACGTAAAACAAATGTTTGACTTCCACACAAAATTACTTCTTTACTTATTTTAGGTTTAAGGAAGTGTGTAGGTCGCATTCTTTATCGTAGACCTATGAAAGTTATGTATTTAGATCCGCCTGCTCGAGACAAATTCTGCGATTGCTCTGCCATGTCTGTGCCGTGAAGCAGTCGAGCTGAATACATTTTTTTCTAAGGACCGCCCCTTTGATGTAATTTTGCACAAGTGATATAAATGTATGTAATGATGCAGCCGACCAACAGAGGGAGGTAAATACACATTTATTCGACAGAGGACTTTGACATGGTCATAGGAAGGATGGCTTTCTTCTGACTTATAAAATGGTGGGAAATCAATGAAATAAGTCATGTAAACATATACATATTTTTTTAAGTAATTCTAGTGCCCGATTTCAGGGACTGTCAGCTTAAGAGGTTTTACCCTGTTGAAATGTCGAATGTCAATTGATAGTGACAGAATCACACATTATGTCCCAAGCAAAGACCATTTTTTTGTCTCCTTTGCTATAAAAGTTTGTAGCGCAGCCTCTGAATATAATAGACAAACCAAAGTTATTCCATATGCATCAGTCACGTCTTTCACCAGAATTTTACAGCTTGTTTTTAGCATTGTGGACTAAAGCTTCGCTATTGATCGCTTTATATAATCAGTTCCATTAAAAATAATTATACATCTTTAGCTAACAAGGGGTAGGCCTATGCTTTTAGCCATTTTCTTTAACAAAAGCCACAATACCCTCACATACCTCCTCAATTCGAGCCCTGGTTTAACTTAACACACAAGCTCTTCACTGACACTGATATACAGTGCATTCGGAAAGTATTCAGACCCCTTGACTTTTTCCACATTTTGTTACGTTACAGCCTTATTCTAAAATTGATTAAATTGTTTTTTTCCCTCATCAATCTACACACAATACCCCATAATTACAAAGCAAAAACAGGTTTTAAGAAATGTTAGCAGTTATTAAAAATCAAAGGCTGAAATATCACATTTACATAAGTATTCAGACCCTTTACTCAGTACTTTGTTGAAGCACCTTTGGCAGCGATGACAGCCTCGAGTCTTCTTGGGTATGATGCTACAAGCTTGGCACACCTGTATTTGGGGATTTTCTCCTATTCTTCTCTGAGATCCTCTCAAGGTCTGTCAGGTTGGATGGGGAGCGTCGCTGCACAGCTATTTTCAGGTCTCTCCAGAGATGTTAGATCGGGTTCAAGTCCAGGTTCTGGCTGGGCCACTCAAGGACATTCAGAGACTTGTACCGAAGCCACTCCTGCATTGTCTTGGCTGTGTGCTTAGAGTTGTTGTCCAGTCTGAGGTCCTGAGCTCTCAGGAGCAGGTTTTCATCAAGGATCTCTCTGTACTTTTCTCCGTTCATCTTTCCCTCGATCCTGACTAGTCTCCCAGTCCCCACAGCATGATGCTGCCACCACAATGCTTCACCAAAGGGATAGTGCCAGGTTTCCTCCAGATGTGATGCTTGGCATTCAGGCCAAAGAGTTCAATCTTGGTTTCATCAGACCAGAGAATCTTGTTTCCCATGGTCTGAGAGTCTTTAGGTGCCTTTTGGCAAACCCCAAGCGGGCTGTCATGTGCCTTTTACTGAGGAGTGGTTTCCGTCTGGCCACTCTACCATAAAGGCCTAATTGGTGGAGTTCTGCAGAGATGGTTGTCCTTCTGGAAGATTCTCCCATCTCCACAGAGGAACTCTGGAGCTCCTTCAGAGTGACCATCAGGTTCTTGGTCACCTCCCTGACCTAGGCCCTTCTCCCCCGATTTCTCAGTTTGGCCGGGTGGCCAGCTCTAGGAAGAGTCTTGGTGGTTCCACACTTCTTCCATTTAAGAATGGTTGAGGCCACTGTGTTCTTGGGGACCTTCAATGCTTGGTTTTTGCTCTGACATGCACTGTCAACTGTGGGACCTTATATAGACAGGTGTGTGCCTTTCCAAATCATGTCCAATAATTTGAATTTACCACAGGTGGACTCCAATCAAGTTGTAGAAACATCTCAAGGATGGTCTCATAGCAAAGGGTCTGAATACTTATGTAAGTAAGGTATTTCTGTTTTTAAGTGTTCATAGATTTGTACACATTTGTAAAAACCTATTTTCGCTATGTCATTATGGGGTATTGTGTGTAGATTGAGGAGGAAAAATATTTATTTAATCAATTTTAGAATAAGGCTGTAACGTAACAAAATGCGGAAAAATTAAAGGGGTCTGAATACTTTCCGAATGCGCTGTACAGTATTTAAGGAGTGATTGGTGACTAAAGTAATTGGCTGACAAAATCTAAGTGTAGTAGACTATAATTTAGTCTGTCAAACAGGTAGGCCTACCTCCTTTTTCTTGAATAGGAAGAAATAGGCCCCAAAACAAAGCCCTCTTGTTGTTAGTAACCTAAAGTCAAATTAAAATGAAGACTGTTTAAATGAATTAGGCCTTCTCGAATTAGCCTACTTTCAGCACCCATGCGCTGTCCATCTCCGTGGCTACTACTTCATAGTAATGTAAGTTATGTAAATTACTGGAATATGGCTTATTGTGAGGTCAAGAACTCTGATAAATAGCGTCATTATGGGCAATGAAACGTATTGTTTTTATTACAGTTATAGCAGTAGGAAGCTTACCTCCAGTCCTCCTTTTCATCTTCACGCTCTCCCTCTCAAACTGAACAGGACATCAGTTGTCCTGGTCTGTGCGCACAGATATTGCATTTCTTGGACATTTGACTCGCCTCCTAAAGTGCCACCGTACACAACACAGTCATTGGTTAGGCTGCACAAAAGGGTTTACGTCAGCAAGAGCAGGGCAGGCCGGGGCTCATGACTGGGAAAGCCTATCCATTGCAGTGTGTAATGCAGTGTAGCCTAGTTTTATATACACCAAGCAGTGCAAAAACTCAGGAAGGAAGTACATTTTCTTTGAAATATAACTTTGCCCTGTGCTTCTCCGAGCATGATCTTTGTATAGGCTATGGATAATTTTATAGAGACCAGGGATGAAGGGTATCATCAGGCACAAATCGAGATACTATAATAAGCAACTCATTCTCAAACCCTGAGCAATACGACATTTACTCGATTACAAATTGCATGACCCTCCCCTGGACTAAATTAATTGCATGACCCTCCCCCATTTTTCCTCCAGGTAACGATTGTGTAAATTTCGACAACTCCCTAAAATTAAAAGGGGTTTCATGAATTTGGAATAACTTTGGACAAATTAGGCAATTTGTTGACATTAATTAAAATTTGCACAAAGTGACAGTGGATGGTTGAGGACATAAATGGTTCAATGGAATTTTCCTTGTGCACTAGTTATATGAGCTCAGGTGATTTCCGCATGAATGACTTTAGGAGGCGAGTGTTCAAAGTGCAAAGTCAATAAACCATCTTAGACTGAAAATGGCGGACCCTGTGAGCACCTGTGCCGTGAGTCCTAAATCTACCTCTTTTCAAAGACTACTTTTAGTCAAATGTACAAAGAAATATCATTATTTCTCCTTTATATTTTGTACCATAGGTCGAAATGTTAATGGATTTTCTTCATAGCTGTGTGTATTACTGTTACTAAAAATAGCCACAGCTTGACAACACCATGACTTGTTGAATGTGTTTTAGTACAACCTGTTGTACCAAGATCTGAAGAAGTTTTCAAAAAACGGGGAGCATTTCTGCAAGGAGCTCATGACAGTATTTCAGCAAAGGTATGGTCAATGTCATGTTATGTCTTTGCATACACAACTCCTTGAGAATATCGTTTAGTGAGGTAATTTATTTGAAATTGTTATTATGCTATCTAGGATTGGAAAAGTAAAACCCTTTTGAACCTGGACTGCACATATTTCTATTTCATAAAATGTCCAGTCATTTAAATGTATGTACCATACCAATTTGGTCATTCACAATTGCATGCTAAGGTCCTAACTTCCAGATGTAATTTTAATTAGCTGTAGTTACTGTTTCACCTCGGTGTGACAACTAACATCCCTTGATGACATTTATTTGTGACTAGGGCTGAGCTGGAGATCAGTTATGCCAAGGGACTTCAGAAGCTTGCTGGAAAACTCATGAAGGCATCCAAAGGGATGAATGACAAGTGAGTTGGCTATAGCTTTACATTTATATTGCGCAATCTGTAATGCTTCAGCGATACAGATTGAATAGAGCCCATATTATAGTGCTCTAAACTCTCTGAATGTTGTTGTTTTTATTTCCATGAAGTTCCACGTACCAAGCATGGTGCCATGTATCTGATGACATGTACTCTACAGCAGACACACACAGGTATTACACGCATGACCTTATTATGAGGCTTTCCTGTAGTAGATGTTGCTTGGATATTCTCTAGTCTGACTGAGTCTGAGGAATAATAATATGATGGTTTGTTTTTAGAGCCCTAGGAAGTGCTTTTCAGGCAGAAGCCATTTTAGAAATTCGACAAGTCATTGAGGAGCACAACAAGAGGAAGAGACCTGTGAGTAATTTGGACCATTTATTCCTACCATCACATCATTCTACATCATTCTACACAATTCTACATTGAGACACATTGTTCTTATCCCTTTCTTGAATAGCTTGATAATGTTGTTGAAAAAAACAGAAAACTTGTTGTGACTAACTGGAGTGAACAAATCAAGGTAAGCCTTCCTTAAATTCTTTACCAATTTGATCAGTCAATCAAGTCTAAATTAACTCTACCTCCTTGTATATTTCTCAGACATTACATCCTTTGGTTGATTACATCATTCAAATAAAATTATTGGTTAAGAATATTGTTCAAACATTTTCCCTCACAGATGAAGAAGAAATTGGTTGGATTGACAAGAGAGCATGAGGCCCTGTTCAACTTTGTTAAAAAGAATACACACATTTGCACAGAGAAAGAAAAACAGAAGGTACTGCACTGCAATATTTACTGTAATACTGCCATTGTCACCTCTTGATATGTATGATTATGAAACCGTCGAAATTCCCAATGTAATAAAAGTTTAGAAAGATGGCATTTCCACACCCTTAATAAGATTAGGATGATGACTTTTTCTGTTGTTAACTAGATACTGAACAGACAGACAAAGTCTGTGGAGGCCCAGACCAGAACAGATGAGGAGTACTTCACCATCAACATGGATGGCCATCAAATCAGACTGAAGTGGGAAAACACACTGAAAAACTGCTACCAGGTTCTGACCAATGCCTACAGCACATTTCTTCCAAAATAATTTGTATTGAAAAGATATGTACCTTCTGACTGTACTGTTGATCTGGAGAAGGGGTCAAGCCAGATCACCCAATAAGTTTTGATGTGCAGAGTTGAGTTGTATTGTACGTCTCCTCTCATGCTGATGTTTGGTTTGACCAAGTTAGAGATAGTCAGGTTTGAGTGTTGCAACATCCATATTGTGTGCCTGATAGTTATACAGTAACTTTATCATTTCAGATAATCCAGGAGCTTGAGAAACAGCGGATAGAAATTCTGTGCAACATACTGAATAAATACAACCTCCACATGGCAAGCTTCAGACACACCCTCGTACATGTGAGCGTTCTTCCCAAAATGACTCTAATTACAACCCTGTGACAAAAACTGTCATAATTTTCTCTTGTATTACTTACAGAGCCAGAAACAAATAGAACAAGCCATCCAGAGAGTTGATGTGGAAAAGGATATCCAAAGTCTGGTGGAGGAAACCAGTGTAACAGCAGAGGAGAACAAGGCTAAGTTTCTGATGACTGATTATTTTGTAAGGGTCCATTTTGTTCACATAATTGTACAGCACATTTGTATCTGTAAATAGTTCTGGAATTAGTGTGATTTTGACCTAAGACATACAGTGCCTGACCCTCAATGACTTATGTTAAGGAGGAGGACAGTAAGTCATTGATGGAAAAAGGCAGGAGAAGAGATGCCATCAAGTCCAAACTCCAGCGGCTGGGGGACAGTATCACAAAAACAAAGAAAGACTGTGAAGGTAAGTGTTGAAAAACGAAAGCATAGAATTTGACTGGAAATAATACATTTTTGAGTGACACCTTTTCATTTTCATGTCTTCCAACATCCAATTAATAATAGTTCTTGAGAGACTGGTGAAGACCTACTCTGAAAACCCATCGTTCTCAAACAAAAAGAACCTGGAAGAAACAGAACAGTTGATTGATGAGGTTTTTACATACACCAATAGATCCAGTTTGAAAATATTATTTGATCTTTTTCTGTATAAATTTCCTAGCATTGTGTTGTTAAATGTGTTTTCCTATTGGATGTCTACAGACCACTCTGAAACTGAACCTTCTTGAAGCAACTCATTGCAAACTCTCCACCACATTGGCTGAATTGGAGGGAAAACCTCAGACTTTGCATAGATTCAGTGACAGTATAACAAAATGGAAAGAAAAGGTAGGTTCATATTCAAAGTGCATTGGTCTGGGCTTTGCACAAGTTAATGCTAGCCTAGATTAATTTACCAACATACAGTATACTGTTTTATTCCATATTGTGCATGTTCAATTAGATTTAGACAGCACAAACACATCATGGCGTATCCTTTTTGATGACACAAAATAATAGATAAATGTAAGTATGTACAGTTGAAGTCGGAAGTTTACATACACTTAGGTTGGAGTCATTAAAACTTGTTTTTCAACCACTCCACAAATTTCTTGTTATCAAACTACTGTTTTGGGAAGTCGGTTAGGACATCTACTGTGCATGACACAAGGAATTTTTCCAACAATTGTTTACAGACAGATTATTTCACTTATAATTCACTGTATCACAATTCCAGTGGGTTAGAAGTTTGCATATACTAAGTTGACTGTGCCTTTAAACAGCTTGGAAAATTCCAGAAAATGATGACATGTCTTTAGAAGCTTCTGATAGGCTAATTTACATAATTTGAGTCAATTGGAGGTGTACCTGTGGAGGCCTACCTTGAAACTCAGTGCCTCTTTGCTTGTCATCATGGGAAAATCTAATGAAATCAGCAAAGACCTCAGAAAATGTTTTGTAGACTTCCACAAGTCTGGTTCATCCTTGGAAGCAATTTCCAAACGCCTGAAGGTACCATGTTCATCTGTACAAACAATAGTACGCAAGTATAAACACCATGGGACCACGCAGCCGTCATACCGCTCAGGAAGGAGACGCATTCTGTGTCCTAGAGCTGAATGTACTTTGGTGTGAAAAGTGCAAATCAATCCCAGAACAACAGCAAAGGACCTTGTGAAGATGCTGGAGGAAACAGGTACAAAAGTATCTATATCCACAGTAAAACGAGTCCTATATCGACATAATCTGAAAGGCCGCTCAGCAAGGAAGAAGCCACTGCTCCAAAACCGCCATAAAAAAGCCAGACTACGGTTTGCAACGGCACATGGGGACAAAGGTCATAGTTTTTGGAGAAATGTCCTCTGGTCTGATGAAACAAAAATAGAACTGTTTGGCCATAATGACCATTGTTATGTTTGGAGGAAAAGGGGGACAGCTTGCAAGCCGAAGCACGGGTGGCAGCGTCATGCTGTGGGGGTGCTTTGCTGCAGGAGGGACTGGTGCACTTCACAAAATAGATGGCATCATGAGGAAGGAAAATGATGTGGATATATTGAAGCAACATCTCAAGACATCAGTCAGGAAGTTAAAGCTTGGTCGCAAATGGGTCTTCCAAATGGACAATGACCCTAAGCATACTTCCAAAGTTGTGGCAAAATGGCTTAAGGACAACAATGTAAAGGTATTGGAGTGGCCATCACAAAGCCCTGACCTCAATCCTATAGAACATTTGTGTGCAGAACTGAAAAAGTGTGTGCGAGCAAGGAGGCCTACAAACCTGACTCAGTTACACCAGCTCTGTCAGGAGGAATGGGCCAAAATTCACCCAACTTATTGTGGGAAGCTTGTGGAAGGCTACCTGAAACGTTTGACCCAAGATAAACAATTTAAAGGCAATGCTACCAAATACTAATTGAGTGTATGTAAACTTCTGATCCACTGGGAATGTAATGAAAGAAATAAAAGCTGAAATAATTATCTCTACTATTATTCTGACATTTCACATTCTTAAAATAAAGTGGTGATCCTAACTGACCTAAAACAGGGAATGTTTACTAGGATTAAATGTCAGGAATTGTGAAAAACTGAGTTTAAATGTATTTGGCTAAGGTGTATGTAAACTTCCAACTTCAACTGTATGTATGTTACTATACATCCTAACCAGATTACGTTGTTTTCCAAGGATTGCGAGCACAGTATTGTTCAGCTGGCCCGTCCAGTCAAAATCAAAAAGACACCATTCAGATCGCGTCAGAGGAGCTCCATCATTTACAAAGGACCCTATCAGAGTGTGACATCAGAAGAGACCTCATCAGTGGAAGCAAACCCTGTCTACACTGCTGTCATCCAAGATACTGCAGCTCCAGGGGAATGTGGCTCTGTCAATGGAGCCATGTCCAAGACTGATGACGAAGAAGGTGACACCCATCCACATATATAATTACAAAGATGTATCATTCTGATCTTGCCTACAGTGGGGAAAAAAAGTATTTAGTCAGCCACCAATTGTGCATGTTCTCCCACTTAAAAAGATGAGAGAGGCCTGTAATTTTCATCATAGGTACACGTCAACTATGACAGACAAATTGAGGAAAAAAAATCCAGAAAATCACATTGTAGGATTTGGAATGAATTTATTTGCAAATTATGGTGGAAAATAAGTATTTGGTCACCTACAAACAAGCAAGATTTCTGGCTCTCACAGACCTGTAACAACTTCTTTAAGAGGCTCCTCTGTCCTCCACTCGTTACCTGTATTAATGGCACCTGTTTGAACTTGTTATCAGTATAAAAGACACCTGTCCACAACCTCAAACAGTCACACTCCAAACTCCACTATGGCCAAGACCAAAGAGCTGTCAAAGGACACCAGAAACAAAATTGTAGACCTGCACCAGGCTGGGAAGACTGAATCTGCAATAGGTAAGCAGCTTGGTTTGAAGAAATCAACTGTGGGAGCAATTATTAGGAAATGGAAGACAAACAAGACCACTGATAATCTCCCTCGATCTGGGGCTCCACGCAAGATCTCACCCAGTGGGGTCAAAATGATCACAAGAACGGTGAGCAAAAATCCCAGAACTACACGGGGGGACCTAGTGAATGACCTGCAGAGAGCTGGGACCAAAGTAACAAAGCCTACCATCAGGAACACACTACGCCGCCAGGGACTCAAATCCTGCAGTGCCCGCCAAGGACTCAAATCCTGCAGTGCCAGACGTGTCCCCCTGCTTAAGCCAGTACATGTCCAGGCCCGTCTGAAGTTTGCTAGAGTGCATTTGGATGATCCAGAAGAGGATTGGGAGAATGTCATATGGTCAGATGAAACCAAAATATAACTTTTTGGTAAAAAGTCAACTCGTCGTGTTTGGAGGACAAAGAATGCTGAGTTGCATCCAAAGAACACCATACCTACTGTGAAGCACGGGGGTGGAAACATCATGCTTTGGGGCTGTTTTTCTGCAAAGAGACCAGGACGACTGATCCGTGTAAAGGAAAGAATGGGGCCATGTATTGTGACATTTTGAGTGAAAACCTCCTTCCATCAGCAAGGGCATTGAAGATGAAACGTGGCTGGGTCTTTCAGCATGACAATGATCCCAAACACACCACCCGGGCAACGAAGGAGTGGCTTCGTAAGAAGCATTTCAAGGTCCTGGAGTGGCCTAGCCGGTCTCCAGATCTCAACCCCATAGAAAATCTTTGGAGGGAGTTGAAAGTCTGTGTTGCCCAGCGACAGCCCCAAAACATCACTGCTCTAGAGGAGATCTGCATGGAGGAATGGGCCAAAATACCAGCAACAGTGTGTGAAAACCTTGTGAAGACTTACAGAAAACGTTTGACCTGTGTCATTGCCAACAAAGGGTATATAACAAAGTATTGAGAAACTTTTGTTATTGAACAAATATTTATTTTCCACCATAATTTGCAAATAAATTCATAAAAAATCCTACAATGTGATTTTCAGGATTTTTTTTCCCTCATTTTGTCTGTCATAGTTGACGTGTACCTATGATGAAAATTACAGGCCTCTCTCATCTTTTTAAGTGGGTGAACTTGCACAATTGGTGGCTGACTAAATACTTTTTTTCCCCACTGTATGTGTCATAACAAGAAACACTAATACATTTCTCCTTCAGGTGCAGAGTGGTGTAGCATTGGGAAATGCAAAGCTGTTTACGATTTCACGTCAGACAGAGACGATGAGTTGAATATGAAAGAAGGTAAGGGACAATAAAAATAGGTATGGAAGAAAATGCATACCATCAATAATAATATGAAATTCATGACTATACTAACAAAATAATTTGTTACAGGAGACCTTCTTGACATCTATCAAAAGGAAGACAGCGGTTGGTGGTATGGGATATTGAATGGACAGATAGGCCATTTTCCATCAACCTACGTTGAGGAGCTGCCAATGTTAAGTGTTGTAGAAACATCAGATGTATGACAGTAAGTGTTCGCGCAAATGGACAGGGTAAAGCATTTATCCTGTTACATGATTAAAGTAATACTTCAATCAACTATGGGGGAGGTGTACAAAAAGTGTTTAGTTATACTCATTCCAAAATGCCTGATCAAAACTTTGGGCCACTGAAGAACCCCACCAACTTGAAAATTGCATCTAGCCTTTTTAAAATTGACATCATATAATTGAAACATTAATATTACAAACGATGTTGGAGACAGTGTAAATGGGAGACGGAGACAGTGAAAATGGGAGACAAAGACACAGGATATTACTAAAATATGTTAAGATATTAAACAGATTTTTTTTACTCCTCAGGTTTTAAGAGTGACAAATTCTCTCCGAACATTTGCAAGAAAAGCAGAGAAGTTGTTGGTCTCCTGAAGTCTCTGCTCCAAGTGGGCCATGCAATCCAGTGGTGGGTCATTAGACACAACTGTGGACAAAAATTTGTTTAGAAAATGTTGTTTAGTTATTATCAGTTTCCAGCCATTCATGATAACACTCCTAGTTTCCAAAACCATTTGTTACTGTACTGTTCTATACTATTTACTGTACTCACTCTGGTATAATCCTCCTTCGTTGATCCTCAGCATGAAGGTGTATACACATTCTGAGTCTTTTTGGTTGATGTCTCGGAAGATAAACTGCAATTTCTCACCTTGAATAAAATAATAATTCATTTTACTTCTGTGGTTTAACACTTGGTCAACACAAATGTTCAAACGGTACAATATTACTGCCATTACCAACAGATTTATTCCCAATTTACCATGAATTTTTCTAATTTCCAATCCTAGCCGGTCCTGAAACACCTGCTTGGCTTTGTTGAGATTTTTCAGTCTGTCTTTGTTGGCTTTGTTTTGGGACACGATCACTTTTGAAGAAAGGAAAAACAAGGAAAGGGGACATGTTTGTTTTGGATACTAATATATATTTTAGACCAATGAAAAGACGTGTGTGAAGGGCAAAATCTACTGTTCCATTTTAAAAAATTGCCTACATTCTTTCTTCTTGGCTTGTTCCACTCGGATCATCTCAATCTTTTCAATGATCTTGCTTTTCTGTACGTCCTTCCCTTCCACTTCAGACAGCCTCTTCGCAATGGCATTTCTCTTCTCCACCATTGAGGCATTTTTCTTTTGCAAGTCTGGAGGGGGGGGGGGGGGGGGGGGGGGGGAGACATTGTCTTCAATAATAAAGTATGAGTAGGCTAGTGCCAAGGTTAATGTCAAACTGATTGTTAGTAACACTTCACAGGATGTCATCACGTCATGCCCGGCATAATCTTACCTGTTTTGTACGAGTCTATAGTTTCAAATATTATTTCATCATCCTTGACTTTCTTTGAACATGTATCTGCAGAAAGATAAGGGAGATTATTATAGCTCTGAATATTGACAGATTTTAAGCATAATTGACTCAGTAATCATGATAACAGCGTCCATGTCATACCGAGAACAGATTTGACAAACTGTCGGTGGGTTTGAACCCAATCCATGCCTGTCTCCGTCATCTCGGCCGATCCCTGAACAAGCATTTTGTTGCGTATGTCTTCCATTGTGCTACTAAACCAATTCACCATGTTTGCATCTGTAATGCATGCCATGATGATCTAGGTGACAGGAATACAAAACACTGATTAGGTCAGTCAACATTTTGGCAAGATGCAGGATGGCTTGTTAAAGGGGGCAATATGCAATTCAAACAACAACAAGTGACACCATGTCACTGTTTTGGTAAACAGCTGAGGGATGGGGCTGGATTTCTTTTACCACTTCCAAATTCATAGGCAGAGCTATGGATACATACAAGGGCTGACCATCCATGATCTAAATGATAGTTTTAACAATGTTGAGGCTATATAGTGTTTGTTCACAATGGAGTAAAACAAGCTTATATTTTGGGGTTCTAATGGGGTATTACAGTTTAATTAAGATCAAGGCATGTATAAGTTATATTTTTCAAGAATCAATGGGTATAAGAGTAATCCTTCTACCCCCCCATAAAAAAAAGGGTGGTTGTCCCACTGGCTATCCTAAATTGAATGCACCAATTTGTAAATCGCTCTGGATTAGAGTGTCTGCTAAATGACTTAAATGTAAATGTAAAACATACAGAAAACATCTCAGTTAAAAGTCCAAAAATTGATCGCTGGTGCAGTCAAACACACACCGACTCTCACACACCCACAATCACCATTTACTTTGCTGCAACTATTTATTATATCTATCCTGCTGCTCAGTCACTTTTAACCCTGATTACATGTGCATAGCTACCTTAACTATCACAAGTATCCCTGCACTGATATTGCTACTGGAATTGACCTGTATATAGTGTATTTTCTTGTGTGTATTTCTTATTCTCCTGTGTATTTTTTTATCTGACTTAGTATTACTGCATTGTTGTAGAGCTTGCAAATAAGCATTTCACTATTATTACTCCATTGTTTACATACAACAATGTATGTGTTTATAACTATTATAATAATTTCACTCTAATTAACTCTAGTCAGTCCTTGCATCTAAAGCAGTGTCTATGAATATTAGAGGAGTTAGCCCACATCTCCCTAGGTGTCTATGAATATTAGAGAAGTTAGCCCACATTTCCCCAGCCGCTGCATCCCTCAGCTGTCAATCACAAAAAATGTCGGGTCTGCCATTTTGGTGAAAAACGAATTCCAGAATGTAGTTTTAAACAGGAACTCACGGTTGAGTAAGGTTTGTGATACGGAATTTCCTAAAAACACGCCACATGGATACAGCTACCACCGGAAGTTACTTTTTCGTAGGAGAACTTACATAGCAGGTTAGGTTAAGGTTGGGAAAAGGGTTAGCTAAAATGCTCTCCTAGTCCTAAACTGCAACGAAAAGTCACTTTGTTGCTGTATCGAAGTGGCGTGTCCCATGTGACACATACCTTGGATGAATGCTAGCATAAATTGGCTTGTTAGCTAACTAACATTAAGGTAAGTAGCTAAACCACGTTATTGCCACAATTAAAATAAGTTCGGAAACAGTCAAGGTAGCTAACGACGTAGCTAGCCGAGCTAGCTAAAAACACAACTCAGCTCATGACCAAACGTGGCCAAAAGTATGTAACAATCATTTTAGCTATATCAAATACTATGACTTTACCAAACAACCGATTATCAAATATGGTGAATTTTGTTAGCTACCGTGGCAATTTTCGGATGATCCTCGACCCAGAGTTTTCGGCAGCTGTTCGCTGTTGTTTTCAAAATTCCGCGCTCACGGAAAGAAGGATGGGCCTGTGACGCCACACCGGAAATTGCGTTTTTATCAAAAGTCAAAGTAGTCCCTTTAAGAAATATACTCCTGCGATAAAAATGACAATGTACCGTATTTATCATCTACGATGTTTATCATTTATGTTCCGCCTAAAACCATATATAACACATTTTTTAAAAGCTATCGGCCACGTTTTTCCTTGTTTCCCACAATGCTAAGTTTTGTTTAGTCTGTTTGTGTCTTGTGCTCGTGAATTTGCGCCAGCCTGTGGCGAATCGATGTCTAACATGACTCTGTAGGCAAAGCCTGTATCAACATTAGAAATAAAAAAAGTTACAATTTTAGTCGAGTTTATATCAAATCAAATGTTATTATTATTGGTCGGGTACACATATTTAGCAGATGTTATCGCGGGTGTAGCGAAATGCTTATGTTCCTAGCTCCAACAGTGCAGTAATACCTAACAATACAAAACGCAAATTCCAAAAAGAAAAATAAGGGAATTAAGAAACGTTAGAACGAGCAATGTCAGAGTCCGAAATATATATGTATATGATGGTGTGTATAGACATTATGGACAGTATATGAATAGAAAAGGTGTGTACAGCAGTAGTTATATAGGATGAGCCTTAACTAGAATATAGTATATAAATATGAAGTGGGTGAAACGGTATGTAAACATTATTCAAGTGACCAGTGTTCAATGACTATGTACATAGGGCAGCAGTCTTTAAGGTGCAGGGTTGAGTACCAGGTAGTAGCAGGCTAGTAACAGTGACTAAAGTTCAGGGCAGGGTACTGGGCGGAGGCTGGCTAGTGGTGACTATTTAACAGTCTGATGGCCTGGAGATAGAAGCTGTTTTTCAGTCTCTCGGTCCAAGCTTTGATGCACCCATACTGTCTCAGCCTTTTAGATGGTAGCAGGGTGAACAGGCCGTGGCTCGGGTGGTTAAGGTCATATCTGCATCAACATACATGTTCAGAAAGCATGGTTTATCATAGTGCCAGCTTAGGTTGTCTGGAAAAGGGGCCTGTTAACTGTTCTTCATTTTCTTTAGGTATCCCAGTGCTCTGGAGCATCTGGTTGATATTTTTTCTGTTGGTAAAAATAAGAGCAAAACTTGACCCCCAGCCATTCCATGTATTTGAACTATTTCAGATGGATCCCGGTGGTTCAACTTGTGCATTTGCGGGAGAACACTATCCTCAGGTGGATGGAATGGCTGATATTTAACCAATAAAAGTAATAGCCTGTGGAAAATGTACACACAATTGTCCTGAAAACAACTTTGTGTAACATGCCTTCAATGCTGCCTGAGGAAGACTCTACAGTATAAGTTGAAACGTGTTGCAGTTGTGCATCCTGATGTACAATGCTTCTCTATTCCTATGTATTCTTTTGTAAATATTTTATGTTAATAATTCACTAAAGTTTATTGCAGTGTTTAATGCACTCATTGCCATAGCAGTTGAATGATTTATGATGATACATTTACATGTGGCGCAGTGGTCTAAGGCACTGCATCGCAGTGCTAGCTGTGCCACTAGAGATCCTGGTTCGAATCCAGGCTCTGTCGTAGCCGGCCGTGACCGGGAGACCCATGGGGCGGCGCACAATTGGCCCAGCGTCGTCCAGGGTAGGGGAGGGAATGGCCGGCAAGGATGTAGCTCAGTTGGTAGAGCATGGTGTTTGCAACGCCAGGGTTGTGGGTTCAATTCCCACGGGGGGCCAGTATGAAAAAATATATAATGTATGCACTCACTAACTGTAAGTCGCTCTGGATAAGAGTGTCTGCTAAATGACTAAAATGTAAAATGTAAATGTACATACAAAGACATCTCTCTCTCTCTCTCTCTCTCTCATGGTGCTGTAGTTAAGACAGAGGGAGCAGCTGTTCCTGTTGTGCCAGGTGGACCTTATCCACAGCAGTGGGGTTCTGGTGTGATCCAGCACCTCCAAAGCAACTACAGGGACTGCCATGACTTCCTTGACTTCATGACCTCTGTGGGTGACCCTTGTCACATATCTTCTCTCGATTTCCCTCTGTGGTTGCAACTTAGCCAAATTGTCTGCACCAAGATTATATTTGTGGCAGTTATTGGAGACTGGTTCAACCTAATTTTCTAATGGTAAGACACCATCTGCTCACTGTGTTAATTTATTTTCTTTTTTTTACACTTGTGCTGCCATAACTAGTAAAGGGAGGGAGAGATAGTGCATGCAATCTATGTAACATTATCGGGATAGATGCTTATAAAATCATGCTTTTTTCTGTTTAGGGGACACATCTTGTTATATAAATGTTAATCTGACTGTCTCTTGTTTTTAGAATTCTGTTTGGCCAGTGGCCATACTGGTGGGTGCAGGAAACTGTCTTTTACCAGAATAATTCACTCCCTCAGCTGGAGCAGATCCACATTACCTGTGAAACAGGACCAGGTCAGTGTAATTTCCTGTCTGTCAATCATTATGATCATAAATTCTAGAAATTGATCATTACACAGGTGCACCTTGTGCTGGGGACAACAAAAGCCCACTCTAATGGCTTGCAAAATGGCACAACTGTCTGATGTATTGTTGTGTGAACTGAATTTTATCTTTGTGAATATCTGATTGTGCGTCCTGCTTGTATGATAGATAAACAGTGTTTATTTGTATTTATACAATGGGTGGGTCTAATCCTGAATGCTGATTGGTTAAAAGCGCATTCCAGCCGGTGTCTATTCCACAAGTTACCACTGGCTAAATCTATGACATTAAAATGCCTATTTACTCTGTTCCATCTGACAGCGCAATCCACTGTCTCATCAACCCAGCCAAGCAATTTATTAACTTGATCTCAACTATAAAAAGCATCTAGACATCTCACATTTCTTTTAGACTAACATTTCGTTTTCAACAGCGGAGATTTGTATAAACCTTGCTGTCTGTCTCTCCGACATTTGCAAAATTGTTTCAATATTCAAATTTGATCTCCAGCTGTCCCATAGTAATGAATGTGAAGGGGTCGGGAGTCGGGACGAGACAGACAGGCAGGCAGCGTTTCTCAGCCACTCGAAATCATCGATCAGCAGGCATCATTTTTATGGATATATACAAAGAAATGTCAATTGAAAAAAGGTCAAACGAAATGAAGTGCAGCTAGTTTGCGGTCTTTACAGCTTCAGTTTGAAGTGATTGTGTTAGCTTTGTTGTTGGCTAGCTCCTCTGAACAACAGTGTCCTGACGAGAGAGCACATTTTCTATGCCAGGCGAAATCGTGCCTCATTAGCTCATTGTTATGGATGTATCCAAATAAATGTCACTAGAAAACAGCTTAAACAAATGCAAATGCAGCTACTGTTATTATTCTGTCTGCACTGTTTGACGTGACTGTAAGTTAGCCGTAGTTGGCTAGCTAGCAAGCAAGGCATAAGAACGTTGCCAGCCAGTATGGCAATGGAACATTTAGAACGAACGACTGGGTCGTGTCCATAGATACAGAACAAAAAGATTGAACGACTGGGTCGCGTCTCTGGCAACGGAACCAATAGAACGAACGACCAGCCGGTTTGAGTAGCAACCCTAGATTTGTGTCGGGACTATATCTTGTGGAAGGATGAAATAGTATGAATAAATTCATCAAAATAACGTTTTTAATGAAAATATGTCAATCATTATTTGAAAATGTTGGTAACCCGTGTTATAAAAGTGATAATGCCCTCGAAGCCAGTGTTTGGAGGATATATTGGCATGGTTTGCCGGCCCTCGACTTCATCTTGGGACTAACAACACCCGTGCCAATATATCCTCCAAACACCGGCTTCTCGGGCATTATCACTTTAAGGCAGTCCTCTCGGTCACTTGTTCAATCAACTTCAATCAGTGTAGATGAAGGGGAGGAGATAGGTTAAAGAAGGATTTTTAAACCTTGAGACAATTTAGACATGGATTATGTGTGCCATTCAGAGGGTGAATGGGCAAGACAAAATATTTAAGTGCCTTTGAACGGGGTATGGTAGTAGTTATTCATGCTCATCTGTTTCCCGTGTATATCAAGAATGGTCCACCATCCAAAGGACATCCAGCCAATTTGACAAAACTGTGTCAAGCATTGGAGTCAACATGGGCCAGCATCCCTGTGAAACACTTTCAACACCTTGTTGAGTGCATAATGCTGATAAATCAGCAGGTGCTTTCAGAATATGCCCACTAATCACTTGGCAAACGGAGTTTGTGGAGGACATTGTTTGGGAAAGATCCTGGTTCTACTGTAGGCCTACTTATACCAAAAAGTATGTACAATAACCTGGTGGTTTGTGAAGGTTGTGTCAGCACTTAGTACACAATTGTGTTCGGCATTTCAAGACTGCAGATTAATGATAAACTACAGTTTGAGTCTCCAGAGAATTTTACCTTATACATACAGTTCATCCTTCATTTATTCCGTTAGATATCCATCAAGTAGCTGGTTCAATGTCTTTTTTTTCATCAAGGAAAAGGACAGAAATAAATGAGATGCAACAAAGGACAACAGAAAAAAACATTGCTGGACGTTATCTGTCATTTAGGGTGGCAGCACACCCTATCAACATTACACTATCACTTTCTCAAGGACAACACAATATACTTTTCCCAATGTACGTAGCTTTCCTTTCAAAAAACTGCATTTTGAAACTAATAATGTATCTGTATAAATGAAATAAAATGAATCATCCATTAAGACATGGATTTTCCTATTTGACAAAAGATCAAGCATCAAACACCAAACATTCAGTCTGTCAAAGGTTAATAAAAGCAAATATATTTTTCTGTAAACAAATTAATACAAATAAATATTTAAATCTGCGAGATATGATTCATACCAATAATTGTAACCTTCTTGAGCAAAAGTATACATTGGACTACAAATTACTTTAATTAATTACTTTAAAGGATCCATCTGTTTTGCAAATGGCCCTATATATTGAGTGTACAGAACATTAGACCCTTTCACCCTGTTAATGGCACACATACACAATCCATGTCTCAATTGTCTAAAGGCTTAAAAATCATTATTTAACCTGTCTCCTTCCCTTCATCTACACTGATTAAAGTGAATTTAACAAGTGACATCAATAAAGTATTATAGCTTTCACCTGGTCAGTCTATGACATGGAAAGAGCAGATGATCCTAATGTTTTGTACACTCAGTGTATAATATCATATAAAAAAACTCAAGAGACATTAGGTAAATGAAGAGTATATCAAGCAAAGAAAGCCTTTCCCCCCATGGACTTTGATGTTTTTTTCCATAGTTACTCTCACTAAAACGTCACATTTATGTACTTTGGTTAGTGACAAACTCCATCTCCTCATAATGCATCCCCTCTATAGAAAAATGACACCTACTCAGGTTTAGCTGATCGGAGCCCCTGTTGTGACTAGTTTGTAGTAGGCAGCCCTCTTAGCCATGAGTTCCTCATGTGTCCCCCTTTCTATGACAGCACCTTGGGACATGACGGCTATGATATCTGCCGTCTGGATGGTGGACAGTCTGTGGGCTACGACAATGCAGGTGCGTCCACGTCTGGCCTCATCCAAAGCAGCCTGCACTGTCTGTAGTGGGAAAACACAATGTCAGAAATAAGTTCAGTTGAGTCTGTTTGTTTTCATCATAAGGACATTCTATATTCTCTCTCATGTAATACAGTACATGGCATGCTAAGAAAATAGTATCTAAGCAAATGCATCATTAAGCTGTGGATAGAGTGATTAATCTGATAGAAAGGATAATCAAGAGGTGTTAATATTTACTGAACAAAAATATAAATACAACATGTAAAGTGTTGGTCCCATGTTTCTTGAGCTGAAATAAAAGATCACAGAAATCTTCCATAGGCACAAAAAGCAAACTTCTCTCAAATTTTGTGCACAAATTAATTTACATCTCTGTTAGTCAGCATTTCTCCTTTGCCAAGATAATCCATCCACCTTACAGGTGTGGCATATCAAGAAGCTGATTAAACAGCAGGATCATTACACAGGTGCACCTTGTGCTGGGGACAATAAAGGGCCACTCTAAAATGTGCAGTTCTGTTACACAACCCAATGACACAGATGTCTCAAGTTGAGGGAGCGTGCAATTGCCATACTGACTGCAGGAAGGTCCACCAGAGCTGTTGCCAGATAATTGAATGTTCATTTATCTACCATAAACCGGCCTCACAACCGCAGACCACGTGTAACCACGCCAGCACAGGACCTCCATATCCGGCTTCTTCACCTGCGGAATTGTCTGAGACCAGCCACCCGGACCACTGATGAAATTGTGGGTTCTCAGGGAATTTCATCTGCACGCTCGTCATCCTCACCAGGGTCTTTACCTGACTGTATTCGGCGTCGTAACCGACTTCAGTGGGCAAATGCTCACCTTCGCTGGCATCGTGTGGGCGAGCGGTTTGCTGATGTCAACGTTGTGAACAGAGGGCCCCATGGTGGCGGGTTATGGTATGGGCAGGCATAAGCAACGGTCAATGAACACAATTGCATTTTATCAATTTGAATGCACAGAGATACCGTGACGAGATCCTGAGACCCATTGTCGTGCCATTCATCCACCGCCATCACCTCATGTTTCAGCATGATAATGCACGGCCCCATGTCGCAAGGATCTGTACATAATTCCTGGAAGCTGAAAATGGCCCAGTTCATCCATGGCCTGCATACTCACCAGACATGTCACCCATTGAGCATGTTTGGGATGCTCTAGATCGACGTGTACGACAGCGTGCTCCAGTTCCCACCAATATCCAACAACTTTGCACAGCCATTGGAGAGGAGTGGGACAACATTCCACAGGCCACAATCAACAGCCTGATCAACTATATGCGAAAGGAGATGTGTCGCGCTGCATGAGGCCAATGGTGGTCACACCAGATACTGACTGGTTTTCTCATCCATGCCCCTACCTTTTTTTTAAGGCATCTGTGACCAACAGATGCATATCTGTATTCCCAGTCATGTGATATCCATACATTAGGGCCTAATTAATTTATTTCAATTGACTGATTTCCTTATATGAACTCTAACTCAATAAAACCTTGGAAATTGTTGCAAGTTGCGTTTATATTTTGGTTCAGTGTACATTGGTCTGGTCTGTGGGTACCTTTTCACTCTCTGTGTCCAATGCAGAGGTGGCCTCATCCAGAAGCAGGATCTTAGGGTTTCTGACTATTGCCCGAGCGATGGCGATGCGTTGTTTTTGCCCTCTGGAGAGCTGGGAGCCCTGGGCACCAACCTGAGTCTCATATTTCTGCCAGAGTCAAAGATAACACAGGAATGTCTAGTACGCTACTTACATTATGAAGAGAACAGTATCAGAAGATAATTTCATATTCCACCACAATAACATGTTTATTTTTTTACATTCTTCACTGTATTAAGGGAAGTGGGATAGTATGACATAGAAGTATTACAAAGATAGTACAATTTTTGTTCCACTACTCACATCTGGCAGAGTCATCACAAAGTCATGGAGATAAGCTTTCTTTGCAGCATCAACAATCTCCTCCATGCTCATGTTCCTGGTGTTATCACCATACTGGATGTTTTCAGCAATACTGCAGTCAAACAGCACTGGCTCTTGGGAGACAATGCCAATCTGAGCCCTCAGGAAGGGCACGTTGACAGTGTGTGATGGACGGCCATCGATCAACTGAAATGGGAATAAGGAAGTGTTTATTGTAAATACAAATAATAGTAATAGACTATGACAGGCACTGTGGGTACACTTGATGAATTGTACCTCTGATTCCATCTACACTGAGTGTACAAAACATTAAGAGCACCTGCTCTTTCCATGACATAGGCTGACCAGATGAATCCAGGTGAAAGCTATGTCACTTGTTAAATCCACTTCAATCAGTGTAGATGAATGGAAGGAGACAGGTTAAAGAAGGATTTTTAAGCCTTGACACAATTGAGACATGGATTGTGTATTTGTGCCATTCAGAGGGTGAATATGTAAGACAAAAGATTTAAGTGCCTTTGAACGGGGTATGGTAGTAGGTGCCAGGCGCACCGGTTCGTGTCAAGATCCCAGCAGGGTTTTTCACGCTCAACAGTTTCCGTGTGTATCAAGGTGTTCCTAATGTTTGGTATACTCAGTGTACATGGAAGATAAGGTAAAGCACAGGAGGTTGGTGGCACCTTAATTGGGGAGGACGGGCTTGTGGTAACGGCTGGAGCGGAATCGGTGGAATGGTATCAAATACATCAAACACATGGATTCCATTTTTTTTTATGCCATTCCATTTGCTCCGTTCCAGCCATTGTTATATGCCATCCTCCCCTCAGCAGCCCCCACTGAGGTAAAGGTAATGTAAATTAGGTTGGGTCTGGTCTGGGGACTCACCACTCTGCCCTCATCTGGATCATAGAACCTCTCCAACAGCTGCACACTAGTGCTCTTCCCACAGCCACTACAGCCCACAAAGGCCAGGGTCTGGCCCGGTTTCACAGACACCAGTAGTCCATTTAGCACCTGGATGTCAGGCCGGGTTGGGTATGTGAACTTGCAGTTGATGAATTCTAACTCCCCTTTGAAATCATCCTGGAGAGAGGGCATGGCATTATTACACACCAAAGTTTTTGATGTCAATGTGAATAATAATCATTTTCCACTTTTACTGAAAATGTCTGATTGAATAAATATACTTTTTTATGGAAAGAGTTTGACATGTTTCTCTCACCCATTTCTCCCCATCTGTCTGACTCATGCTGATTTTGGGGACTCGGTCCAACAGTTTGAAGAACTGGGCAGCTGCAGTCTTGGCTTTGGCATAATCTGGGGCGAATGAGGAAGCTTTTCCCAGTGCTGTCCCACTGATCACAATGGCAGAGATCACTCTGGGGAAACACACAACACATTGGCATTAGTTTGATAATACAGTAAGCTTTTAGAACAGTTTACAGCAAAATGGATATGTTTTTGAAAATGTACAGTAAACATGTTGACCTATTCAGCAAAACAAACAAATTTACCTGAAGACCACCAGGTAATGTAATCTTTCAGAGCTGACAAGAAAGCCTCCATATCTAAACGAGGCGGCGTACGCCATAAAGATAACACACTGAGCAAAGGCAAAACAGATGCCATAGATGTTTGCCTTCTTCTTGGCAGACATATAGGGAGCCTCCAGCTGCTGTTCATACGTATCCACAAATGTGCTCTCCTTGCACAGCCCTGCGATGGTCCTGATGTTGGCTAGAGCCTCGCTGGACACCTGTGGGAGAGAAGGCAGATTGTCAAGTCTCTAAATCACTAGAGTGAATAACACTCTGGACCAGTGCCTCCTACGAGGTTATTTCATTTTACAGAAATGTTTTAACAACCCATTTAGGGACCTTTATTGAATTCTCTTACCGATAATGGGGTGTTTAACTCACCTGTCCTGCTGCTTCCATTGCCTTCTTATCCTCGTTTGCGAAACCTGTCAGCATTTTGACTTGGAAGACCCCAGACAAGCCAATGAGTGGTAAAAAGCAAATCACTACCAAGCTTAACTTCCAGCTGAAGGAGAATGCAATGATGAAAGACGCTCCGATGTTGGTCAAGGAGTTCACAATCATCCCAATCTGCGATCCAGTTGCCTGCAGAGAAACTAGTATTAATTCTCAAAGCTCATTACATAAACAGAAATATATACAGTATGAGGCAGAAGGAAATATTTCAAAAACAACCTCTTTGGATCAACTCATAATTTGTTATAAATAATTCTAATGGGTTCCAATGTACCGGTCCACAGTATGTGTCCCTGACACTTACCCCCTGAACCATGGAGGCATCGGTGGCCAGCCTGGTGGTGAGAGCTCCTGGGCTGTTCCTGGGGTCATCAAACCAGCCTACCTCCTGTTTCAACATGGCCTGGAAGCCCACCTTCCTTAGCCTGCGGGTCAGCAGCTCCCCAGACTTCCCAAATGCATAGCCCTTAAACAGAACAATAGTGTTCACACACATTACTAGCGCCTGTCCTCTGAATCACAGGAAACTGCTGAGGGGAGAATGGCTCATAATAATGGTCAGAACGGAGCGAATGGAATGGCATCAAACACCTGGAAACCATGTGTTTTGATGTATTTGACACCATTCCACTCATACCGCTCCATTCATTACCACAAGCCCGTTCTCCCCAATTTAGGTGCCACCAACCTCCTGTGGTCTGAATGTTAGCATCTTACTACGGACTGTAACAGCTTGATGTACAATATATCTACCTGTAAGAACTGAGAGAAGAAACTTGTCACCGCCACAGCGCAGAACAGGATACATATTCCATTGATCTGCACTCTCTGTTCATCCAAGTCACGTATAGAGAACGTCTGAAAATCAAAACAACAATATGGATGGAATGAAATTAATTTCAGGGAACAGCAACACCTATAAGTATCACTACTACCAGCCCAATTAATTTGAAACTAGATTATAAACATTGGCTTGATATGTACATAATCCATAGCCACTCACCCCAAGGATCTGGCTGAATAAAATAGCATAGATTGGATTGACGGAGCCGTTGATTGCAGCTCCTATAGATCCCAATAGCATGTAGGGCCACTCTGACTTGTTGTACTTCAGGATTCGAGCCACTGGTGCTGGCTCCACACGTTCCTCTGCTTCCTCCTTGGAATGCTGTGGGAATATACTGTATGAGGGACACTCATTTCTCTCAGAAATTACGAGGAGGGAAAATTGACTAAAGTACACTAATACAAAACTGATAATACAAGGCTGCTTATAGAATGACCTCAATACCTTTGATCTTTGAGGTTCCATGTCGTTTTCCATTGTGGCAAGGAATTTGTCTGATTTAATTTTGATACTGCCAGCTATAGCATCAGGGATGAGTTCGTTTGAAAGTTGGGTGTGAGATCGCAGGCGAAGAGATTGCCTTTAGGAGAAAGAGTGAATAACACAGGCTTTACAAATTAGCTTTGCTGAATCATTGTTAATCATACGCCTGTTCTGACATGACCATTAGATTTACCTCAACCCAGATTCATAGCTTCCTCGACTGAAACTCTGAAGGATTTCTTCCTCAATGGTTTCATTGTCCGGACCTAAAGTTGAAAATGAATATGTTATTTTTATCCATACAAATAGACTATATCAAAAGTGAACAATGAATCATTATGAATGTCTCTTTATGTCAGACCTACCTATGTTTGCTTTGTCATTGGGCATGTCATTTCCTTGGTTCTGAAGGGTAACAAGAGTAAAGTAGACACCCTTCTTTTCTAGAAGATCATTGTGTGTACCGCTCTCCACTGCCCTTCCGTGCTCAAAGCCAATAATGACATCAGCATTGCGGATAGTGGAAAGGCGGTGGGCGATGGTAATGGTTGTCCTGCCCATCCGAGCCTGCACATGGAAAGAAATTCAATCACAAACATGATCCGTTTTGTAGTTGAAGTAAACATTAGAACATGGGTAGACCATGATGTCAAATTGGAATAAATATTCAAAGCACTGACTTTGTGGTGATATAATGATTGATAGATGTTGTGCTTGGAGTCACCCACCGTGTCAAGTGCCTCCTGTACAATGGCCTCACTCTCGTTGTCCAGAGCCGAGGTAGCCATGTCCAGCAGCAGGATCCTGGGGTTGCGGATCAGAGCTCGGGCGATAGCGATCCTCTGCTTCTGTCCTCCACTCATCTGACCACCACCCTCACCCACCAGCGTATCAAACCTCTGTATAACGACAGACAAACATTTACTCATTTTGACATTTCAATGTGTTTCTTGTATAAGACAGTATCCGAGTAATCCACCGTATTTATTTGCTAAAGGTGTGTCTGTGGAACCTGTGGGAGGTCCATGATGAAGTTATAGGCGTTAGCCTCCTTGGTGGCCTGGATGATATCGTCCATGGTGACCCCAGGTCGCCCGTAGCGGATGTTGTCAGCGATAGTTGTGGCAAACAGCACCGGCTCTTGCTCTACTATACCAATCAGAGAGCGAAGCCACTGGATGTTCAGGCTGCGGATGTCATGGCCATCCAAAGTCAACTATAAATTAGAAGCAATATGTGCATCAAACACAATAACATCTTGTGCTGGGCTTTAGTCATACGTTTAGTGTCCCAACCACATTGCTGTAATAATGTGATAGTGAACATAGGTGTATCTTCTGAGCCTTATTACCATTCCTTCCTTGGGGTTGTAGAATCTCTGAAAGAGTTGAACTGTGGTGCTCTTCCCTGATCCGCTTGGCCCAACAAAAGCTGTGGTTTCTCCTGCTCTGATCAGCATGCTCAAAGAATCTAAAATCTAAGTAAACAGGTGGTGGTTGTACATTGAGATATCTTTTGGGGATGATTTTAAGTTAAAGAAAGTGAGCGAAGAGTGTTTACCTTCACTTCTGGCCGAGAGGGGTAGTTAAATGTGACGTTGTGGAATTCAATGTCACCCTTGACCTTGTCTAATTTGTGGCCCTCCTCTGAGAAACAATCGATTTCTGGCTCCTGAAAGTTAACAGATTTATAAAATACTTCAGAACTGAAATTGAATTGTTCTTAGTTCCTATATTTTCAAAAATTCTGGCCTTACCCGGTCAATGGTATCGAAGATGGTCTTGGCTGCAGCTCGACCTGAGGCGAAGGCTTCCAGGCAGGGTGAGGCCTGACCCAGGTTCATAGCTGCCATGAGAACTCCAAAGAATACCTGGAGACAAAAATACAAACACATCCTTACATTTTCACCACTCCTATTATTACGTATTGGATACATATATATTATATGAATATGTGAGTTGCCATACCTGGATAAGAGTACCAGGGGATAGCTCTTTGGTTTCGATGACCAGTTTTGAGCCATACCAGAATGCCAAAGCATAGCAGAGGAAGATGATACACCACAGGTATCCTTGAAACATCCCAATGATTGTCCCTTTTTTCACACCCCAGTTCTGAGCCTCAATAAGGTTTTTGTCATACCTGTTCAAATGTGAAATGCATATTTATAACTAATTTCAAGCGCTAAGACATTGAAGTCAGCAGGGAAGGGAAGGTTAATTTGACCAGTTTCTCACAGCAGGAAAATAATCCTACAGCAACAGGAAATGTGAATTATTGTGTGGATTATAATTAATGGAAGTTTTTGTAGGGGTTGATAGTTAAGGCAAATCAAGTCTGACATTTTAAAGTGGAAATTACTTTTTGAAACCTTCAATACACTACAAGTTAGTATTTCCTGCTGTGCAGCACATTTTCTGCAACAACAGGGTAATCAAATTAAGATCCTACATCTGTACAGTATTTCAAGTTACCTTTCAGCCTCCTTGTCCTCCCCTCCAAAGGCTGCCACTGTTCTGATGGATGACAGTACCTCATCAGCTACCGCCCCTGCCTTGGCATAGGCCTGGAGCTCCCGACCTGTCAGTCTGGCAACAGCCTGAAGAGTGAATGAGTGGAGATGACTTAACAACATTCTCACATTCAAACCAGACTGGTTTGTCTGGTTTATCTGTAGTACATTTTAAACATCACAGAGAATACAGAGGTGGTGTGAGACTACCTCACTAACAGACTCAGAGGCTGTTACAACAGAATGAGTGACCATCACCAAATAAAGTAATTTAATACATTGAATTCAACCCATCTCACCATGGCCATTAGTCCAGCAGCAATTCCTATTAGTGGGCTTACTGCAATGACCACCAGAGTCAACTTCCATCCTCCAATGAACCCCACCATAAAGCCGAAGATAAAAGTGGAGATCCTCTCGATGAAGATAGACACCTGGTCAGCTATCGCATTGTTGATCTTGTTGATGTCGCTGAGGTGAGAGAACAAGTTCAATCACACAGTTGTTGTGGTCCGATTAGAATGGGTCAAACCCAAAATGTAAGGGTTATTTATAGAAACATCCTCCAAACATGCCCTCAATCATTCACACATCTCTGTTGAAAAGAACCCATGGGTTTAGGTCTTACTCTGATATCCTGGTGTTTAATTCTCCAACTGAATTGCAGTCAAACCAGCCAATCTCCATTCGCATGACCTTCCTAAAGTAAGTCTTCCTGATTCTCTGGATCTGTCTGGCAGCAGCAGACACCCAGAGGGCAATCTACACAGAGCAGGATTGAATACAGTTATTCAAATACCAGTTATAGATGGATTAACCTATTAAGAAGGTTGCAAAACTCAGTGGAGAGAAAGCACTTTGAGCATGAAGTTGAACCCACTTACTTGGAAATAACTAACAATCAAGACTCCTAATCCAATACCAACATAGTAATATGCAAACATGGTCATCTGTGCTTCGATATCCACCCTGTAAAAAAAAATTATGCTTAGCTATATATATTTTTATGAACATTTTATGATCCATAACCCATTCCATTCTAATCAGGAACTTCAGCATCAGCATGGACAGTAATATGAATAGATCAAAATAGAAAACCTTGACGCAGGAGTAAAATATAGTCTTTAATAGGAAAGTGTCAACTCACCCACAGAAGACTGTTGTGTTCTCTGCTATTTCAAATATGGAGCCATTGCTCCAGGTGATGGTGTTGTTAATGCAGGTTTTGTTGGGGTCTGCCAGTTCTTGGACCTCTAGCTCGTATGCCACAAAGGTGTTTGTCATCATGCCGTACACCAGGAGCATGAGAGGGGAGGCTGCTCCGTGGACTAGAGCACATAAGCCCCCGACTACCATCATCAGTCTGTCCTTCCATGTTGCAAATCGAAACTGGATCAAATAGATAGGTTACATTCCTTTTCAAATAAAAGGAAACATAATATTGTGCAATCATAGCAAAAAAACATCATTATTAATCACAAGTAATAATAATTAATAATATCTTAAGGGTACAAAATAAATACCAGTTGAAAGAATCCAACGTCCAAGAGCTTTTGTTTTTTCTTTCCATCTCTGCAATCAAAACTATCAAATGAGAAAAGCTCTTGCATGGTGATGATTGAAGTTTATATGATACTTTCATGATGATAGAAGTGTATAGCTTTATGATAGATATTATGCTAAGAAGAACCAAGTTACAATTAGAAGAGTTTTGTTGAAAAGTACCCGTGTTATAAAAAATAAATAACAAATGGTCTGTGATATGGTCAAATTTCGTTTGTGAGGTTCATTCATCTGTGAATGAGGGCAATAATGCAATGAACGGAATGGAGTTTGACTTGAGTATGAATAAAATGTTGTTATTTGAAAAGTTAAAAAGAAGAAGAAAAAAGAAGCATAGGCCTACTGTTATTTCAATTCCAATCAAAAACAGACACTTACCCTTTTTCATTCCCTGTTCAAAAAGAAAGGCCAAAGTTAAATTGAAACTTTAGGAAGAGATTTGCAATATGATTCCAACTCTTACTGGGGCATAATCATGTTAACATTATGGTATTTGTGGTATAACAGGAAGAAATGGGACACTTACCTTTTTCTTCTCTGTCTGGTTTTGTTTGCCAATATTCTTTGTCAGTGTCGTCCTGTAGAGAAGTGACCTTTTTCTGGTAAATATGATCCTTCATTTTTGTAGCTTTAACTCTGGCAGGCACGTCCTCACTGGGCCTAATGGGAGAGAAGGGTCATTTTAGCTCACCGTCTTCTTTACAAACATCCACAAAATATACATTCACAGTCTGTAGTGAACAGTCTGTTCTACCATCCAAATGTGACTTCTATGATAACGCATTTTGTGGGATAAAATATACAACAAAACAATCTTAAAATCTCTGGAATTCAAAATTCAATTCTGTCATCTGTTTGTCATGACCATAGACTGTACAATACTGGGAATCAGGACTTTTGGACTATGAAGGACTTGATTACAAGTAGTTGTATCCTTGACAACACCATTATAGCCATATAATAAGTCCTTAGTGCTCTATTACATAATATGGACAAAACATTTGATAATTGAAAGTAATTTTATTGAATAGAAAAACCATATAATGAATAGGATCTCTGTAAGAAAAAACATTGTTTATAAGGAGCTATCCTGACAAATTCTAAAATGTTTTTAAAAAAAAGATATAAACATGTAAATTACAGTACATGGATGGAAAAACAGACATACACAGAAAATATCAGTTTAGAGAGTTACTAACAAGTTCAACACATGCATGACTCATTTCTTATCAGAATAAAGAGCATTATTACCATAATACACAAGAAAATGCAAACAAAATAATATGTAGAATATAGATATGGAAATATCCAATATATCTACCATGAAGATCCACTTCAGCTACGCAGAATAATAATGTATCATATAAGCTTTCCTCCCTATCTTACTATAGAACGAAGAGCAAACTATAGCGTACCTGTTTTGTCTTCCTGTCAAGGACGCCTCTGATATCCTACAAGCCTTTCGTCACTACCAACAATAAATAATCCCTCCTACCAGAGGAAATTCCTATCTTATTCTCAGTGTACGTCTTTCCCACTATCTCCCCTTCTATTAGACTGATAAGAGTTCTATCAGCATTATGTCTCTAACTAAGGAGCTTTTGTGAGGCAAAGGTATATTCATCCAATCAATGAGTTAATATAAGTTAATGTGTTTAACCATGCATTGATTAATATGAGCATTACTCCGCACCTGTCTGACAATTTGTTCTCTTAGAAAGATTCAGGTGTGCAGTGTCTGCTGTATTTTTATAAATACATTTGAATAAACTTGAATACTGAAGTACATGTGCTTGCATCAAATTCACCAAATATCTGAATTACATGTTTAAATATGCCTCTTGATTAATATGGAATGAATGTTCAATGAGATGGAAAATATGAATGCAGTAAAAGTAAATTCTATCAATATTATTTATATGTAAGTCAACAGTTGGATTGTTGAAAGAACTTCTCCTGTTCCAGTGATAGGTGTGGATCACCTGGATGTCATCAGCAGAACGTTATAAAATGAGTGTACTGACCTGAAGGTCATTAGTCTGTACAGCTAATTCCCCCAGAGCCACCATGATACCATTAATTAATAACAGAACCACACCATAGAATCACACCATGGATAGTAAAATGAGTGTAATGACCTATGGGTCGTTAGTCTGTAGAGCTGATTCACACAGGGAATATATTGCAACATCCATCAATCAGAGATACATAGCTATTATGGATCAACTCCCCAACCTTGGACCAAATTAGGCTAATGAAAATTTAGAACATGTAATAAAGTGACAAGAAACTTGAAGAAGTATCAGGTCATAGTGTGAATGCATGTGGTCATTTCTTTGTAAAAGGACCCATGAGCACCAAAATGTGAAGTTCATATGTGCATGTCAAATTGGGTGTCAAATGAAAACCAAGACTCTATGTTTTTGAGAAATTAAGACGTAATCAGTGAGGGAAAAAAGTATTTGATCCCCTGCTGATTTTGTACGTTTGCCCACTGACAAAGAAATTATCAGTCTATAAGTTTAATGGTAGGTTTATTTGAACAGTGAGAGACAGAATAACAACAACAAAATCCAGAAAAACGCATGTCAAAAATGTTATAAATTGATTTGCATTTTAATGAGGGAAATAAGTATTTGACCCCCTCTCAATCAGAAAGATTTCTGGCTCCCAGGTGTCTTTTATACAGGTAACGAGCTGAGATTAGGAGCACACTCTTAAAGGGAGTGCTCCTAATCTCAGCTTGTTACCTGTATAAAAGACACCTGTCCACAGAAGCAATCAATCAATCAGATTCCAAACTCTCCACCATGGCCAAGACCAAAGAGCTCTCCAAGGATGTCCGGGACAAGATTGTAGACCTACACAAGGCTGGAATGGGCTACAAGACCATCGCCAAGCAGCTTGGTGAGAAGGTGACAACAGTTGGTGCGATTATTTGCAAATGGAAGAAACACAAAATAACTGTCAATCTCCCTTGGCCTGGGGCTCCATGCAAGATCTCACCTCGTGGAGTTGCAATGATCATGAGAACGGTGAGGAATCAGCCCAGAACTACACGGGAGGATCTTGTCAATGATCTCAAGGCAGTTGGGACCATAGTCACCAAGAAAACAATTGGTAGCAAACTACGCCGTGAAGGACTGAAATCCTGCAGCGCCTGCAAGGTCCGTCTGCTCAAGAAAGCACATATACAGGGCCGTCTGAAGTTTGCCAATGAACATCTGAATGATTCAGAGGAGAACTGGGGGAAAGTGTTGTGGTCAGATGAAACCAAAATCGAGCTATTTGGCATCAACTCAACTCGCCGTGTTTGGAGGAGGAGGAATGCTGCCTATGACCCCAAGAACACCATCCCCACCGTCAAACATGGAGGTGGAAACATTATGCTTTGGGGGGGTTTTTCTGCTAAGGGGACAGGACAACTTCACCGCATCAAAGGGACGATGGACGGGGCCATGTACCGTCAAATCCTGGGTGAGAACCTCCTTCCCTCAGCCAGGACATTGAAAATGGGTTGTGGATGGGTATTCCAGAATGACAATGACCCAAAACACACGGCCAAGGCAACAAAGGAGTGGCTCAAGAAGAAGCACATTAAGGTCCTTGCAAATTAAACATTTGAAATTAACAACTGGTTTTCAGCTGTGGTAGAAGTGTAGTTACAGCTTTTATAATGTCCAGCAGATGGAGTACGTCGACCGTCCATAAAACATTTGTTAAATAAAATGTCTTCACTCACCGGAAGGTGAAGAACACAGAGAAAATAAAAACTATTTCAGGACAAGGATGTTACGCTATTACCAGCCACTCAAGAAGCGCACTGAGGGGAGCGCAATTCTGTCGCCTGTGGTAAGTTTTCAGTGTTTCTTTGCCATATCTGAGAAAGGATATTAATCAGGCAGTTTGATGAACATGAAATGTTAAAAGAACAAACGTTACTCGAGTTGATAAAGTTGCAAAAGTCGCAGTTCACTGAACAAGTGATTCGAGCCATTAATGTATCCCATCTTTCAAAGAAGTGGGCTAACTGCCTTCTTACATTTTAGTCATGTAGAAGATGCTCTTATCCAGAGCGACTTACAGTTAGTGAGTGCATACATTTTTCATACTTGACGTGGTTATTGAAATATGTGAGTAACTATAATGAGGTGATTTTTAGGTCTTGGCGTCTGAATCTGATTAACGTTCCTCTTTTAAACAAAAACTGTTTTTATCGATTTTAAATAGTAGGCGTGGCTTTGCGTAGGTGTTGTAGGTCATTGCTATCACGTGAGGTGCAATGAATCTGATTAACGTTCCTCTTTTAAACAAAAACTGTTTTTATCGATTTTAAATAGTAGGCGTGGCTTTGCGTAGGTGTTGTAGGTCATTGCTGTCACGTGAGGTGCAACGTTTTCTTATTTTTTTTTTACCTGTAGGCAACAATGGAGAGCCTACTGTATTCCAAGGGGCTAGTAACGTAGATGTGGGCTGAACATTTCAGGCATTTATCCAACTTATTTTTGCTCAATAAATACTAGGCATAATCTATTAGATAACCCATAGTGGTCAAAGATCATTCATGGTTAAAATGATAAACAGGAGATCTTATCATTATTTTAGATGTTATGTAAACAGTTAATGGTTTTGTTCATCCAGGGAATAGGGCAGGCAATCAGTTTGGAGGTAGAATACTTTATAATAATACATCATCTTTTGTAGCCAAGTGGATTTACCCATCAAAGAAAGTTTCCTCTAATTCCATGCCTCACTTCATGTTCAAATGGCCATGTCATCGGACTGTTAAACTGTTCAGATTTAATCAGATATAAACTGTAGGCCTACTATATATTTCACTTGGAAATATTCTGTAATTACTGTAGGCAAGTGGTTCTTTGTCCTGGGGACCCAAAGGGGTGCACATTCTTGTTTTTTCCTAGCCCCTAGCACTACACAGCTGATTAAAATGATCAAACCATCATCAAGCTTTAATGATTTGAATCAGGGTTGTAGTGCAAAAACATAATTGTTGACCATTTGGGTCCCCAGGACCAGGATTAAGAAACAGTGTTGTAGCTGTAGAATGGTCACTAAGCAGAACTTGCAGTCGCACACCAGATAAATGTAAATAGGCCTTCAATACTTAAACAAATGTCATAGAGCAAACAGCACAGCAGATATTTTATGAATTTGCTTCTAAAATCCAATTAAAATGGATGGAAATATACAGTTTTTCACCAAAGCTCTTAGCCGTCTGTCTGTAAACTACTCAAGAATTTGTCAATGGTTTACAAAATAGTATCCTACAAGATTCTGCTGTTTTTGCCATAGGACTGATTGCATTGATGTTTCTACTAGATTGTGCTCCTCGGTCAAATACTCAGAAGATAAAATGATATGCCCCCAATGAACCTTCAATTGTATATCTTTGCAAATAGAAAAGGTTTATTTGTAATATGATAAAATATTATATTTATCTGAATGAACCTCTTTCCTGTCTCAGAAATGTTCCTGTACATTCTTGGACTGGTGGCTTTTTGGTTTGTGTTCCGCTGGTACAGGGAACTCGCAAGAGTACCCAATAAAGGAGAGAAATATGTCTACATCACTGGCTGTGACTCTGGGTTCGGGAACCTTCTGGCCAGACATCTGGACAAGCTGGGCTTCTGTGTGATCGCAGCCTGCTACACTGACAAGGGGGAGGATGAGCTGAAGAAGGTCTCTTCTGAACGATTGAACACAGTCCACCTGGATGTCATCAGCACTGACAGTGTCAACAAAGCAACGGCATTCATCAAAACCTTGGTTGGGGAGAAGGGTGTGTGTCTTTGAAGACCAGTTTAGCCAAATGTTGCAACTTTTGTAAAAATGGACTCCAATACTTTCCTGACTTTAAAAATGGGGGAAGCGTTTGGTATTCAAAATATCCAAGTATCTAGACTGACTTCTGGTCTACTCATTAATTGAGTCCGAGTAATATTACTATGAGTCAGTCAACTGGTGCTATGGAATTTCCAACCACAAACATCTTAAAGGTCCAATGCAGCTGTTTTTATCTTGATATCAAATCATTTCTGAGTACCTTATTTTGATTGTTTTAAATTGAAATGGTCAAAAAGAAACAAATTGCTTTTTAGCAAAGAGCAATTTCTCAAGCAAGAATTTTGCTAGGACTGTCTGGGAGTGGTCTGAGTAGGGAGAACTGAAAACTAGCTGTCACCAGACAGGCCAAAAACACCATCCCACTAAAACAGGCTGACATTTCAGGCGGTCTTTTCAAACAGCTCTTACACTAAAAGGACATTATCATAATTTTCACAGTATTATTCCAACCTCATTGTGTGGAAACAATATACATATAAAACACAGGAAAATCAGGTTTTTGACTGTACTGGGCCTTTTTAAGTGAACCCTTCTCACTGTAAGATACCTCACTCCCACACGTGACAACTGGCATGTACTGTAAGCACTTGTTGACACTTGTAGGCATGGAATGTTTTCCTTCATTGTGACTGCTGCCTGTGTCCTGCTGTGGGTGTGATTTGTTTGTACTATATGTTCTGCCTTAATGTTTTTTTCAGGTCTGTGGGCTGTGGTGAACAATGCTGGAGTCTCTGTACCATCCGGTCCCTGTGACTGGATGACCGTCGACGACTACAAGTCCATGTTGGATGTTAACCTCATTGGAGTCATTGGTGTGACTCTGAGCGTTCTGCCCCTCATCAAGAAGGCCAGGGGTAGGGTGGTGAATGTGGCCAGCGTGTTTGGGAGGATAAGCGCCTTTGGGGGTCCCTACTGTGTGTCAAAATATGGAGTGGAGGCTTTCAATGACAGTCTACGGTGCGAGGCCCTGCTTTTTGTCTAAGCATATACTGTATCACGTTTATTTGAATGTATTAGAGAATTGTAGCAAACTGAATAGTGTTGCTCAGAGCTTTATTCTCTATGGCTCTGACTTTATATGGATATTGTATTGCAGACATATATTAATGTTTGTTGTGGCACATTTTTCTTTTGAATTCCAGGATGAACATGTCAGCGTTTGGAGTTAAAGTCCTGTGTCTTGAACCAGGCTTTTTCAAAACAAGTGTGACTGATCTACATCTCCTGAGAAAAAATGTGAAGACATTGTGGGACAATCTGTCTGAAGAAATCAAAGATCAATATGGACATGATTACCCAGAGAGAGGTACGTATTTTATATATTTTTAACAAAACAAACAAACATACAAATGAACCTGTGCATGCTGCTGTAGTATGATTGATGCAAATAGGTTTATCATAACGTGTGTGACAGAATGATAAGCACTCCAAGAACGCATTGACAGGGATTGCCCAGGGCATTGACAGGGATTGCCCAGGGCAAATGAACTGGGCAAGTTAAACCTGCCTGCCTTTGACGTCAGCTTGTTAATGGAGGTAATACCTTTCTTCCAGCAAATGTGACATTGGAGAAGAATGTTGCAACGTTGCTGGATGGGGACCTGATGAAGGTTGTGAGTTGTATGGAGCACGCCATCTCTGCTGTCCACCCTCGGACACGCTACTCACCTGGCTGGGATGCCAAGTTCTTATGGTTGCCAATGTCCTACCTCCCAACTTGGATCGCTGACAAAATGCTCTTAAAAGATATGGCCAAGCCAACAGGCGCTATTCTTTAATGTTAATGGTTGTCTGACCGAAAGTAGGAAGAAGTCTTTATTAACACCCACTGGAGAGCAAGAAAAATTGCATACTTTTTTATCATTGGAAAAAATGTATAGCATGTGAATGAAAAATAAACATTAATTTGTTTTCAAAATTAAACAGTTGTGATTTGCCTTTTGTCTAATCACATTTGTATTTGTACTGTTTCACTGGTCTCATAATATAACTGAATGGAAAGAGTTTCAGTAGTTTAAATTAAGCTGTGTTTTCATTATGTGTCCACTTGATACATACAGTAAATTATATTCTGTCTAGACCATAAATCTATGCTCTAATCTAGACCAACATTTTAGGCTGGGTTTCTGTATAAGCACTTTGTGACATCTGCTGATGTAAAAAGTGCTTTATAAATACATTTGATTTGATTAGCTTATAGCTACCCAATCTCATTGAAGGATACAACTAATAAAAACGAATAGTTGTTTCCCACATTACTAAGGGGAGATGGCTGCTGATAATTATAGTATTATGTGCATTCTACTTTACCTGCACTGGCTGCCTTCCTCTCATTCATGAGTCTTCAACAACGGCACACTTACACTGCTCTGCTCAAAGATACTGTATGACTTTGTAGAATGGAGTGCACCTTCAAAAGAAAAACAGATGTGTGGCCTAGCCCTAGTGGTAATCAGGTGAAAGAAGATGTATTTACCAGAACTCTTATCATCATGTAAACCATTGAAGGTCCATGGGACATATTACACAATCAAGCAGCACAGACCTTTGACACCGCTCCCAATCTGTAGCCCCTCATAAGTCCTTTGATTGTAGCCACTGGGAAGCATGTAGGTTGGACTGAGGAACAAACTCCATTCTGCTTTTTTTATATCCTGGATGAGAAAACACCAAACTTGCAAGTAGCCATGGTAGGTCCAATGTATAATCCACATTACAGAAGATCTTGTATATGATTGCAAAATTTCCCTAAATTCCTGGGTTTTTCAGAAATCCTGGAATTTTGGGAAAGTAACCTGACTTTTGTAATTCTAATCCAATGTAAGTGTAAACTGTAAAAATGTTCCACCTTTTTAATGCTTAATTGTGAACAAATTTAATTCAACACAACATACTTATTGCATTTGTGAATATAGGTTTATACATAATTGTGTGGCTATATTTTATACCTTTTTACATAACACTGCCAGAAAGAAATGACCGTTAACCTTGTTGACAACAGTGTGTGGACTCCTACATGATTTACTTTTACCAGTGTTTATGTGCACATTTAGGAGATACCAAGATGCCATCTGGTGGTCAGAGTAACACTATTACAGTTTTCCATTATAACGCTATGACAGAATAGTGTCATGAGCAAACAACATAGGCTTAGCCCACTGCACGATTTACAGCAAATTCTTCCTATCAAAAAACAAAAGCTTACTGTGCAACACATTCCTAATCAAATTATGTTTACTCTCATTGGATATAGCTGTGAATTGCTACCATTAATTCCAACTATGGAATCTGAAATAATTATTGAAAAAAGAAGGCTGTAGAATTGAGAAGAATTTTAGAATGTTTTATTCAGCCAAGTTCTCTCAAACCAGAAATACGCTTTTAGGTATTATGTTTCACCCTACTAGACATGTATACTATGTCATATGAAAAGCTGTGAGCTACTTGCAGCCAAGTTTGCTTATGACCAGGTGCATTGCTGTGATTATGACAAACTAATAATATAATCCTTCAGGTGTGTACCAGATCTGTAAGCAAGATAGACAAGGATAATGGCGTTGGAGCACACAGACAAACAACTGCATATGAAAAGAAACGGAATAATTAGATTGTAGGCCTATACTCTAAACACTGAGCTATTGTCTTATTAATTTGAAGAATCATATTATTTAATGTGGTTCTTTAGAGCCTATTCATCTTTGTCAATATAGTTATGCTGTTTTTATTATTCTAACATGTCAACTATTCAAATGAAGGAGCAATTAGAATACTAATGGCTGAAGACTCAGCTTTCTCTGATGTAAGTGTTTTGAAGAAAAAACAAGACAATAATATGTTATTGGAAAGGTACCATTATATAACTGAAATGTGACTCCCTATAGGTCTTTCCTCTGGTGTCTGAAGAGAATATTCTAGTGGATTTTTTTCAGGTGAGATTGATAAAGTTCCTTGTCTTTTATAACTTATTTATAACATTACTTTCTTTATTACATTGTTTGTTTATTATAAACAATGTTGTCATTTTTTGTCTGTCTGTTTTAGGCAATCCTATCACACTTGGCCCTATCCTGCATACTAATTTCAGTTACAGCCATAGCCATCGCCTGGTTTATTAGAGATTCTTTCAAAGTTGAAGATTTTGACAAGAAACATGTCTTTATCACGGGCTGTGATAGCGGATTTGGAAATTTGGTGGCAAGGCAACTTGACCAAAGGGGGTTTCATGTAATAGCCGCATGTCTCACGAAGAAAGGTGAATCGGAATTGAAGGCTGCGGCCTCTCCCAGACTGAAGACAGTTCTGTTCAATGTTACCGACAGTCTGAGCATCGAGAGTGCGGTGGAGGTTGTGCGCGCCGAGGTTGGAGAACGAGGTAAGTGAGGAAGGCAGCAGTGGGTAGATAGGGTGCCAGTCAGAGTCAAGCACCGGGAGAGATAAAAATGTGATGGGGTGCTTGACTAACCGAAACTGACCCATACGTCTGCATATTTTCAAACCATTATCACCTTGAGAGCTGCTGAGGAAACCTACCATAACATTACCAAGACACAGTGATGAGAAAATGGACCAACTTTTGTTAAGTCACCAGCCAAGTTTACTCTGAATCACATAAATGGTCTGTGATTTGAATTAGATGCCTAATTGGAATATTCTTGCTTTAAACACTAAACACTAAAACATAGTGATTTATGGCTATCCCAAGCTTTGAAATATTACTTCTGTGCTTGGCCCAAACCCTTTAGAATGAAATATTTGGTGCAAGATCCACAATCATGTCATGTATCCTTTACCTCTTTCCACAAGCAGATTAGTGAATGGAAGATTTAAGACAGCTTTGCTTCATATATCCAGCCCTGGTTAAATGTCTGGTTAAAGATGAATGAATTGCCTTTTGACATTCCCAGAATTCAACTAACTATTGATAGGACACATATTGCACTAGGGGGCATCACTCTAGGATTACATGTAATAGAGACCTCTGAGTGGAAAATACTGTGTGTTACTACAGTTATTGCACAGAACAGTTGCAGCGTATCTCTTTCTACCCACATTTCTTATCATACAGTTGAAGTCGGAAGTTTACATACAACTTAGCCAAATACATTTAAACTCAGTTTTTCACAATTCCTGACAGTTAATCCTAGTAAAAATGCCCTGTCTTAGGTATGTTAGGATCACCACTTTATTTTAAGAATGTGAAATGTCAGAATAATAGTAGAGAGAATTATTTATTTCAGCTTTTATTTCTTTCATCACATTCCCAGTGGGTCAGAAGTTTACATACACTCAATTAGTATTTGGTAGCATTGCCTTTAAATTGTTTAACTTCAGTCAAACGTTTCGGGTAGACTTCCACAAGCTTCCCACAATAAGTTGGCTGAATTTTGGCCTATTCCTCCTAACAGAGCTGGTGTAACTGAGTCAGGTTTGTAGGCCTCCTTGCTCGCACGCTTTTTCATTTCTGGCCACAGATTTTCTATAGGATTGAGGTCAGGGCTTTGTGATGGCCACTCCAATACCTTGACTTTGTTGTCCTTAAGCCATTTTGCCACAACTTTGGAAGTATGCTTGGGGTCATTGTCCATTTGGAAGACCCATTTGTGACCAAGCTTTAACTTCCTGACTGATGTCTTGAGATGTTGCTTCAATATATCCACATAATTTTCCTTCCTCATGATGCCATCTATTTTGTGAAGTGCACCAGTCCCTCCTGCAGAAAAGCACCCCCACAGCATGATACTGCCACCCCCATGCTTCACGGTTGGGATGGTGTTCTTCGGCTTGCAAGCGTTCCCCTTTTTCCTCCAAACATAACGATGGTCATTATGGCCAAACAGTTCTATTTTTGTTTCATCAGACCAGAGGACATTTCTTTGTCCCCATGTGCAGTTGCAAACCGTAGTCTGGCTTTTTTATGGTGGTTTTGGAGCAGTGGCTTCTTCCTTGCTGAGCGGCCTTTCAGGTTATGTCGATATAGGACTAGTTTTACTGTGGATATAGATACTTTTGTACCTGTTTCGTCCAGCATCTTCACAAGGTCCTTTGCTGTTGTTCTGGGATTGATTTGCACTTTTCGCACCAAAGTACGTTCATCTCTAGGAGACAGAACGCGTCTCCTTCCTGAGCGGTATGACAGCTGCGTGGTCCCATGGTGTTAATACTTGTGTACTATTGTTTGTACAGATGAACGTGGTACCTTCAGGCATTTGGAAATTGCTCCCAAGGATGAACCAGACTTGTGGAGGTCTACCATTTTTTTTCTGAGGTCTTGGCTGATTTCTTTTAATTTTCCGATGATGTCAAGAAAAGAGGTACTGAGTTTGAAGGTAGGCCTTGAAATACATCCACAGGTACACCTCCAATTGACTCAAATCATGTCAATTAGCCTATCAGAAGCTTCTAAAGCCATTACATCATTTTCTGGAATTTTCCAAGCTGTTTAAAGGCACAGTCAACTTAGTGTATGTAAACTTCTGACCCACTGGAATTGTGATACAGTGAATTATAAGTGAAATAATCTGTCTGTAAACAATTGTTGGAAAAATTACTTGTGTCATGCACAAAGTAGATGTCCTAACTGACTTGCCAAAACTATAGTTTGTTAACAAGACATTTGTGGAGTGGTTGAAAAACAAGTTTTAATGACTCCAATCTAAGTGTATGTAAACCTCCGACTTCAACTGTATAAGAGTACTCTAATACTTGATAATGCAGTATCACATGTCGTTACTGTGCGAAGTTCGTCTCCCTCTCTGTATCACAGGTCTCTGGGGGCTGATCAACAACGCTGGGAGGTCCACACCTATAGGCCCCACTGAATGGATGCAGTTGGAGGACTTCAAGAAAGTTCTAGATGTGAATTTAATAGGTCTGATTGAAGTGACCCTGAAGTTCCTCCCACTCTTAAAGAAGGCTCAAGGAAGGGTGGTCAATGTTGCCAGTATCCTGGGGAGGCTTGCCCTCATTGGAGGAGGCTACTGCCTATCTAAGTATGGTGTGGAGGCCTTCTCTGACAGCCTTAGGTATCGTGGCATTGTTTTACAATATAATAAACTCAGTAAACTAGGGATTGATTTCCAAGCATTTTATTATGGAACTGTAACTGTGCAATGCTGTGCACCACAGAGTTATTCATAGATTTAAGCATCTTATTGTATTAGCTAGATAACAACTAAGCTGCCTGCTCTTATGTTCAGGCGGGATATGCAGCATTTTGGTGTAAAAGTGAGTATCATTGAGCCTGGTTTCTTCAAGACGGGTGTGACCAGGCTGGACCTCATTGAAGCAGACCTGCAGAGACTATGGAACCGTCTCCCTGAGGAGGTCAAGCACTCATATGGACCCAACTTCTTTGATGAATGTGAGTAAATACTGTGTACTGTTTTTAAAATGGTTGAGTCATGTCATTACAATGCTGAAACATTCATGTCTGACTCTCATCCATTCACTGTGGTCTATGACAGATGTAAAAGCTCAGGATTTCTCCATGGGTCTCCTGTGCAGTTCAGACATCTCCAAAGTGACCAGTTGCATGCAGCATGCCCTTACAGCCCGCCACCCACGGACCCGCTACTCACCTGGTTGGGATGCAAAGCTCATCTGGATCCCCCTGTCCTACCTCCCTACATTCATAGCAGACTTCGCCATCGCTGTTCTACTTCCTGTCCCCAAAGACGACAGAAAGATCCATGCAAACCAAGTGGGTGTGGCAAACACATGAGCCACTGGACTCTTTCCTTTATCAATCACATCTATGATACGTTTTAGACTGATTTATATTCATTATTTGCATTTCAAGTATGTTGATATTGTTTAACTTCAGTCAAACGTTAAAATAATAAAAATATAAATGCAAAATGTAAAGTGTTATTCCCATGTTTCATGAGCTTAAATAAATCCCCAAAATGTTCCATATGCACAAAAAGCTTATTTCTCTCTATTTTTAATTTTTTTGTGCACAAATTTGTTTACATCCCTGTTAGTGAACATTTCTCCGTTGCCAAGATAATCTATCCACCTGATAGGTGTGGCATATCAAGAAGCTGATTAAACAGCATGATCATTACACAGGTGCACCTTGTGCTGAGGACAATAAAAGGCCACTTTTAAATGTGCAGTTTTGTCACACAACACAATGCCATAGATGTCTCAAGTTTTGAGGGAGCGTGCAATTGGCATGTTGACTGCAGGAAAGTATGTGGACACCCCTTCAAATTAGTGGATTCGGCTATTTCAGCCATACCCGTTGCTGACAGGTGTATAAAATTGAGCACACAGCCATGCAATCTCCATAAACAAACATTGGCAGCAGAATGGCCTTACTGAAGAGCCCAGTGTCCTTCAACGCGGCACCGTCATAGGATGCCACCTTTCCAACAAGTCAATTCATCAAATTTCTGCCCTGCTATAGCTGCCTCGGTCAACTGTAAGTGCTGTTATTGTGAAGTGCAAAGTCTAGGAGGAACATCGGCTCAGCCGAGAAGTGGTAGGCCGCACAAGCTCACAGAACAGGACCGCTGAGTGCTGAAGCACGTAGTGCGTAAAAATCGTCGGTCCTCAGTTGCAACACTCACTACCGAGTTCCAAATTGCCTCTGGAAGCAACGTCAGCACAATAACTTTTCATCGGGAGCTTCTTGAAATGTGTTTCCATGGCTGAGTAGCTGCACACAAGCCTAAGATCACCATGCGCAATGACAAGCGTCGGCTGGAGTGGTGTAAAGCTCGCCGCCATTGGACTCTGGAGCAGTGGAAACACGTTATCTGGAGTGATGAATCACGCTTCACCATCTGGCAGTCTGACGGATTAATCTGGGTTTGGCGGATGCCAGGAGAACACTACCTGCCCCAATGCATAGTGCCAACTGTAAAGTTTGGTGGAGGAGGAATCATGGTCTGGGGCTGTTTTTCATGGTTCGGGCTAGGCCCCTTAGTTCCAGTGAAGGGAAATCTTAACGCTACAGCATACAATGACATTCTAGACAATTCTGTGCTTCCAACTTTGTGGCAACAGTTTGGGGAAGGCCCTTTCCTGTTTCAGCATGACAATGCCCCCGTGCACAAAGTGAGGTCCATACAGAAATGGTTTGTCGAGATCGGTGTGGAACAACTTGACTGGCCTGCATAGAGCCCTGACCTCAACCCCATCAAACACCTTTGTGATGATTGGAACGCCGACTGCGAGCCAGGCCTAATCGCTCAACATCAGTGCTCTAGTGGCTGAATGGAAGCAAGTCCCCGCAGCAATTTTCCAACATCTAGTGGAAAGCCTTCCCAGAAGAGTGGAGGCTGTTATTGCAGCAAAGGGGGGACCAACTCCATATTAATGCCCATGATTTTGGAATGAGATGTTCGACGAGCAGGTGTCCACATACCTTTGGTCATGCAGTGTATGAACTGTAAAATTGTTGCATGTTGCGTTGTATGTAGTGAATCATTCATGAATATTGATATTAAATGTTCCTGTGGTGCCAACAAAATAAACAACTGTGTTAATCACAATGTATTTTAAGGTAAGAAAAACAGACTGTTGAGATTGTATTAAAAAACAAAACATTTATTCATTTTACGTCTCAGCAGCATACATGTTGTCTCCCACTTTGCTAGCTAGAAAACCATTTGAGCATATTTAGAATGATCATTGATACAGTTTTTATTTGTCATTTTCATCACAATACAAAACAATCAATCTAAGAGCATAGGATTTATAGCCCATGTTTAGAAAATGACAGTCAGATTCCTAATTTCTTCCAATTCTGTATCTCCAGATATGGATATTTTGCTCTTGGACTTTACCAGCTCCAGAGAGTCACTGGAGGTGGCCAAAATTATACATCTTCACACATTAAAATTATTGGCATATTCAAGTATTGTTCCAAGTTCATTTAAAAAAGATTCATAAAAAGTCTTACCTAAATATGAGAGTTTTGATTTAAATATGCCAAAAATATGATAATTTTGATCGTAAGTACCATTTACATACCATGTAAGTATGCTTAGCATACTATTCTTTGAGCTATTCAGAATTTGTATAGTTTTCTTTTTACAGCATCTATAGATTTAGAATAGCTAAGGTCATTGGATCAGTTTGTATTTGTTTTGCTTCGTTTTGTTTGTTTTTTTTAAGCCCTGAAATGAGGTATATAAACATGCAAGATGAAATGCATACATCTTCAGTTTTGTTCAGTGGCAAAAATAGTTAATTATCCTTACAAAACATTGTCCTAATGCGATATACAGTGGGGAAAAAAAGTATTTAGTCAGCCACCAATTGTGCAAGTTCTCCCACTTAAAAAGATGAGAGAGGCCTGTAATTTTCATCATAGGTACACGTCAACTATGACAGACAAAATGAAAAAAAAATATCCAGAAAATCACATTGTAGGATTTTTAATGAATTTATTTGCAATTTATGGTGGAAAAAAAGTATTTGGTCAATAACAAAAGTTACTCAATACTTTGTTATATACCCTTTGTTGGCAATGACACAGGTCAAACGTTTTCTGTAAGTCTTCACAAGGTTTTCACACACTGTTGCTGGTATTTTGGCCCATTCCTCCATGCAGATCTCCTCTAGAGCAGTGATGTTTTGGGGCTGTCGCTGGGCAACACGGACTTTCAACTCCCTCCAAAGATGTTCTATGGGGTTGAGATCTGGAGACTGGCTAGGCCACTCCAGGACCTTGAAATGCTTCTTACGAAGCCACTCCTTCTTTGCCCAGGCGGTGTGTTTGGGATCATTGTCATGCTGAAAGACCCAGCCACGTTTCATCTTCAATGCCCTTGCTGATGGAAGGAGGTTTTCACTCAAAATCTCACGATACATGGCCCCATTCATTCTTTCCTTTACACGGATCAGTCGTCCTGGTCCCTTTGCAGAAAAACAGCCCCAAAGCATGATGTTTCCACCCCTATGCTTCACAGTAGGTATGGTGTTCTTTGGATGCAACTCAGCATTCTTTGTCCTCCAAACACGACGAGTTGAGTTTTTACCAAAAAGTTATATTTTGGTTTCATCTGACCATATGACATTCTCCCAATCCTCTTCTGGATCATCCAAATGCACTCTAGCAATCTTCAGACGGGCCTGGACATGTACTGGCTTAAGCAGGGGGACACGTCTGGCACTGCAGGATTTGAGTCCCTGGCGGCGTAGTGTGTTACTGATGGTAGGCTTTGTTACTTTGGTCCCAGCTCTCTGCAGGTCACTAGGTCCCCCCGTGTGGTTCTGGGATTTTTGCTCACCGTTCTTGTGATCATTTTGACCCCACAGGGTGAGATCTTGCGTGGAGCCCCAGATCGAGGGAGATTATCAGTGGTCTTGTATGTCTTCCATTTCCTAATAATTGCTCCCACAGTTGATTTCTTCAAACCAAGCTGCTTACCTATTGCAGATTCAGTCTTCCCAGCCTGGTGCAGGTCTACAATTTTGTTTCTGGTGTCATTTGACAGCTCTTTGGTCTTGGCCATAGTGGAGTTTGGAGTGTGACTGTTTGAGGTTGTGGACAGGTGTCTTTTATACTGATAACAAGTTCAAACAGGTGCCATTAATACAGGTAACGAGTGGAGGACAGAGGAGCCTCTTAAATAAGAAGTTACAGGTCTGTGAGAGCCAGAAATCTTGCTTGTTTGTAGGTGACCAAATCCTTATTTTCCACCATAATTTGCAAATAAATTCATTAAAAATCCTACAATGTGATTTTCTGGAATTTTTTTCCTCAATTTGTCTGTCATAGTTGACGTGTACCTAAGATGAAAATTACAGGCCTCTCTCATCTTTTTAAGTGGGAGAACTTGCACAATTGGTGGCTGACTAAATACTTTTTTCCCCCACTGTATCTACGGTACATTCACAATGCACTTCACCTGTTATGTGTTACTTTGTTTATGAAGCACTATCGATAAGTTCATCTACTTCCAACAGCTAGAGAATATTATCGACAAAAATCTTACTCTTCAAATTTACAAATGTACAACATATTTATAACATTTCTATCAGCAGCTTCAGTGCAAAGATATACATATATTACATCACAATAAAAAAATCATGAAACAAGAATTGGCATCAGAAATATCCAAAGGCATAGTCATGACAGACCTCTTTTCTGTATGCTAAAGAAATGTTTGTCTAATTTCTTTTCTCAAAACAATCTTTGTTTTTTTACACAGGCTGCATATAAAAATAGATTCTGTGCAAAGGAGAGTGTCTTTGATTCCCGTCTGTGAGAAACGGGATTACACATCGCTGTCCTCTTTGACAAGGTTCGCTGTGTCTCGGAAAGTGTCCTCAGTTGGTGAGTAGGTGCTGGGACGATCCCTCTTAAAGGGTTTGGCGGTTGGGGCAAAGGGAGAGGGGTCGGTGGAGGAACTGTCCTCATTGCTTCCTACTGCTTTTTCATTCTGCATCTGAAAAACAACAAGGGGATGACTAGCAGAAAACAGGCCAACACAAACCCAAGACCTCTTAACCTACAAGTAGCAATAAGAAGCAAACATCAAACAGTTAGAAGGAATACAAACATATGTTCTATACGTTTCCCGTTTTCTACTGTAGAATAGGAATAGGTGCTGCTTGGGTGGCAGTATTGGGCTTACCTCTGAGTACGTTGGGTTTTCAAAAGTTGTGCTTGGCTTCAATTTTCTTTTGAAGAAGCTCCACCTGGACTCCTGTCAATGTAGGACACAATTGCTGTAAATTACAATTTAATCCCTTACCTTTAACTAATGATACAAGTACAGGAAGGGAGAGTCACCTGAACCGGCTTGGCTCTGGCTGTGGAACTGTCCACGGTGCTCACAATCTGCTCTGTATGGTACGCTGAGTTCGCAAAGTTCTTCTCTATCTGCTCACCGCTAACAGTAACAGTCACCTGTTTGGAGTAAAACAGTGCAGAACAATTAGTATTGCTTTAACAATGATGTCAATCCAATCTGCCCTAGAAATGTTCATGCAATAGTGTTGTCTTGCGTACCTGTGTCGCGTGGATGACAGCAGGATCACTAGACGATCCAGCCGCTGCAGTGGCATACAGAGGGTTCTCAAACGTGATTGGCTGCCTCCCCGCTTCCACTGCAAAGTTCTCATCCTGAAAGAGACACAGTGTTATTCATCATCAATCAAATGTATTTATAAAGCCCTTTTTACATCAGCAGATGTCACAAAGTGCTATACAGAAACCCAGCCTAAAACCCCAAACAGCAAGCAATGCAGATGTAGAAGCACGGTGGCGGGGAAAAACCCCCCTTTTTTTTTTTAAACCCATTTAAAATGAAAAAGGGGGGGGAATTTCCCCGGGGGGTTTTTGGGTTGGGGGTTTTTTTTTGGGGGGTTTTTTTCCCCGGCCCCCCTTTTTTTCCCCGGGGGGGAAAAAACCCCCAAAAAATTTTTTTTTTCCCCCAAAAAGGGGGTTTCCGGGGGGGGGGGGCCCTTTTTGGGGGGGGAAAAAAATTTTTTTTAAAACCCCCTTGGGGAAACCCCCCCTTTTTTAAAACCCCTTTCCCCCCCCCAAAAAAAAAGGGGGTTTTTTTTTTTTTAAAAAACCCCCAAAATTTGGTTTTTTAAAAAACCCCCCCCCAAAAAAAAAGGAAAAAAGGGGGGGGGGTTTTTAAAAACCCCCCCCCCCGGGGGGGGGGGGGGGGCCCTTTTTTTTGGGGTTTTCCCGGGGGGGGGCCCCCGGGGGGGGGGAAAACCCCAAGGGTTTGGGGAAACCCCCCCCCCCTTTTTTTGGGAGGTTCCTCCTCTCTCTCTCCGTCTCTCTCTCCTCTCTCTCTCTCTCTCTCTCTCTCTCCTCTCTCTCTCTCTCTCTCATCTCCTCTCTCTCTTCTCTCTCTCTCTCTCTCCTCTCTCTCTCTCTCTCTCTCTCTCTATAGAATATATATATCATATATATAATAGATATACAGTGGGGAAAAAAGTAGTTGATCCCCTGCTGATTTTGTAACGTTTGCCCACTGCCAAAGGAAAAGGATCAGTCTATAATGTTTTAAAGGTAGGTTTATTTGAACAGGTGGAGAGCAGAAATAACACAAAAAATAGAGAAAAACGCATGTCAAAAATGTTATAAATTGATTTGCATTTTAATGAGGGAAAATAAGTATTTGACCCCCTCTCAATCAGAAAGATTTCTGGCTCCCAGGTGTATTTTATACAGGTAACGAGCTGAGATTAGGAGCACACTCTTAAAGGGAGTGCTCCTAATCTCAGCTTGTTACCTGTATAAAAGACACCTGTCCACAGAAGCAATCAATCAATCAGATTCCAAACTCTCCACCATGGCCAAGACCAAAGAGCTCTCCAAGGATGTCAGGGACAAGATTGTAGACCTACACAAGGCTGGAATGGGCTACAAGACCATCGCCAAGCAGCTTGGTGAGAAGGTGACAACAGTTGGTGCGATTATTCGCAAATGGAAGAAACACAAAAGAACTGTCAATCTCCCTCAGCCTGGGGCTCCATGCAAGATCTCACCTCGTGGAGTTGCAATGATCATGAGAACGGTGAGGAATCAGCCCAGAACTACACGGGAGGATCTTATCAATGATCTCAAGGCAGTTGGGACCATAGTCACCAAGAAAACAATTGGTAACACACTACGCCGTGAAGGACTGAAATCCTGCAGCGCCCGCAAGGTCCCCCTGCTCAAGACAGCACATATACAGGCCCGTCTGAAGTTTGCCAATGAACATCTGAATGATTCAGAGGAGAACTGGGTGAAAGTGTTGTGGTAAGATGAGACCAAAATCGAGCTCTTTGGCATCAACTCAACTCGCCGTGTTTGGAGGAGGAGGAATGCTGCCTATGACCCCAAGAACACCATCCCCACCGTCAAACATGGAGGTGGAAACATTATGCTTTGGGGGTGTTTTTCTGCTAAGGGGACAGGACAACTTCACCGCATCAAAGGGACGATGGATGGGGCCATGTACCGTCAAATCTTGGGTGAGAACCTCCTTCCCTCAGCCAGGACATTGAAAATGGGTTGTGGATGGGTATTCCAGCATGACAATGACCCAAAACACACGGCCAAGGCAACAAAGGAGTGGCTCAAGAAAAAGCACATTAAGGTCCTGGAGTGGCCTAGCCAGTCTCCAGACCTTAATCCCATAGAAAATCTGTGGAGGGAGCTGAAGGGTCAAGTTGCCATACGTCAGCCTCGAAACCTTAATGACTTGGAGAAGATATGCAAAGAGGAGTGGGACAAAATCCCTCCTGAGATGTGTGCAAACCTGGTGGCCAACTACAAGAAATGTCTGACCTCTGTGATTGCCAACAAGGGTTTTGCCACCAAGTACTAAGTCATGTTTTGCAGAGGGGTCAAATACTTATTTCCCTCATTAAAATGCAAATCAATTGATAACATTTTTGACATGCGTTTTTCTGGATTTGTCACGCCCTGGCTATGGGGACTCTAATATGTTGAGCCAGGGTGTGTATAGTCTATGTGTGTTCTAGGTTTCACTTTCTGGGTTTGTATATCTATGTTGGCCAGGGTGGCTCCCAATCAGAGACGGCTGTAGCTCGTTGTCTCTGATTGGGAGTCATACTTAGGTAGCCGTTTGGCATTCATTTGGTGTGGTTTCTTGTTCGTATTTGGTTTGTGTATTACCATTGACTGTCACGTCATCGTTTTGTTGTTTTGATCGTGTGATCATTAATTAAATAAATATGTTCGCCTTCAACGCTGCGCCTTGGTCCTCCTCTCTCACTGACGATCATGACAGAAGAAACCACCAAGACTTGACCAAGCAGCGTGTCCAGGAGCCATCGCCAGGGAGATCTCTAGCAGATCTCCTTCGCCTCCTCGACTGGGTCAAGCCGAGTGAGGAAGAGAAGGGCTTGACATTGAGGCAGAAGGGCGAGAGGCTGGCGAGGGACATGGAGACCTGGTCCACGGGTAGGAGAGACGCCCAGAAATTTTTTAGGGGGGGGCTAACGCCGTGGACGACGGGCCAGCAGGAGACCGCGGCAGAGCGGCCCAGCGGGTTGGCAGAGGAGGCCGCCAGGTTACGGGGGCCACTGGTCGAAGAGGGGGTGGAAGGTGTAGAGGCACGGCGAGAGGTACTGGGGTGTGTTACCAGTCCGGTCCGGCCCATTCCAGATCCCTGCGTAGGACCAGTGGTGTGTGTCCCCAGTACGGTCCGGCCCGTTCCTGCTCCCCGCACCAAGTCAGTGGTGCGCTTCGTCAGCCCGGCTCGGCCCGTTCCTGCTCCCCGCACCAAGTCAGTGGTGCGCTTCGTCAGCCCGGCTCGGCCCGTTCCTGCTCCCCGCACCAAGTCAGTGGTGCGCTTCGTCAGCCCGGCTCGGCCCGTTCCTGCTCCCCGCACCAAGTCAGGGGTGCGCTTCGACAGCCCGGCTCGGCCCGTTCCTGCTCCCCGCACCAAGTCAGGGGTGCGCTTCGACAGCCCGGCTCGGCCCGTTCCTGCTCCCCGCACCAAGTCAGTGGTGCGCTTCGTCAGCCCGGCTCGGCCCGTTCCTGCTCCCCGCACCAAGTCAGTGGTGCGCTTCGTCAGCCCGGCTCGGCCCGTTCCTGCTCCCCGCACCAAGTCAGGGGTGCGCTTCGACAGCCCGGCTCGGCCCGCTCCTGCTCCCCACACCAAGCCAGTGGTGTGCGTCGTCAGTCCGGCACGGCCCGTGCCTGTTCCCCGCACCAAGTCAGGGGTGCGCTTCGACAGCCCGGCTCGGCCCGCTCCTGCTCCCCACACCAAGCCAGTGGTGTGCGTCGTCAGTCCGGCACGGCCCGTGCCTGTTCCACCGGTGGCTGGTCCGGCACCGGTCAGATGCTTCACGCCGGAGCTAGAGCAATCCGCTCCACCAGTGTGCAGTCCAGCTCCGGCCAGCGGGGCCAGACCGGACCAGGGGTACTTTGGGGGGTTGGAGAGGGAGCGGGGAACAGGCCCGGAGCCGGATCCGCCGCCTAAGCGGAGTGCCCACCCGGTCCCTCCCCTGTGGTATTTGGTGGGCGCGGTCGGAGTCCGCGCCTTTAGGGGGGGGGTACTGTCACGCCCTGGCTCTGGGGACTCTAATATGTTGAGCCAGGGTGTGTATAGTCTATGTGTGTTCTAGGTTTCACTTTCTGGGTTTGTATATCTATGTTGGCCAGGGTGGCTCCCAATCAGAGACGGCTGTAGCTCGTTGTCTCTGATTGGGAGTCATACTTAGGTAGCCGTTTGGCATTCATTTGGTGTGGTTTCTTGTTCGTATTTGGTTTGTGTATTACCATTGACTGTCACGTCATCGTTTTGTTGTTTTGATCGTGTGATCATTAATTAAATAAATATGTTCGCCTTCAACGCTGCGCCTTGGTCCTCCTCTCTCACCGACGATCATGACAGGATTTTTTGTTTTGTTATTCTGTCTCTCACTGTTCAAATAAACATTGTAGGATTTTTAATGAATTTATTTGCAAATTATGGTGGAAAATAAGTATTTGGTCACCTACAAACAAGCAAGATTTCTGGCTCTCACAGACCTGTAACTTCTTCTTTAAGAGGCTCCTCTGTCCTCCACTCGTTACCTGTATTAATGGCACCTGTTTGAACTTGTTATCAGTATAAAAGACACCTGTCCACAACCTCAAACAGTCACACTCCAAACTCCACTATGGCCAAGACCAAAGAGCTGTCAAAGGACACCAGAAACAAAATTGTAGACCTGCACCAGGCTGGGAAGACTGCATCTGCAATAGGTAAGCAGCTTGGTTTGAAGAAATCAACTGTGGGAGCAATTATTAGGAAATGGAAGACATACAAGACCACTGATAATCTCCCTCGATCTGGGGCTCCACGCAAGATCTCACCCCGTGGGGTCAAAATGATCACAAGAACGGTGAGCAAAAATCCCAGAACCACACGGGGGGACCTAGTGAATGACCTGCAGAGAGCTGGGACCAAAGTAACAAAGCCTACCATCAGTAACACACTACGCCGCCAGGGACTCAAATCCTGCAGTGCCAGACGTGTCCCCCTGCTTAAGCCAGTACATGTCCAGGCCCGTCTGAAGATTGCTAGAGTGCATTTGGATGATCCAGAAGAGGATTGGGAGAATGTCATATGGTCAGATGAAACCAAAATAGAACTTTTTGGTAAAAACTCAACTCGTCGTGTTTGGAGGACAAAGAATGCTGAGTTGCATCCAAAGAACACCATACCTACTGTGAAGCATGGGAGTGGAAACATCATGCTTTGGGGCTGTTTTTCTGCAAAGGGACCAGGACGACTGATCCGTGTAAAGGAAAGAATGAATGGGGCCATGTATCGTGAGATTTTGAGTGAAAACCTCCTTCCATCAGCAAGGGCATTGAAGATGAAACGTGGCTGGGTCTTTCAGCATGACAATGATCCCAAACACACCGCCTGGGCAACGAAGGAGTGGCTTCGTAAGAAGCATTTCAAGGTCCTGGAGTGGCCTAGCCAGTCTCCAGATCTCAACCCCATAGAAAATCTTTGGAGGGAGTTGAAAGTCTGTGTTGCCCAGCGACAGCCCCAAAACATCACTGCTCTAGAGGAGATCTGCATGGAGGAATGGGCCAAAATACCAGCAACAGTGTGTGAAAACCTTGTGAAGACTTACAGAAAACATTTGACCTGTGTCATTGCCAACAAAGGGTATATAACAAAGTATTTAGAAACTTTTGTTATTGACCAAATCCTTATTTTCCACCATAGTTTGCAAATAAATTCATTAAAAATCCTACAATGTGATTTTCTGGATTTTTTTCCCTCATTTTGTCTGTCATAGTTGACGTGTACCTATGATGAAAATTACAGGCCTCTCTCATCTTTTTAAGTGGGAGAACTTGCACAATTGGTGGCTGACTAAATACTTTTTTCCCCCACTGTATATATATAAACTCCCAGTAATTTTACAGAGGTCCGTCCAAAAGGCCAAAGTCAATCGGGGTCTTCCGGGCCTAACACGGGACTAAAATGCTGACAGTACAGTCTGAAGGTGCAGTGACACCACTAAGTGCTAAACCAACACAATCCAGTGTTTACCAACTGCATGGCCCTGTCAATGAATGAAACCCCGATGGGTGGAGTTCCCAGATCCATGGTGACATTGTCACCTGAGCGAAACGTCACCCCATTCCCAGTGTCACCCGATTTCACCAGACTGCTTAGGCTGGAAAAGAGAGAAGGAAGAAAACGGTTTACAAACTCCAGGGTAACAATTCTCATTTGAAGCTCTGGTTTTAAAACGACACAACAGAGGCACACACAGATGGGTGAGATCAGGTCAAAGCTGAGATCCTACCTGGGTAGTTTGGGCATGGATGGGATTAAGGAGCCAGTTCGTTTGTAGTTGAGGAAAACCCCAACAGCCAACGCTCCAGTGATGAGGATGATAATCACTGCTAACAGTACGGCAACTGCTGAAGACAAAGATATCAGCAGCAATGTTTATTCCAGAACATTTCTACTCATTATTTGTAAGTGTCCAGGTAAACATGTATCAGCAGTCCAAAACTAAAACAATTTCTCACATATTGCTGGTAAATTACATGCAGATAACCTATTACTTCACTGACATTCTCCCAATTAAAGTTAAAAGGTTATAGAGTCACTTTACAGGAGAGAAAAACACCTTTAGTGTTTGCTGAGTCAAAACCAATCTCAAGGTCACAATCTAATGAGTTGTGAGACAACGGTTTGAAGAAAAATATGTAATTTGTCTCTGACCAATGTTGTGTAACTATTCTATTGTGAACTATTGATCAGTGGAAACTTTGTATGAAGACTGGCATGTTGGACTGACATGTTTGGGGAGAAATCTAATCGTGGTTGAAGAGATCCATATTGCAGGTCATGCAGTATAATATAGATATTCCACTTCTTATCTCATATTATAATGTACCTGTTCCTGCAGGGGCACCCCTGGACTTTCCCATCTCACAGTAACTCCCTGCATAGCCATACGGACACCTGCACAATAAAATAAGAAATAAACAATGTTTCTTCCTGGTGGAACGAAACACTCCTATGGCTTGTGGCTGTGGTGTTACATGTTATAATAATATGACAATTAATCTACTTCCTGATACCAGCTGCTGAACTCACTTGCACTTGGGCAGGCCCCCTTCGTCAGTGTAGCAGGTCCCTCCGTTCATGCATCTGCATGCAAGGGGCATTAAGACTGGAGCCTCAATGGCTGCAGGAGTGAAAGCCACGCACAACGTCAACACAATGTCACCACAACAATATCAAAGCAGCCATGCCTACATGGAGTATGATTTCAATGATAAATGATGGTGCAGCCAACATGGCAGGGAGGCTGCATTCACAGATGATGTGATTTAATGACCATACCTGCGTCACATTCGTTGGGGTTGAAGCCGACCAGGGAAGAGCCTTGTGGGCAGGTGCAGGTGTAGCCTCCAGGCCGCAGCAGACACAGGTGACTGCACATGTCCTTACAGGGGTTGGGTACTGAGAGAGGGAAGAGGAAACCCGTAACTACCTTATACTCACCAGACAGGAGAAAACTACAGTGTGTATGTTTTAGACTTGACAAACTCTAACCTGAACGGTTGTGTTTGTACTCCTGGTAGATGCGGACTTGAGTCAGCCAGGGGTTGATGGTCAGCACCTTCACTTTGTCCCCCTTCCCAAACTTATCCGTCTTCCAGACTTCACCCCGCTCCTTGGTTGTCCAGTACACATGGCCTTCAAAGACATCCAGGCTGTAGGGTTTACCAATATCTGAAGCAGAAAATGACCATGCTCAATTAGCCATAGTTTCAATAGACCCAGTCTATTGAAGGACCATTGAGGTAAGAAGACCTCTTTTACAAGAGAGACTTGGTCCTGGACATGTGGTCTGATTTAATCAATAACTATTAAGGGAGTTAATAATATAGTTATTACAAAGACTATAACATCAACATGTTAGCAACATCTAAGAAAGGTCTCCGTGGGTTCGGACCTCCTGACATGATGATCTTCCTCTCGGTGCCGTCCGGCTTCATGGACTCTATGATGTTCTCCTTGGAGTCACACCAGTAGATCCTGTCTCCATTCAGGTAGTCCAGAGCCAGTCCAGTGGGCCAGCCCAGGTCCTCGTCCAACATAACCTGCCTGTGCTGCCCATCCATCCAGGCAGACTCAATCCTGGGTCTCCTGCCCCAGTCTGTCCAGTACATGATTCTAGGGAATGCACAGACACATAAAACAGTCTTTGTTAACTAATGTCTTTGACTACTTTGAAATCTATTTACTGTCGATCACTCGACAATGCTGTTATATCTGAGAGGATACAGTGTATTAGCCTGTAGTTGATCACTTCCGTACCCGAGTGCTGGGTTGACAGCAATAGCAGCTGGCTGGTCCAGGTCAGTATGGATCAACCACTTCCTGTAGCGACCATCTAACTTTGCCACTTCAATTCGATTGGTCCCTGCGTCTGTCCAGTAAATGTGACTGAGAAACAGAAGGAAGATGTTAGATTGTATTCAACCCAAAAGGCATTTTCAAAAAACTAAAATAGTAAGCAATGAGTGAGGTGTTGTACCCTCCGATCCAGTCCACAGCGATGCCATCAGGGTTGGCAATGTATCTCAGGTTCAGATCCAACTCCTTCACTGGGTTATTGCCGTTGTCATTGAAAGTGGTCATGTAGGCCCGCTTGATAGAGCCAAACTGAGAGCCTCGGCCCAGGACCGTCCAGTACACAATACCTAAAAGCACAACAGGGTCATATTCATAAGTGCACATCATAGCAAAACGTTTTGCAACGGAAAATGAAAACAAGTGTTTCTTATTTGACAAGTTCAGGTAGTCCTTCCCCGTTTCAGCCCATTTGCTTCTGTTTGGTTCCTAATGAAGTGGAGTAAAAATGAAAACCTCCCCAGTCACTGTATCACTCCCATAGTGCTCTTCACATGAGCCAAATAGCACTGACTAGTTAACTAGTTGAGCTGAAGGTCTTACTGAGTCCGATGCCCTCTGGATCCCACTGGTAGTCCAGAGCCTGGATGTGCTCTGCGTTGTCCACGTAGTCTGAATACTGCTCCGAGGACAGGTTGAAGCGGCGAATCCGCACATTGTCGGGCAGAAGCAGCACTGGTGGGTTTCCTGAAATGGAGAATGGAGAATAGTGAAATATGATCACATCCTTAATAGCCAGGCATCCTACTCCAGAGGACTAACAGATCGGAGACAAAGGTTGTATCCCAAATGGCACCATCTTCCCTATATAGTGCACTACTTTTGACCAGAGCCCTACAGATGTAGGATCTTAATTTGAGCCAGTTTACTACACCAGGAAATAATCCTGCCGCAACAGGAAATGTGGATTGTTATGTGGATTATCATTAATGGACATTTTTGTAGGGGTTGATACATTTTCCAGTAGGGCAAATCAAGTCTGAAATTTCTAAATGGAAATTACATACTTTAGAAGCCTTTTCAAAACTCAAATACACTACAAGTTTGTATTCTCAGCAACAAAATAGTGATCAAATTAAGATACTACATCTGTATGGGCCCTGGTCAACAGTAGTGCACTATAAAGGGAATAGGGTGCATTTAGGATGCAACCAAAATGACTTGTTCAGCTAAGCTCTTACCCTCAGCAGCACACTCCATGCCATGCTGCTCGCTCACTGAGCGGAAGCCCTGGGCACAGAAGCACTCGTAGCTGCCCTTGGAGTTCTTACACTCCTGTGGACATGTCCCGTAGACCTCACACTCATTCAAGTCTGATCACAAACACAAAAACAGGAAAAACACAGAGAAAATACAAAAAGATTACTAATAGCGTAAGAAGAGGAAAGAATAGATAATCAAAGATTGTGATGTTACAGAGTGGTGTTTCCTTCTACACTCAGGTGGTGCTGCTGCTTCCTGTACCTTCACAGGTGTTCCTGTCTGTCTGGCTGGGTTTGTATCCAGGCCTGCAGGAACAGAGGAAGCCTCCGTCTGTCAGATCTGTGCAGTTATGCTCACAGATGTTCTCACTGCAGGAGCGCCCACTGCCAACGTCTGGGCAGAGCACATATACATGTGTCACATTATGAGGGTCGAAGTTAACTCTCACTTCAGTATTATACAAACAGCCATATAGCTTAGCATAAGATAAAGGTTGATGATGATTCAGATGCAGAGTAAAGACTGAGGTAAATTAGTTGGGTGGGTTACTCACTGCAGCCCAGCTCGTCAGAATGGTCTCCACAGTCATCATAGTCGTCACAGGTATACTGCAGAGGGATGCATTGGCCATTACTGCATTTGTACTCATCCGCTGAACATGGCCCATGTGTGGGGGTCTGGCCTGTGACAAACACAACATGTCAAGATGTCAATCATCATGTCAAGATGTCAATCATTTCAGAGAGTAAAATACATTGACATTAATTGGACGATCAACTTTGGTATTATTACATAATGATGAGCTACATTTACTCCAAACTCCCACGGAGATGGGACAATATAGGCCGGTTTCCCGGACACGGATTAAGCCTAATTTCGGACTAAAAAGCTTTATCAATGCAGATTATTCATTCAGTATTCTTTTTAGTCCAGGACTAGGATTAATAATCAGTGTCTGGGAAACCAGCCCTACATGACAGTATTGTAACTTGTGATTGGCTTACAGTGATCCTCTTTCTCGTCAGTGCCGTCCCCACAGTCGTCCACAGAGTTGCAGAGCTCATGGCTGTAGATGCACCGGTTGTTGTCACAGCGGAAACGGAATGGCGGGTCACACGGGATGTCCACTAGGGAGACAAGACCAGGACATTAACTCAATGTCATTTATCATTGTCAAAGAATAAATACTATCACATTCAACAATGTAACTATTTAAGGAACCGTGTAACTATTTAACCCTTTAACCCTATTCTCAACCGGCTGGTAGAGCATGTTTTGGCAATGGATTTAGAAGTGAAAATAAAACAAATCTTTACTTGAACTTGATTGGTCAACTCCCCCCGTCCTCCTGCATTCATCTTAAGATAGCTAGGTGGGACAACCACATATAAGTAAATTTTTCCTCTATAATGTAGCTATCAGCAAAGTCAGAGCTAGTAAGGGGGGAAAAAGTAAAGTGAGAGTGTTAGTTAAGACAGGCAGCACTTAAAGTAGATGGCCTTAGGTAGCAAAAAGACAGTACTAGACAACAACAGATTAAGACAACAATTATACGTATCACTCCTGGAGATAACAGGAGTCCTCTAGCTATAGAATTAAGCAGAAATATGAAAATAAATAGTTAAAATGTAAAAAGGCTGAAAAGCAAGAATTGTGAAAAATGTGCTCAACCAGGCGGTTGATATGTCAGTAAAAAGTATGGTGGACTCAGAATAGGGTACATTTAAACAAAATATATATATACCTATTATGGTGAAAAATATGATTGAATTGTAGACAACACACGATATATTAGGCAACATAAATTGGTTAAACCACCTTTCATGACCCATGGGGTCAATTAATCAATACTCAGACTTAAGGTCGCCTATAAAATAATGCCTATAATAGTAATAAAAACGGCACTTTGTCATATATTATCTCAAAATGTAGTCCGAACATGTGGCAAACATGGTGGAAGAATCTGGATCATTTGAAATTTAAGAAAAACATTTTGAGGGACATTGCAATACACACCACCTGAAAAAGCATTAATTTCAATGTCATTGAATATTAATGTTTGGACATTCACAATTACCATAATTTATCTACCAATAAAAGGCATTGAAGCAGACCTAAAGTACATTTGGTAATATTGTTGAGATGAGTAAAAATGCTATGCAAATTGCCATTCTAATATGGCATTGATGGTATGACCTTATTTTGACTTCTCAACTGCCTGGTAGAGCTCTGTAATTTCCAAAATAAACATCAAGTTTAAAAAAATAACTATTGGAAGTTCTTATTTGAGTTGTTAGTAATAGGAATTGAAGGTGAAATAATTGTTTCAACAAGTTTTTCAAGTAGAGACAGTAATAGGGTTAAGGAACAGTGTAACCATTTATGGAACACTGTAACCATTTAAGGAACAGTGTAACAATTAAAGGAACATGGTAACCATTTAAAGGAACAGTGTAACCATTTAAGGAACAGTGTAACAATTAAAGGAACAGGGTAACCATTTAAAGCAACAGTGTAACCATTCAAAGGACGGTGTAACCATTTAAGGGAGCAGTGTAACCATTTAAAGGACAGTGTAACCATTGAAGGTGCATTGGCCTTACAGCACAGATGGAGCTCCTCATCTGAATTGTCTCCACAGTCGTTGTCTCCGTCACATTTCCAGTAGGGCTGCACACACACATGGTTCCTACACTCAAATAGAAACGGTGGGCAATACGTGCCATTGGGATAACGGGTTGCTGCAAATGAAAGATAAATGGACCATTACAATTCAAATTCATGGTTGTAACTTTGTAATTTAGATAACTGTAGAGGGTGCTGTAGTAACATAATGATTGTTCTGGACATTATGTGTTTTGTTAATCTGAGGAGATAGGAGCCCAGTGAGTAAAACTGGTTGAAAAGACGTCATTTCAACCGGTTTTGCCGTTGAAATTACGTATTTTTAACCAGTTTTGCTCACTGGGATTATTGTATTTGATGTCAGCCCATAGACACATTTATGATAACATCTAACACTTACGACATGATATCTCGTCAGTGTAGTCCAGGCAGTCGGCGTTGCCGTCACATTTGAAGCGGTCGGCGATGCAGTGGCCACTGCCACACTGGAAGTAGCCCGGGTGACAGGTCCGCAGCTCTGCAGCACAGCCATGCCAGCACACAACTCATAATTAATAGGTATTAATGAACCCATTTGTATTCAAATTCACTTTTGGAATTCAAATTCTATTTCAGTTGGCACTAATATCACTCCATACACTTCACTCATTTACAGTCATGCCAAGTACTGAGGTATCTCAGATTCTGACCTTGTTTTCATGACTACTGTAAATAAACATCTAGAATGAATTTGAATTCACAATCTGACCAGTATAAATGGGCAAGAGAAGAAGAAACGCCATGTTTTCCAGTAAGCTAAGTAAATTTATCCTGGTGGTACTTTCTGTGTATCCTGTGCCTTAAAAAGGTAAAGTTTTAATGCCTCTTTGCTTAGTGCTGTATTCCCTCACACATGAATAAGCCAAGACAGCGGCAAAACAAAGCCTCCACTCACCACAGTCCCTTTCATCCGAGTTGTCCTCACAGTCGTTGTCATGGTCACAGACCCAGCGGTCGGGAATGCAGTGCAGATTATCGCAGCGAAACTCGCTCTCGGAGCACACACGCGGGCCTGGGGGAACACAGAGAGGGGAACTAAAGAATTATCACCGCACACAAGAATACTAAATTAGTCATCATTGCCACAGTCCAAACAAACACGATGTAGACACAGCTGACAGAGGGTGTCACAGTATTACTACATTATTCTGTGATTGTTTACTATTTTCCATACAAAACAGCCACTGCTTTGATAAATACTATAGCTCTATTCCCTCAATTGGGTTATTGCAATAGCTATGACTTTTGTACATTATCAAGCACCCGACCAATCATGCAATCATTTTTCTGTGGTGAGTTCATGATGGAATTCACTGGAGGTGTTCTCTCACGATACATAACCGGGATTGCAACAAGAAGCATCATAGCAAATTTCATCATACAACACAGTGATTTTGCGCGAGACATTAGTTGTTCTTTGAAGCATAGACATTATCCTCATTAGCTGGCATGTTCTCAGACTTGTTTAAATTCTCCAGAGCCGAGGTGGCCGACTCCCTCACTCACTCCCTCCGTCTGACATGCTGAGGACAAGCTGTTTCTCTAGCAGCTGATAAGCCCGCCTCACATAACACTGCTTCGAAGACAGGAGTGTTGTCTTTTACAAGAACACTCTGTTATCTTAACAGGTCCATTCTTTGCCATCAACACCCCTATTTAATCTGGTTGACTCACTGTGTCTGAGCTACACTGGAATACCCCATTAGAATCGCTCAGAGTCTCACCAAAACCATGACTATAAGTATCCAGCCTTTTGAGTTGTCTGAGTTAGCCCATAACTGCTAAGCAGACACATAGGGCTGGTTGTACCAGTTGGACTTTAAAATGTTGGGCTTAAATGGATGAGATAGAATTACGACCTAGTTATGCCCAACTTGTGCAACCAGCCCATGAAGGCTCGGTGTAGAAGTCCCAATGCGAGCCAGCCAGGTGATCTAAGGTTAAGGTGTTAAGTATACTGAAGAAAAATATAAACGCAACATGCACATTTCAAAGATTTGACTGAGTTACAGTTTATATGAGGAAATCAGTCAATTGAAATAAATTCATTAGGCCCTAATCTATGGATTTCACATGACTGGGAATACAGATATGCATCTGTTGGTAAAATATACTGTACCTTAAAAGAAATGGGCCTCACAATGGGCCTCAGGCTCTCGTCACGGTATTTCTGTGCATTCAAATTGCCATCGATAAAATGCAATTGTGTTCATTGTCTGTAGCTTACACCTGCCCATTCCATAACCCCACCGCTGCCATGGGGCACTCCGCTCACAACATTGACATCAGCAAACCACTTGCCCACACGACGCCATACATGTGGTCTGCGGTTGTGAGACAGGTTGGAAAGTACTGCCAAATGCTCTAAAACAACATTGGAGGCGGCTTATGGTATAGAAATGAACATTCAATTATCTGGCAACAGCTTTGGTGGACATTCCTGCAGTCTGCATGCGAATTGCACACTCCCTCAAAACTTGAGACATCTGTGGCATTGTGTTGGTGACAAAACTGCACATTTTAGAGTGGTCTTTTACTGTCCCCAGCACAAGGTGCACCTGTGTAATGATCATGCTGTTTAATCAGCTTCTTGATATGCCACACCTGTCAGGTGGATGGATTATCTTGACAAAGTAGAAATGCTCACTAACAGAGATGTAAACAAATTTGTGCACAACATTTTAGAGCAATAAGCTTTTTGTGAGTATGGAACATTTCTGGGATCTTTTATTTCAGCTCATGAAACATGGGACCAACACTTTACATGTTGCGTTTATATTTCTGTTCAGTGTAGATACAGTACTAGACAGTGATGGTGGGTAGATGTACTGTAGAACTCACTGCAGGCACGCTCATCCGAGCTGTCCCCACAGTCGTTGTCCCCGTCACACCTCCAGCGCAGAGGGACACACTGGTGGTTGTCACAGCGGAAGTCCCCCAGAGGGTCACAGGTAATCTCCTCTGAAACACATGGACAGGAGATAAGAGACAGAAGACGATGCTAAACACATACCTGCATTTACACTTCAGCTTAACTTCTTATCCTTCTCATCCTTTTCTTTTTTCTTTCATGTTTTTCGGCCAAACATTGCACTGGTGCAAACACATATAGTTCATTTTTACCTTGCTGAAAAATCAACGGTTCATTACAGCGATGTTACTTCTCCTCTTTTCGACCAAATTACAAGACACTTATGCCGTTACAGCTACAACCAACCATTGGTACTACAAGACACTGTCAGACTATGTGCCTCCTACTATTTAATATAGCGTCGATGATAACTACTAGACCACAGAGCTGAACTGAGAGGTGCCCTCTGGTTTTTTAATTAAAGCAGAGCTCATCATGCAGTGGGGAGTGCAGCATGCCTGAAGTGGCTGAGCTCTGAGTTATGCCAGGTCTATAGGAGAGGACAGGAGAGGAGGAGAGTAGAGCTGAACTGTCTCTTCCACACAGCGCCGGCGGTTTGAAAGATAGTGGATCCAGGCCCTCCTTGCTCTTCACCTGGCCCGGCCGCTAGCTGCATTCTCTAACAGAGATTAGCACAGATCTCCCCTCTAGCGCGGGGATGGCACTAATGGAGTGAGGGCCTCTGATAAGAGATGGGAGGGCAAGGGCTGCTGCTATGTGGAATCGGGGCACAGTACAAAGAGCGCAGTGTGAACCTTTCCCCATACACACGCGCACGCAGGCAGACGCACACTCTCTCACACACACGTACGTACGCACGCACACAGGCCATGAATCCAGAGAGTTCTCTCATGGGGAGGTGAATAGAGCAGGCGGTGAGAACATCTCCATCACTACCTCCTGCTGTCCCACTATGTAATGTTCTGCTAATAACTCTTCATTCACTCTCAACACACATTGTTACCTCATACAAAGACTCAAATATTCAGCACTGTGGGTTTGCACCATTGGTTGATTTATGTCAGGATGCTGGTGTTTAAGTGGACTCACCACAGCTCTGCTCATCACTGTTGTCCCTGCAATCGTTGTGACCGTTGCACACAGACCACAGTGGCACACAGCGGTAGTTGGTCCTGCAGTCAAACTGGGTGTGGTTGTCACAGCGATAAGAAGGCCCCACTGTAAATAGACCACATCAAGGAAGTCAATAACAAAGACGAAGTGTTTCAATCATACCTGGTGGGAGCAAACCACTATCACATAGTTTAGGATGAACAGATCTCAGCAGCTCAGTGTGGCAATCACACTCAAGCCTTATAGTTAACTGGGTGTGATTTCACCACGTGATTCCCTGTGTGTAATGTTGTGCGCGTCACTCACTGCACTCTTCCAGGGGCTCGTCAGAGTTGTCGCCACAGTCGTCGTCCATGTCACACTTCCAGTTCTGGGGGATGCAGCGTCCGTTACGGCACTTGAACTGTCCGGGCCGGCAGGTCCTGCTGGAGCAGTGGGTGGGCTCCTCGTCAGAGCCGTCAACACAGTCGTCCTCCCCGTCACACTGCCACGCTTCGGGGATGCACCTCTTATTGGTGCACTGCCACTGGTGGGTCTCGCACTGATGAGTGGCTGCACAGACAAACAGTCAATTCAGTTTAAACACCCTACTGAAGTACATTAATCGATACCTGGTATTTAACAACAAAGAGACACAGATCATGCAAAATCAACAATTTAATAATACAATTACAAAGAATGTTTCATACATGCTCAGATTGTTCTCTGAAAACAGAAATAACTGAGCTAAATGCCACCCACCACACAGCACAGGATCTTCATCAGAGCTATCATGGCAGTCCTGGTTGCTGTTGCACAGGAAGTGGGGGCTGGTGCAGTTTCCATCATTGCACTGGAACTGGCCCAGTTGGCAGTGGCGACTGGGGCAGGTGGAGGGCTCATCAGAGCCGTCTCTGCAGTCCCTCTGGCCGTCACACTTCCACCAGATGGGGATGCAGCTGTGGAGGGGAGGAAGGGCAATACTGTTCAGGGCTCACCAATGCCTCAATTAAAACAAAGAGGACATATAAAACAAAGAATGTGTGTATCGTATTAGAACTCTGAGGTGAACTCCCACTCACCGCTCATTATCCGCACATCTGTACTGGGTGCTGGTGCACATGGGCAGGCAGCGAGCCATGCCTCCCAGCTGTAAAGTCAGGAAGTGGTCGGGGCATTCACAGGTGTGACCCCGCCCCCCGTCGCGGAGCAGACACAGGTGGGAGCAGCCTCCATTGTTCACTGCACAGGGGTTGCTCACTGGGGGGAGAGAGGGGGTCAGAGAATCAGTCAGGCATTCAGTGCAGCTGGGCAAACACAGGCACGGCATTGTGTTAATGTAAACACTTGAATGGATCTAACAGGCAGGAAACGTCAGGATAATGAAGTGATAGCAATCTGAGTGTGGAGGAATGGATGTTGATCCAGGAGAAGAGGATACTCAGATTACTGTCTCCTAGACTGAGACTGACCTATGGGCTGCCTATAGGGATGGCACACGTGGATGTCGAACGGTCTGTGTGTGGTGTTGACCAGAGACTGGCGTCCGGATCCGTCGTATTTGTTGCCTTTCTCCACTGTACGGGTGTTCCAGTCAGTCCAGTACACGGTCTCCTCAAACACAGTCAGGGCAAACGGATGGGGCAGTATCCCGTCATACACGGTGTGTCTGTGATGTCCCTCCAGGTCTGAGAACCTGAGGAGAAGAGGAGTAGGATTACAGGCCTTTAGGCATTTTGGAAACAAAGCAAGACTGTATGGCAATATGAAGCACGGTCTTACTCAATGTAGTTGAGATGGGCATCTGACCAGTAGAGCTTGTCATTGCTGTAGTCGATAGTGACCCCATTGGGCCACTCGATCTTAGTGGTGATGATTGCTGTCTTGTTGGTGCCGTCCATTCCAACACGGCCTATGAAGGCTTTGTCCCCCCAATCCGTCCAGTAGACATATCTGACAGGGATCAAATAGGTTTAGGTTACTAAAGTCCTGGCTTATCGAATGAAACAAGAATAAATAAACTATTCTTAATTATGACCATATAATAATTAGTGATTAGATTTACTCACCCATATTTGGGATGCAGAACGAGCGCCCTGGGGTTTTCAAAGCAGTATGTGTTATTGGCATCCACACAGTGTTCAGCCAGTTTCTTCACAAAGCGCCCGTCCAGTTCGGACACTTTGAGACAGTCCAGGAAGCTGTCCACCCAGTAGAGTTTCCTGGCCACCCAGTCGACCGCCAGGCCCTCTCCATGGAGCACCCCGTTCACCACCACTTCCCTGTTACTGCCGTTATAGAACATCCGCTCAATCACCCTGCGGCTAACGTCAATCCAGTAGAACTTCTTGTTCACGCGGTCAAAGTCCATGGCCACCACGCTGGTCAGGCCCTGCAGGATGAGGGAGTAAGCCTCTCCTTCCGTGGACAGGTTACGAAGATAATAGCGGTTACTGAAGATGAGGTATGGCGTAATGTTGCTGTTCTGACGACAGCTGCGGCCATCCGGTTCCCGTAGGAACCCGGGGGCACATTTACACATGTAGGAGCCCACCATGTTCTCACACACCTGACTACACACACTGGGCGTCTCCGCACACTCGTTGATGTCGTCGCAGGTCTTGTTGTCGGACATGAGCCGGTAGCCGGGGCGACAGGTGCAGATGAAGCTGGTGGGTGTGTCAGTGCAGTTGTGATCACAGTGGTGCATGGAGGGGTCGGTGCATTCATTTATACCTGCATGCAGGACAAGAGAGAACAGGTATTAGAGGAGATTGACTATAAATCCAACACCACACTGCTGCTCTGTGATACTAAATGGCTATATTGGCGTTGTAGTTTATGTTTTTATATTGAACTTAATATGTTTTATTGCTTGTAAGATATCATGCACTCACCACAGCCCTTCTCGTCACTGTTGTCTGAGCAGTCGTCGGTCCGGTCACACACGTTGAAGAGGGGGACACAGTGTCCGTTGTCACACCTGAACTGCCCGGGGGGGCACGTGGGCGGTGGCGTGCGGCACAGGTGGTCAAGCTCATCGGACTCGTCCCCGCAGTCGTTGTCCCCATCACAGATGAAGTCGCGGGACACACAGCGTCCATTTTGACAGGTGAACTGGTGCTGCTGACACGGCTGGTAGGTGCAGCCCTGCTCGTCACTGCTGTCACCACAGTCATTCCTCCGGTCACACCTGCCATCAAATAAATCAGTCACTCAGTGTGCTTCCCTGTACACCAGGTGGTGCTGCTGCCCAGTCCCCACATTCACACTGTAGTCTCATCATCTACAGAACAATTTAAAATGTCATTGTTATGTCTCAGTTATGTCCAAGTTGTCAAACCTGTAGGAGCTGCGTATGCAGAGGCCATTGCTGCAGGTGAACTCATTGACGCCACACGATTGGCGTGTGCAGTTCTGATGCTCGTCCAATGCGTCCGCACAGTCCGCATCACCGTCACACACCCAATCACGAGGGATGCACTTCCGCTGTGGCGCTTGGTTATTCACACAGGTAAACTCCAAGACTGAGCATGTGCGGTTGTCTAAAACAACAGAGGGGAGCAGGAAAATGACACCACATTAGAGAAGTTTCAAGATTATGAAGACTCCGAGACTGGACCTGAAATTTCTCACGGTCCAAACATTCCTAAGTGTATTTCAGGACCTCTAGCTGTGACTTCAGTTTCCTATCCATCTAATGTGATTGAGCCCCATTGTTTGAAGTGAGACTCCTGCCGAGGCCCGTGGTGCGCTGAAGCTATCCGCTCCAGGCTCCTTATTGTCAGAGACCACATTGGTGAGGGATGACATAATAGTTTAGTTCCACCCTGAGCCAGGGAGCTGAGACAGGCACAAAGTAATGAGTGAGGCAGGGGAAATCAGGAATGTGAGCTTCTTGGACTCTGGCCGGAGACCTTAAACAAGAGCCAGTATCCACCCCCCAAAATCCCAGCATGTATCCTGATCCCTCAGTGTCTGATTCCTGACAGAGAGAGAGAGGAGGTAGAGAGGAGAAGAATTCACACTCACCACAGTTGTGTCTCTGGTCCTCGTCACTCATGTCTCCACAATCATTGTCCCCGTCGCAGATCCAGGAGAAAGCGATGCACCTGCCGTCGTCACAGGGGAACTGGTCAGTGTTGCAGGTTCTCACCAGGGTGGCTGCAGGGAATCAAAGGTCACAGCAAACCAAGCAAAAATTGATTACAATTAGAATACTATAATACTACTATTGTCCTCTAAATACAAATATGTAAGTTACTTTAAACTTCCTTTGCATGTCCTAATTGACCTCAACTACTAATGACAACAGGTAATGCATATCTGAACCCAAATTAAACAAGTAAAGCTATCAAAATAGTAATGGCATCTCCTCCACATTCCAATCTATTGTATTCTATTGAAACACAAGATAAAGTGAGGCTGTGTAATTACCCTTGGACAAAAGGAAGACAGCAAAGGGGAGGGGCTGTGTTTGTCAGAGGAGACTAGTGGGCGTCAGTAGGGAGGAATGTGTCAGACAGTGGGAGGCTGGACTGACTGACTGGCCACATCACTAACAAAGGCATACACTACTGACACATCACCAACAGCACGCACACACACACACGCGCACACACACACGCACACACACGCACACACACACACACGCACACACACACACACACACGCACACACACACACACACACACGCACGCACACACACACACGCGCACACACACACGCACACACACGCACACACACACACACGCACACACACACACGCGCACACACACACGCACACACACGCACACACACACGCACACACACACACACACACACACACGCACACACACGCACACACACACACACGCGCACACACACACACACGCACACACACACACACGCACACACACACACACGCACACACACACACACACACGCACACACACACACACACATACAGAAAATAAACTAATCATTCACCGACTCTTCAACTCAGGAGAACAAATTAATAATGACTCCATTCTGAAAACCTAGTTGAATCTCTCTTGCTTAGCATAGTGAGTGAAGGAGAGCTGTGGTACGTACTGCAGGAGGAAGGCTCATCAGAGCCGTCAGCACAGTCGGTACCCCCATCACAGTACCAGTGGGCTGGGATACAGCGACCACTGGAGCAGCGGAACTCGTTCTGGGCACACGTGGAGGTGGCTGGAAGAGGAAAAAGAGACATGCATATGGTCATTTAGGGGTCACTCTCCTCTCAAAACCCAGTTAGGGTGCATCCAAAATGGCATCCTATTCCCTATATGCACTATATAAGGGACTATATGCACTATATAAGGGAATAGGGTGCCATTTTGGACGCACCCTTACTGTACAGACCAGGCCTAGGGGACTCACTGCAGTGTGTAGGGCTCTCGTCACTCATGTCCCCACAGTCATTGTCCCCATCACACAGGTAGGAGCGAGGGATGCAGATGTTGGTGGATGTACACTTGGTGTGTTCTGGCTGACATGTTCGCTCCGCTGAGATACAACAAGAAGAGGATGTGTTATTGTCTAGTGTATATATTTTAGTATATATTTAAGCAATAAGGCCTAAGGGGGTGTGGTATATGGCCAATATACCACGGCTAAGGGCTGTTCTTATACCCGACGCAATGAGGAGTGCCTGGATACAGCCCTTAGCCGTGGTATATTGGCCATTTACCACAAACCCCTGAGGTGCCTTATTGCTATTATAAACTGGTTACCAATGTAATTAGAGCAGTAAAAATAAATGTTTTGTCATACCCGTGGTATACGGTCTGATATACCATGGCTGTCAGCCAATCAGCATTCAGGGCTCGAACCACCATGTTTATAATTTAGTATATATTTTACTATATATTTTAGTTACTTACCACACAGAAACTTATCTAATCTTCATGAACTAATCTTTTTACTTTAGATTTGTAACCAAGTGTTGTTTTGAGGACTTACGGCAGTTTTGTTCGTCCGAGGTGCCGTTGTCATAACAGTTGTTGATGCCGTTGCAGATGTAGTCCTTGGCGATGCAGCGTCCGTTGTTGCAGGGGAACTCAGTGTTGGGGTCGCACGACCTGAACAGGCAGCCTACCTCATCACTGTTGTCCCCACAGTCGTTGTAGTGGTCACAGCGGTAGTGGTAGGGCACACAGCGACCGTTCCCACAGGTGAACACAGTGGGCTCGCAGGTGTGGAAGGCTGTCAATCAAACCAGATACAACATCATCAGAGCTCTAGCCAACGGATAGGGAGAGCAGGTGAAGATGGACGGGTGTACAATATGGAGGCGGGCTTTACCTGACAAGGCAATAAATGCTGCTGCCATTTGCACTTGGACTGCATGCAAGATATAAGTACATGTATTCATTAGTTTAGGATGGGGTCAGTAGAAAAAAACAAGCATCACTAAATAGCTACATTAGATTAGTGAACTGCAAGCATACACACCGAAAGGTTGGAAATCCTTCTTAGATCCTGAAAAATGGTTGTTGCAGTGAAAACAGAAAGCTGGTTAGAGGCAGCATGTTAGAGACAGTTAAGAATAGTTCAGAGTGAAGGACAGAGCATGTGTAGTGATAAATCAATCATAATTAGCTGTAATCACAACCATATTCAAGACATGCAAAATCATCCCACTACAAGATATTTCTAGATAGACGAGACAAACAAATATGATTCAACAAAACAGGCACTATTTGTGGCCACTGAGCACCATACCACAGACTCTCTCCAGTTCGTCGCTTCCGTCCCCACAGTCGTTGTCATTGTCACACTTCCACTGAGCACGGATACAGCGTCCATTCATACAGGTGAACTGGCCTGCCTGGCAGCGGGTCCCGTTGTCAGGGATACAGTGCTTGTTGTCGGCCAGGTACCAGCGACCCTCTGAGGGACACCGACACTCAGCACCCTGGGGCCCTGCAGAGTGGGACAGGGGGGCAGGCATCAGACGGATGCGTACGACAGCCCAACTCACACCATCCCAAAACAACATTACAACACCAAAACAATAGGATGCTAGAGAAGATCACATTTTCAATGGAAGTTTGGTCCAACTCCGACATTTAGCTAAGAAATTACAGCCTGCTTCTATTTGATCAGGAAACTTGAGGGTTAAAACAGGGCCTAACTTCTAGTACCTGGGGTACAGATGTGACTGCAGCCTCCGTTGAACTTCTGACATGGGCTGTTGCACTGTTGCTGCTTGTTGCTGGCCAGCACATGGACGTCCATGGGCCTGGATGGAAGGTTCTGGGTCATCACCCTCTGGTCAGACCCATCGTGCTTGTTAGCCCGGTAGATACTGCGTGTGTTCCAGTCAGTCCAGTAGATGTACTGGCCATACATGGTCATGGCGAATGGGTAAATGGCTGTGCTGACGATGACCTCCCGATTGGCCCCAGTGAGAGAGCAGCGCTCAATCTTCTGTCTGATAACCAAAACCAGCACATATCATTAGCATCAACATGAAATGACAACGATTGACTTGTGAGAAGAATGTAAACTCAGCAAAAAAAGAAACTTCCCTTTTTCAGGACCCTGTCTTTCAAAGATAATTCGTAAAATTCCAAATAACTTCACAGATCTTCATTGTAAAGGGTTTAAACCAGGGGTGTCAAACTCATTTTAGCTCAGGGGCCACATGGAGGAAAATCTATTCCCAAGTGGGCCGGACCGGAAAAATCATGGTATATATAACTTAAAAACAACAACTTCAGATTGTTTTCTTTGTTTTAATACGATCAACATACAACATAAAGCTGGAGCCTGAGGACAGTGTGTCCAAAATAGTACAAGCACAACATCACTATTAATCATAAAACACGTCAAGTTTATTTGAAAATTCTAAAGAAAAAGAACACACAAACACACAATGCCTCAGTGATTAACAGAACTGTTTCACAGATCACAGAACTATATTAGGGTGTCATTTCTCAGGCAGAAATGTAGATACAAATAATGAAATCCTGTTCCCCAAACAAGTGCAAGAACCACAGAGTCAAGAATAGGTTAAATATACAAATACAATAAAATCAATTAAAAACAATAGCACATCAACATATAAACATAAAGCTGGAGCCTGAGGACAGTGTCCAAAAGCACAACATCACTATTAATCATAAAACACCTCAAGTTATTTGAAAGTTCTGAGGACAAAGAACACACAAACACACAATGCCTCAGTGATTCACAGAAGTATATCACAGAACTATATCAGGGTGTCATTTCTCAGGCAGAAATGTAGATAAAAATAATGAAATCCTGTTCCCCAAACAAGTGCAAGAACCACAGAGTCAAGAATAGGTTAAATATACAAATACAATAAAATCAATTAAAAACAATAGCACATCAACATAAAAACATATAAACATAAAGCTGGAGCCTGAGGACAGTGTCCAAAAGCACAACATCACTATTAATCATAAAACACCTCAAGTTATTTGAAAGTTCTGAGGACAAAGAACACACAAACACACAATGCCTCAGTGATTCACAGAAGTATATCACAGATCACAGAACTATATCAGGGTGTCATTTCTCAGGCAGAAATGTAGATAAAAATAATGAAATCCTGTTCCCCAAACAAGTGCAAGAACCACAGAGTCAAGAATAGGTTAAATATACAAATAAAATAAAATCAATTAAAAACAATAGCACACCAACATAAAAACATATAAACATAAATCTGAAAGCGTTGCTCAAACTCCCGTAACAGTCCCGTTATTTTATCTTTGAACCGCTTCATGTCTGCCACATGTTGGGTCGCGCACACATTTTTCAGACAGGGGAAGTGAGCTGCATCACCACCGGCAAGTTGCGTCTCCCACAATGACAGCTTCAACTTGAAAGAACGTATGCTGTCATAATACTGCGTGACAACTTTGTTGCGCCCTTGCAGCTGTTTGTTCAAGTTATTCAGGTGATCTGTAACATCCACCATAAATGCAAGGTCCTGCATCCATTCTGCGGAATGAAATTCTAACACTGGTTTGCCCTTTTCTTCCATGAACTGTTCAATTTCTTCTCGTAAATCAAAGAAACGCCTCAGCACAGCACCTCGGCTTAACCATCTTACCTCAGTGTGGTATGGCAGGCCATAGATGTGGTCTTTCTCTCTGAGAAGGCTGTCAAACTGACGGTGATTCAGGCTTTTGGATCGGATGAAATTAACAGTTTGGATGACCACCTTCATGACGTTATCCATCTTTAATGACTTGCAACACAAAGCCTCCTGGTGCAAAATACAGTGAAAAGTCCAAAAATCACGTCCTCCATTTGCAGATTGCACTTTCTCTCTGAACTTTGTCACAATGCCTGCTTTTTTCCCGATCATTGAGGGCGCACCATCTGTAGCCAGGCTGACAGCGCGGGACCAGTCCACTCCGACCCTGTCCAGCGCGCCGACGAGTGCGGTAAAAATATCAGCTGCTGTCGTTGTATCTGTCATCGGCACCAACTCCACGAACTCCTCGGTGACGGTCAATGTGTCATCAACTCCGCGGATGAAAATGGCCAGTTGTGCAACATCTGTAATGTCCGTGCTTTCATCAATTGCAACCGAAAACGCAATAAATGACTTTACTTTTTGCTTCAACTGGCTGTACAAATCCACTGAAAGATCGGAAATCCTGTCTGCAACTGTGTTTCTTGTCAGGCTGATATTTGCAAAAGCCTGCCGCTTTTCAGGGCACACAATCTCCGCTGCCTTCATCATGCATGTTTTTACAAATTCACCCTCACTAAATTGTTTTGAAGCCACTGCGATTTCATTAGCAATGAGGTAGCTAGCTTTCACTGCAGCGTCACTGATGTCTCGGCTGTGAGTAAACACAGACTGCTGTTTCTTCAGACCCGCCAACAGTTCATTCACCTTCTCTCATCTCCGCTGTCCTTGAAAGTTGTCATATTTGTCGGCATGAAGACTCACATAGTGGCGACGAAGGTTATATTCTTTCAGCATAAATAGGATGACCATTTTTCTTGGAACACTCTGCACTCTGCGTCCACTTTTCTCTTTTTTGACAGAGACATATTGGGGCAATGAGGGTGCCAAAGCACATAATGTTAAAAGTAGAAGCCGTAATAAATATCGCGGGCAAAACAAAGTAGCTCATTGGCTGCACGTGCTTGACCTACTTGCTCTGCCCCGGTATAAACAGTTTGCTTGCTTAACACAATTGCTATTGCGCCATCCAGTGGACGCAATTGGAACAGCAGTTTATTTTATTGAAAAATTGCAGCGCATTTTTATACTTTACAAAATTATTATAATTATTATTATTTTATTTTTATTTTTTATTTTTTAAATCATCTCGCCGGCCGGATTAAACCCGTTTGCGGGCCTGATGCGGGCCGGACGTTTGACACCCCTGGTTTAAACACTGTTTCCCATGCTTGTTCAATGAGCCATAAACAATTAATGAACATGCACCTGTGGAACGGTCGTTAAGACACTAACAGCTTACAGACGGTAGGCAATTAAGGTCACAGTTATGAAAACTTAGGACACTAAAGAGGCCTTTCTACTGACTCTGAAAAAACACCAAAAGAAAGATACCCAGGGTCCCTGCTCATCTGCGTGAATGTGCCTTACGCATGCTGCAAGGAAGCATGAGGACTGCAGATGTGGCCAGGGCAATAAATTGCAATGTCCGTACTGTGAGAAGCCTAAGACAGCGCTACAGGGAGACAGGACGGACAGCTGATTGTCCTCACAGTGGCAGACCACGTGTAACAACACCTGCACAGGATCGGTACATCTGAACATCACACCTGCGGGACAGGTACAGGATGGCAACAATAACTACCAGAGTTACACCAGGAACGCACAATCCCTCCATCAGTGCTCAGACTGTCCGCAATTCGCTGAGAGAGGCTGGACTGAGGGCTTGTAGGCCTGTTGTAAGGCAGGTCCTCACCAGACATCACCGGCAACAACGTCGCCTATGGGCACAAACCCACTGTCACTGGACCAGACAGGACTGGCAAAAAGTGCTCTTCACTGACGAGTCGCGGTTTTGTCTCACCAGGGGTGATGGTCGGATTCGCGTTTATCGTCGAAGGATTGAGCGTTACACCGAGGCCTGTACTGTGGAGCGGGATCGATTTGGAGGTGGAGGGTCCGTCATGGTCTGGGGGCGGTGTGTCACAGCATCATCGGACTGAGCTTGTTGTCATTGCAGGCAATCTCAACGCTGTGCGTTACAGGGAAGACATCCTCCTCCCTCATGTGGTACCCTTCCTGCAGGCTCTTCCTGACATGACCCTCCAGCATGACAATTCCACATGAGGGAGGAGGATGTCTTCCCTGTAACGCACAGCGTTGAGATTGCCTGCAATGACAACAAGCTCAGTCCGATGATGCTGTGACACACCGCCCCCAGACCATGACGGACCCTCCACCTCCAAATCGATCCCGCTCCACAGTACAGGCCTCGGTGTAACGCTCAATCCTTCGACGATAAACGCGAATCCGACCATCACCCCTGGTGAGACAAAACCGCGACTCGTCAGTGAAGAGCACTTTTTGCCTGCAAGACAGGAATGTCAGTGTTCTGCCATGGCCAGCGAAGAGCACGGATCTCAATCCCATTGAGCACGTCTGGGACCTGTTGGATCGGAGGGTGAGGGCTAGGGCCATTCCCCCCAGAAATGTCCGGGAACTTGCAGGTGCCTTGGTGGAAGAGTGGGGTAACATCTCACAGCAAGAAATGGCAAATCTGGTGCAGTCCATGAGGAGGAGATGCACTGCAGTACTTAATGCAGCTGGTGGCCACACCAGATACTGACTGTTACTTTTGATTTTGACCCCCCCCTTTGTTCAGAGACACATTATTCCATTTCTGTTAGTCACATGTCTGTGGAACCTGTTCAGTTTATGTCTCAGTTGTTGAATCTTGTTATGTTCATACAAATATTTACACATTGCTGAAAATAAATGCAGCTGACAGTGAGAGGACGTTTCTTTTTTTGCTGAGTTTAGTATTATAAGAGGGTCTTACAGGCTGGCGTCTGCCCAGTACAGTCTCTGCTCTTCATAGTCCAGGGTCAGTCCATTGGGCCACACCAGACTACTGTTTACAATCTCTGTCCTGAAGTTCCCTCCCAAAGTAGCACGTTCAATCTTCGCATTCGTCCCCCAGTCTGTCCAGTACATATATCTGTGTGACATGGAAGAAGACGAGCTTTCCCATTGTTAATCAATGATGGTACAGTGCACATTCAACACATGCTGAATATCTATTGAAGATACTGAGTGAGAGCTCTTGCTATCATAACAGAAGGAGTGAAACGGTATTAGCATTCTTGGCATTTCTGGCCAGTCTTACCCCCTGCAAGGATCCAGCATTATGGCTCTAGGCCGGGGCACACGGGCGATGATGGATCTCTGAGTCCCGTCCACTGCCATGGAGCTGATAGACTGGTTGATGTAGTCACTGTAGTAAATCCTTTTATTGATCCAGTCATAGGCAATACCATCAGGAGCTCCTAGATCTGCAAAAACACAAAACACAACACTTAATGTAGAAAAGTACTGCAATAAGCAAATAGCCCAAAAAAGGTGAAACCAGATAATTACAGTATGATTTTGTAACATAACAAAACAAATCTAGTTGTTAAGTGTCTTACCTGAAGCCACCACTACTGGAGGTGAGGTAGGAGAGGACAGACTGATGAAGCTAATCTTGCTGCTCCCAGCCCCTGAGCTCTGGGTGAAGTAGATCCTATTGTCTGTGCGGTCAAAGTCCAGGGCCACGGAGGTGCCGGGCACATTGACCACAGGGAAGGGCAGTCCGTGGTCGTCCGTGTCCAGACGCAGGCTCCGCACCGTGCTCTCTGTTGTATAGATGAGGTAGTCATCCCGCGACACCACACAGCCCTCGTTGTCTGCCCCCAGGTTGCCAAAGGCACAGCCACACTTCTTGGTCTGGCTCCCAGGGAGGGCGAAGCAGAAGTGGGCACAGCCTCCATTAGTCTCCAGGCAGGGGTTGTTGTTGAGCTGTTGGGCCGAGCTGGGCTGGGTGCGCTGGTCGTAAATGGTCACGTCTCTCAGCATGTTGATGTTGTCTCTGATCACAGCAGGCTGCTCTGTACTGCCGGGCTCCTTACTGGCCTGGAACACCTTCTTCAGGTTCCTGTCCACCCAGATGATGCTAGTCTCAAACACAGTGATGCCATAGGGAGTCGGGTAGCGACTCCCATACCGGACTACCTCTGTCTCACCCCCCTGAGGGTTGACCCGGGCTATCATATCCAGAGAGTCATCCACCCAGTAGACATATCCAGTCTGGTAGTCCAAAGCCAGACCTCGCGGGGTTATAATCCCAGACGACACCAGCACAGTGCGGTTGGTCCCATCCAGCAGAGCTCTCTCAATCTTGGGGTTCTGTCCGTAATCTGCCCAGAACAGGTATCTGTTTTTAGGGTCCACCACGATGTGGCGTGGCATGTCCACTTGAGTCTTCAACAGCACACGTCGGAAAGTGGTGTTCAAGCGCAGAACCTCCACATAGGTCTCCGTCAGGAAAGCATTCGTGAAATAGAGGTTCCCTGAAAAGCACAGCCAAGTTGACATATATAAGTGAAAGGGTAATGGAGATTAGATGATCTAGGAAAAGCCTCTGGTCATGTAGGTCTTATTGAGTGGTTGCGTAAGGACAGGGTAAGCCTGCTAATTTGCATAGTCACCAGGAGCTGGTTTCCCACACCCAGATTAAGCCTATTTCTGGACACCAAAAGCAGAAATAGGCTTATATATAGTCTGGGTCCGGGAAACCGGCATTTCTTTAGTATAACCATCATTTAAATCCTTATTGGCCATAGTCCCAAGATAAGTAGCATTCTCCTGTCAGATATACTAATTTATTTCCAGTCAACTGACTGTTGTATAGGCCAGCCTGCTCTCTGGAGTCAGGCCCTGTGTTGAAGCCTCTTACGCTGTATCCATGGATACCTACTGCTGGCTGACCTTTACTTCCTCTACCTGCTGTAGGGCCCATAGAGAATGATAGAAGCCTCTAGTGGCCAAAAGGCAGTTTTAGCATGGGCAGTGCCATTGTGGGCTTCCACAATGCTTCCGCCATTTTAAAGTAGTCAAAGTAGTCAACTGGGCAGGGGTTCCTATGGATTGTAGCCTCAACGGCACTGCCCGTGCTGCAACAGACGCTATAATGGCCCAGATATAAAGATGAGTCCTCTATCTAGCTCTATAAAATCAGAGTTGCGTAAAACGGAATTCAACAATATAAAAAAAATGTCTTGAATTTAGCAGGAAATCAACTACAAAACAATGGTCTCTGGCTGGTGCACAGTTTAATTAAAGGGTAACTACACCGAATATTCTAAATGTCTTAGATATTACCCAGACATCAAAGGTGGTCTCCTGATGTGGTTTAAGGATTGTTGTGGACTTCAAACATCCAATTTTGCTGTTTTTCTATTAACAAAGTGTGATTTTTTAGCAAAAGCACCCCCCCATTTTTTGGGGGGAAAAACTGATACCTGGAAAAACAAAATGGAGAAAAAGCAATTTGGGAAAAAACTAAGAATCAGGCAAAAAAGAAAACAGATTTTATAGGGCCCTTGTACTGCTGGCATCATTTAAACACCTTTCATTTGAGCTCTCGGAACATGCCTACCTGCAGCCCAGTCCACGGCGATACCTCGTATCCCGTTGCGTCCGATTCCAGATGTGACCACACTGTGGAACCCTGCTCCGTCAGGCTTGATCCGGCGGATCCCATTCTGAGATGTCACGGTGCTGCTGAAGTCACACCAGTAGAGGAACCCAGAGGACATGTGGACGTCCACATGCAGAGCATTGCGGCCTGCACGACACAACCAGAGAGGTAAGACACAAACACTTGGGTGGTTGCTTCAACGTCACTCTGTCACATCAGAGTATATTGTCTGAAACCAAACAAAGTATTATTTCCTTGGTATGGTGTAGCATTCATAAAGCATCCATAAAGCCTACAAATGCATGACATAAAGAGTTATAATGCCCTGCAGCAGGAGTTTTATATCTGAACAACACCCACCTCTCCCAGCCACTGGGACCATGGCCTCAGAGTGGTCAGCTCCCTCCAGACTGAAGCCTTTGAGGGCAGACAGCATGGAGATGACCACGTAGGACTGGTATGAAGCACAGGTTCTGTTGTCAGCGCTCAGCTTGAAGCCCGTAGCACAGGCACAGGTATACAGGCCTCCGGGCCGGGGTAGACACAGGTGCTCACACACCCCCATGTTGTTGCTGCAGCCGTTGGAGGTACCAGCCGAGGCTTCAGAGGCAAAGACCACATGGTGGATTAGGACATCATTCATATACAACAGGAGTCTGCCCAAATAGAACTAGACATTTATTAAGAATTCCGAAACAACTTCTAGGTCATGGACAACAAGCGCGACGTCAGGAACTTTTCAAAATGAGACGAAACTATTACAAATGACATTACTGGAACTGAAAATAACCTGTGCCTCAATTCTGAGTCATCATTGGAATAATCTGATGCCAACACCATTTTGATACATTGTTGCCAAATCAGGCTCAAGGCTTGTTCTATTCCCAGAAACCATGTCACTTACAGTATCTGCTCTGTTTCAGGGGACAAAGCAACACTGCTTGTTCCGTACACAATGACCAGTGTTCCTAATAAGGGAAGAGGAACTGGTCAACTAATACTCCACTCCATCTCCCTAGTAATTACCCAACAGCTTTCAAAAAGGCTGAAGCAATGCCATTATTCAGCAATGCTATATCTTTACCACAAAAAGCATAACAGACTAAATATGTATGTATGCATACTGATTAAACACTCAACACAATAAAAAGAAAACTCCAATACACTGGTAATCTTGACGCTTCCAACAAGTTAATGGATCTTATTGAACCAATGCTTCGGTCTCAAACCACCGCAATGGAGTGCGGTTCATATTTTCTTGGCTGTGTACCATAAGGTTGCTCAGATACTCACTCTCCCTGTAGTGCACCTTCAGTACTCTCAGTCCAGACACATTGTCCCGCAGCACCACCTTGTTAGCCCCGGTGGCCTTGTCCACGCGCTCTATCACCTCAAAGTCCCGGTCAGTGAAGTACAGGAAGCTCTCATGAACAGCAACGCCCCAGGGATGGGACAAGCCTGTCACTATAGTGATGCGATTGGTCCCGTCTGGGTCGCCACGCTCAATCTGTGGGGTTTTAATAACATCAAGACTGCCATTAATACCAGATTTAACATGTAAAATATATGTAAAATAAGCATTGAGGTGGACTACATAAGGGTATGTTGTTAGAGTCAGACACATATGAATCATAGGGACCATAGGGCACCCTATTCCCTACATAGTGCACTTTAATTGACCAGAGCCGTATGGCTCCTGGTCATGAACCCTATGGGCCCTTGTCAAAAGTAGTGTACTATATAGGGAATAGGGTGGCATTTGAGACACAGGCATAGCGGTTGAGGGAGTGATGAGGACCCACCATTCCAGCGCCTGTGACAGCCCAGTACAGCTTGTTCTCTCCAATGTCCACAGTGATGAACTCCACCTGATCCAGGTTGTTGGTGAACAGGGTGACAGGGTTGGAACCGTCCATGTCTGCAGCCGCTACCTTGGCAGGGATGCCACTCTCTGTGCCCTGGTCTGTCCAGTACAGTTTCCTAACAGAGAGACACAGCTATGAATACAGCCCCTCAGCATCTCAATCACCTCATATGAGAACATCTACAACAGATTCAATCAAAGTCCATGTGTGAGATTAAGTGAGAAATGTATGTCTCAATTATGTCATTAAAGAATAAAGGTATGCTCCCATGGTGATATAATGAGACGCACAAAACGTTTCGATCCAACTGTTTGTGCTTCTGATTACCAGAGTTGCGGACATTCCCTTTTCTTTGATACGTTCTTCTGTCCTGCAGCTGATAAATTGGATGTGCATATATTTTTTTTATTATGTCATTACACATTTGATATGCTAACAATGAATAGGTGATAGGTGTACATATTCCCTGGTGTTGGCTTGTTGGAGTGCATTGTGTTGTGTGGTGTACAGTAACAATGGTAAGCCTCTCTCTGGGGATGGAGCAGATGGCAGGCAGGCAGATAGGGCTCAGTGACTGTGGGGATGAGCAGCCGTGCCAGAGCAGTGTTAAAATGGGGCTTACCCACGTGCCGGGTCCACAGCGATGCCAACCGGAGTGCCTGCGCCAGTCGGGGAGCCATTATTGGTTATTAGAGTCTTTCTGTACTGCATCTCCCCTCTCAGCCTCAAAACCTGACAAAACACACAAACGCACGCACATACTGTATCAGATATACCCCTGATAGAGGGAAACCAACTAAGATAACTACTTTATTTTCTAAATACGATGATCACTGTCAGTACCATTCATTTTCCGAAATAACTGCGTTGTTTTCTACAGGAGCATAGACAGTATGGATGTTTCAGCTCACCTCAATAGACTGGGTGGCTGGGTTGGTGTAGTACAGGTTCTCTGTTATCCAGTCCAGTGCCAGGCCCACAGGGGAACCCAGGATGGCTGCCGGGGCAAACTCTGTCCTGTTGGTACCGTCTGACTTCACCCTGTGGATCTCACCCTACAGAGGAGAAGGGACAGGGTTTGTCAGAGCCTAGGGACAGTAGAGTAGTATCACTTTAGGTCTCTGTTTGTGTGGACAGTGCAAACACTTACCGGGTGCTCCACCCAATAGATGGTCTGCTCAGTGTTGTCAAAGTCCACATCGTATCCATTCTGAAGTCCAGCAACAGGCACCATGGCATCGTTGCTCTTGTCATCCGGGTTCAAGGAAATGCCGTATATGACACTGTCTCTCACCACCACCAAGAAAGGATCCTCAACTACAGGAAAACATAAGTATTCATCACCAAACAAGACATGATGGCTCCAAATGGACATGTCTATAGCCTACTGGGCACTGATTTTCGTTTTTTTTAACAGGAAAAATACCACAATGTGGTATCACCATACTATCTTCCTATGACCTCTTAATGTTGAAAGAAGGTTGAAAGAGGAGGGGGTTCCGACAGGCTGGTGAAAGTTTGTTCCACAGTCTGATTTGCTTTGTCATCAGAGATTATAATCAATGGATAGCTCGGGGGCATTTTCATTCTTGGGTAATTCACCTCTCAGGGGAGAATGCGTTCTGCACGGCTAGAAAAAGCTGAAGCACTGCAACCTGAGATGGGTTAAGCTGTTGACCTAAAGAGGACTCTCTGGACTTCACATTAAAGGTCCCTTGTCTTATTGAAACCTTAGCCACACTTTTATGATCCTAAATATTTACTTCTGGAAAGGGATTTTACAACAGAATTTAAATGGGATACTGTTGACAAGTCCCTAGCCTTTAAAATATGAGTCCGGCGCTCTAGATTTCTAATTTTACCAACTGAGAGCTAGATAGGCCCCCTTAAAATATATTTGCAAAGAGCAGCACTGTTTGTAGGTTTGAGAAGGATTTACAGCAATTCCTACTCCATTAATAAAATCTTTATGAGTTATGAATGTTACAATCTATCTGTTCCATCTGACCTCACTTCCTTTTTAATCAAACTGTGAGTGATGAGTGTTTCCCTCAGGTTGGCATGGAGCCTACCTCTGGCACAGGTGATTTGGTCTGCAGCCAGGGTCCAGCCTGACGGGCAGGCACAGGAGTAGAAGCTGGGCCCCACGGCCGACAGCAGACAGATATGAGAACAGGGGCTGCTAAAGCAGTGGTTTTCACCTGCACACAGGTCCAATAACACACACAAGAAAAAAAAGTCAACAGTGTTCAGTCACCTCTGGTTTCATTCTAAAATGTCATTTCAAATACAATGTCAATACTGTACTGTGGCAATACTAGCTTATGATATCACCATGCCAAATATGTGTTTTCAGTTGGCCTACCATATACTACTGTATGTCCTAGAATGTTCTGGGGGGGGGGCAGTGCAAAGTTCTGGGGGGGGCAGTTCTGAGTCCCTGTCCTACCTGCAGGCTGCCTGGACAGGTGTACTGCCACCAGGCCCATGGGCTGAGGAAGGTTGTAGAGCATCACTGTCTGGTTCTCCCCGTGCCACTTATGAGCTCGGATAACGCGGTTGATGTATCTGTCGGTCCAATACACAAAATCCTCAAAAATGGTAATTGCGTGGGGATGTTGCAGTACCTTTTTATTGAGAGCAGCAAAAGACAAGAAGTGCATTTTATTGATATTATTCCACACAAAGAGTAAATAGGCAAATTTGAATTTAAATGATATTATGTATGTAATGTTCTCTTAGCTTAAAAAACTATATTAATAACATCTACAAGGAACAAAAATATAAACGCAACATGCAACAATTTCAAAGATTTGACTGAGTTAAAAAGTGTGAAAAAGTATTTGCGCCATCAGATTTTCTGCATTTTTGCATATTTTTGACACTGAATGTTATCAGCTCTTCAACCGAAACCTAATATTATATAAAAGGGATCCTGAGTGAACAAATAACACAAAGATGTTATACATATTTCATTTATTTATTAACTAAAGTAATGCAAAACCAATGCCCCATGTGAAAAAGTAATCACCCCCTTAGACTCAATGACTGGTTACGCCAGCTTTAGCTGCAATAACTGCAACCAAATGCTTCCTGTAGTTATCAGTTAGTCTCTCTCGCCGTGGAGGAATTTTAGCCCACTCCTCCATGTAGAATTGCTTCAACTCAGTGACATTTGTGGGTTTTCGAGCATGAACTGCTCGTTTCAGGTCCTGCCACAACATCTCAATGGGGTTTAGGTCTGGACTTTGACTAGGCCGTTACAAAACTTTAAATTCCTTATTCTTCAACCATTCTGATGTAGACTTGCTTGTGTATTTTTGATCATTGTCTTGCTGCATGACACAGCTGCGCTTCAGCTTCAGCTCACGGAGGGATGGCCTGACATTCTCCTGTAGAATCCTCTGATACAGAACAGGATTCATGGTTCCTTCAATGATGGCAAGGCGTCCAGGTCCTGATGCAGCAAAGCATCCCCAAACCATGACACTACCACCACCATGCTTGACCGTTGGTATGAGGTTCTTACTGTGGAATTTGTGTTTGGTTTTCGCCAGGCATAACGGGGCCCATGTCAGCCAAAAAGTTCCACTTTTGACTCATCTGTCCAAAGAACATTGTCCAAGAACTCTTGAGGATCATCCAGGTGCTTTTTGCTAAACTTGAGACGAGCATTCATGTTCTTCTTAGTGAGCAATGTTTTCCACCTTGCTACTCTGCCATGAATCCCATTTTTGCCCAGTGTCTTTCTGATAGTGGAATCATGAACATTGACCTTAGCCGGGGTGAGAGAGGCCTGGATGTTGTTCTAGGGTTCTTTGCAGAGGTGTGGACTCGAGTCACATGACTTGGACTCCAGTCTGACTCCAGTCACAAATTTGATGACTTGAGACTCAATTTGATAAAAAATTTAACAACTTGAGACTTGACTTCGACTTGGAGCCTCAAGACTCGGGACTCGACTTAGATTTGAGACTGATGACTTGAAATTATCTGGGCTGGTTTTGTAACGTTTTGTCACTCATTTTGTGGCAAAGTCTCTGTGGATCAGGCTACTCTTCACGCAGCCAGAGACAGTAGTATCGCACTTGCTAGTGAAACGCACACTCTGCCCTCTGATTGGACCAGCAAACTGTCAATCAACACTGGTAGCGCAGTGAGAAGGTTTTGGGGGGTCAAGAGTGTGAAACTGAATGAGAAAAATACATAAAAAAATCAGTGGTGTAAAGTACTTAAGTAAAAATATTTTAAAGTACTACTTAAGTCGTTTTTTGGGGTATCTGTACTTTACTATTTCTATTTTGGACAACTTTCACTTTTACTCCACTACATTCCTAAAGAAAATAATGTACTTTCTACTACATACATTTGCCCTGACACCCAAAAGTCCTCGTTACATTTTGAAGCAGGATAGGAAACTTGTCCAATTCACGCACTTCTCAAGAAGAAATCCCTGGTCATCCCTACTGCATCTGATCTGGCGGACTCAGTAAACACAAATGCTTCGTTTGTAAATTATGTCTGAGTGTTGGAGCATGCCCCTGGCTATCTGTAAATAAAAAATACAAAGAAACCGTGTCGTCTGGTTTGGCTAATATAAGGAATTTGAAATTATTTATACTTTACTTTTACTTTTGATACTTAAGTATATTTTAGAAATTACATTTACTTGTGATACTTACGTATATTTAAAAACAAATACTTTTAGACTTTTACTCAAGTAGAATTTTACTGGGTGAATTTCACTTTTACTTGAGTCATTTTCTATTAAGGTATCTTTACTTTTACTCAAGTATGAAAATTGGGTACTTTTTCCACCACTGTAAAAACCGTAGCCTACCATTTCAATGTTATATTTATACCTTTGCTTATTCGATCTGGTCATTAACATAGGTCTACCGCATTGCACCAAATTATTGTTATCTGTCTTTCAGAACCAGAAAAGCATTGGCGCGCAAAGGCGAGCGCACATATCCAGATTAGTAACCAGAAATAAATCACTTGGTTAATTCTTTCCGTTTTGCCTGGCAAAAGCAGAGTAGCCTACCTACGTTAATATTATCCATATCAATTTCAGTTTAGCAATCTGCTACTGACTCATCTTTGCCGGAACAATAGGCTGGTGATTTCATTGATCATTTTCATATTTCATATAGTCCTAGTTTGGGTGGATTATATACCTCAGTGGTGGTACTGCCTTATGTCTAAAGATAACTGTAACATCGCACTACCTTCAATACTTATGGGATGAAGATGTAACATTAATTGGCTAATTAATTACGATATTTGTGAGGAAGAAAAAGGCTACTGACAGATCATGCTTTCCATCCAATCCTGCAACCCCAGCTGCATACAGGTAGGCCGTATGATCCTGCTTGCTTTGGACTCCAGAGAAGTTAAAATGTGACATGATATCCCTAGTTGATATTGACTGTTAACATGAATGACTTTCAGCTCAAAATGAAGGTGTAAAATGCAGTTTATTTCTGTATCTTGTGTTTTGAAAATGCTTCACCTGTGCGTGCGTGCATGTGCGTGCGCGGAGGTCGCAAGCTTTGAACCACTTTTTGCGGTTCGCGGGCCAAATAGTTTGAGAACATCTGAGCCAGCAAACAGATTGCCAATTTGCTGTACAGCTATTGAATCGGGTGCAGAGCAAAGGTCAAATTGTAGGGAGAGAGGATTGACATAAATAAATATGCAGATCCCAAAATTGTTTGTTTACTTTTCATGGTCACCAGCAATGGGGTCTCAAGCAACAATTACTAGCATAGGCCTACTGGTCTTTTGGTATGTCAAAACTGCTTGAAATAGATAATTGAGTTATGAACCTTGCATTTGTTAATTATTACATAATCAAAATGGGTTGTAAACAAAATAATGAAAAGGGCTGTCTGGTTCCTCAATAAATAGACAACGTTTTTTTGAACTTGGGACTTTTAGGTTCTATCAGCACTAAGCATAGTTCTGAGATATTGAGCATCAGATTTCACATCCCAGATTTCAGAACTGTTTTGTAGTGAATTCTTCTTTCATAACCCATTAAGGTCCTCCCCTTAAAAGGTACCTAAAGTCCTGAGACATTTGTAAATTAGGTGATGGCGGCGGATGAATGGCATGACAATGGGCCTCTGGATCTCGTCACAGTATCTCTGTGCATTCAAATTGCCATCTATAAAATGCAATTGTGTTCGTTGTCCGTAGCTTATGCCTGCCCATACCATAACTCCACCACCACCATGGGGCACTCTGTTCACAAAGTTGACATCAGCAAACCGCTCGCCCACACGACACCATACACACACTGTCTGCCATCTGCCCGGTACAGTTGAAACTGGGATTCATCCGTGAAGAGCACACTTCTCCAGCGTGCCAGGGGGCATCGAAGGTGAACATTTGCTCACTGACGTCGGTTACGACACCGAACTGCAGTCAGGTCAAGACCCTGGTGGAGGACGACGAGCACACAGATGAACTCTCTGAGATGGTTTCTGGTAGTTTGTGCAGAAATTCTACGGTTGTGCAAACCCACAGTGTCATCAGCTGTCCAGGTGGCTGGACTCAGACGATCCCACAGGTGAAATAGCCGGATGTGGAGGTCCTGGGCTGGCGTGGTTACATGTGGTCTGCGGTTGTGAGGCCAGTTGGACGTACTTTCAAATTCTCTAAAACGACGTTGGAGGCGGCTTATGGTAGAGAAATTAACATTACATTCTCTGGCAACAGCTGTGGTGGACTTTCCTGCAGTCAGCATGCCAATTGCACGCTCCCTCAAAACTTGAGACATCTGTGGCACTGTGTTGTGTGACAGAACTGTACATTTTAGAGAGGCCCTTTATTGTCCCCAGCACAAGGTGCACCTGTGTAATGATCATGCTGTTTAATCAGCTTCTTGATATGCCACACTTGTCAGGTGGATGGATTATCTTGGCAAAGGAGAAATGGTCACTAACAGGGATGTAAACAAATTTGTGCACAACATTTGAGAGAAATACACTTTTTGTGTGTATGGAACATTTCTGGAATATTTTATTTCAGCTCATGAAACCTGGGACCAACACTTTACATGTTGCAGTCATATTTTTGTTCGGCGTATATCAATGATATCATATCTATGTAAAGAAAAATTTCAATTTGCTCACCAGATCGCTGGCCAGAACTTGTTTCCTGTTTTTGCCATTGTAATCACAGTAGTCAATAAAATCCAGGTAGGCATCCGCGAAGTAGAGCAGATTGTTGGGATAGTCAATGGTTAGGCCGTTGGGCCAGTACAGTTTGTTGCTTATGATGGTTGTCCTCATCTTCCCGTCCATACTGGCCTTCTCAATGCGAGGGTTCCTCCCCCAGTCTGTCCAGAACATGAGGTGAGCACTGCACAATAGATCAACTGTTATAGTTACAGTCAATTACGCTGTTTTCATTCATTACATTTGTATTTCCACAGTGTACTCTACTCTCTAAAGATGAGCCTCACCTGTCCCTTGGGTCAAGCACAAGGGCTCTGGGATTGGTCACATTCTCACTGACCAAGACAGTCCTTTGGGTGCCATCCAGTTTGGACACCTCAATGGTCTCCAGAACATAGTCAGTCCAATACAGGTTCCTGCCCACCCAATCCACTGCCAGGCTCTCTGTCACTGTCACTCCACTGTCAAAAACCTGTCAAATCAACACACATATGTTTAAGTGACTGGAGTTCATTCATTTCCCTAAAGAATGTAGAAAATGTAGCATTTTTGTGGGAAATGGAAGGGCATTCGATACTCACCACAGCCCTGTCGCTGCCATTTTTGTGAGCGCTCCATATTCTGTCCTGGCTGGTGTCAGACCAGTACACACGATCAGTCACTGAGTCAAAGTCCAGCGCCACAATGTTTCGTCCATCCCGGACCAGCGAGCGGACCACATTGGGCTGAGTGGTTATGTCATCGGACACAATCTGATTTCGGCTGGCGACTAAAAGGAAAGCCTCACGTGAACCTGTAAACAAAAAACACTCTCTTCTCACCTGTGCATTATAATTCAAATGAGACTTCTCATCAGCTATAGAAAATGATTCCTTAAAGTACAAAACAAGATCAATTGAGCTCCTCAGATATCTACAGCAGGGAATCAATGCAGCCTTGTTGGGAATACTGGCAGATTGAATTACAGGGCTTTTCAGCTGGTTATCTTTGAGGTAGATGGGCTCATGTCAGGCACACTGCTCATAAAAAAGCCCTTTGTTGTTGATGATGTCCTAATTACCCTGAGAGAGAGTCATTGAGTGACATATATGTTATTTGTCTTATCTGGGGAAATCAGAGTAGAGTGGGGAGAGAATGAAGAAGAGAGAGAGTGCATCCGCCGGCGGTCTGGGGCCAACACCGGCTCCATTTAGATCATTCCTGTCCTGTCCTGTCCAGCCACTGGACAGTTTATCATGTCTGTGTGGGCCAATCAGATATATTGTATATCCATCTCTGCCTGTCATCTAGGAGACTGGATTTAATCCACAGTGGGAGGATGTGTCTTATTTTGAAATTAGGCCTATTATGTTTAGAGGAAACATAATTGAGTATGTTGTGGACTAAATGTATGTGAGTAATTGTTTCTAAGAGCACAAAAAGAGCACAAAAAGCATATTCAACCCCCCCCTCCCCACACACACATCGTCCTCCTCACCTGAGACCTTGCATGTGCGTTGATCAGCCTCCAGAGTGTATCCGTCTGAGCAGTGACAGCGAAAGGAGCCTCTCTCGTTGAAGCAGTGCTGGCTACACAGGCCAGGGGGGCTACACTCATCTATGTCATCACACGTCTTCGAGTCATTACTCAGCTGGTAGCCCATGGGACACGTGCACTGGGCCCCAAACGGCCCCTGGATGCAACCGTGGGTGCAACCTGCATTGTTGTCAGTGCAGCTCTCCTGGTCTAGGAGGGTAAGAAGAGGAGAGAGTGGATAACAGATGGTAAGAAAATGAAACACCTTGGTGTCATACATAACAGGCAATGTGGATAAATGAACAAACTGAATGAAGACACTACTATAGCTAGCTGCTCAATTAATCACAGTGCTACAAATAGAGCATCGTCACAGCATCATCTACCCTAGATGATATCTATTGAATTTCTTCAAAGCCCACCATTTATACATTCTGAAACACATTTTCTACATTTGTAACTACAGACAAGAATTTCCTTTTATCCTCCAATTGTGTTTTGCAACATTCTACCCATATTGAGATGGTTAGTGTGGATGGCAGGTTTTGGGATGAATCAAAGCTACACGCGTGAGGTTTTACCAATGATTGAGGTTGTTCCTACCTGGCAAGGGCTCGTCTGAAAGCAGTGAGGAAGGCAAGAAAGGAAAATCATAGATCACTTTTAAGTTAATACAGACCAAATCAACACATGCATGATTTGAACACAAGATTCCACACATAACAAAAATTCCTCACAAACATTAACGCACTCAATTCGTTGGTGACCAGAAATGCTGTGCAAAATATGTCTAGATTTCAAGTGACCAGTGAAACTAGAAAATTACAAAGAGAAAAATTACAAAGAGTGCACTTCATTTTCGTAACATGACACTATTAGCAGGCTGGCCTAAAAAAGGCAGAGAACCAGAGATGGTGACTTACTGCAGAGCGGGGATTCGTCTGCACCATTGGGGCAGTCAGGTTTGTTGTCACACACCCTGCTGATGTTGACACACATGCTGTGGCCCGGGCACTGCCACTGCCAGCTAGGGCAGCGGAAAGGTGGCGTGGGGCAGTCTCTCTCGTCACTCATGTCCCTACAGTCGTTGTCGCCGTCGCAGAGCCACCCGTGGTACACACAGTTGCCATTGTCACAGCGGAACAGGGTGGTGGGGCAGGTGCGGGGGGGACAGACGTGGTGCTCGTCTGAGCCGTCCTCACAGTCCGGGTGGCCGTCACACTCCCAGGTAGAGGGGATACAGCTGCCGTCTGACTGGCACTGGTACTCACTCTCATGGTGGCACATCCCTGGGGGTCTGGTGGCTGGGCACAGCAGGAGAAGGCAAGGTCAGACAGTTTAGTGAAGTGTGGCTGAAGCTCCGGAGGAAGACACAACAGAACCTTAGAGATGATGTCACTTCACTGAGAGTATTGCTCAAACTGCTGTGCTCTAAGACCAGTTGGTTGATCAACTCTGTATGTATAAACTAATCCTTATATTTTCTTCTTGTGACTCAAAACAAAGAAGTTGGATACTTACAACAGCCATTGCATTTCTACTCTGTATCAAAACCCACTATGTGTACATTCTACATGTCACTACAGACAAAAATATATATATACAATTGTGTTTTGCAACATTCTACCCATATTCAGAGGGTTAGTGTGGATGGCAGGTTTTGGGATGAATCAAAGCTACACGTGAGGTTTAACCAATGATTGAGGTTGTTCCTACCTGGTAAGGGCTCGCGATCGTCTGATAGCAGTGAGGAAGGCAAGAAAGGAGAATATATAAACTGATCATTACATTTTCTTGTGACTTAAAACAAAGAAGTTGAAAACTTACGACAGCCAGACTCATCTGAGTGATCGCTACAGTCAAAGACCCCATCACAGCGGTAGTAGGAGTTGATACACTGATGTCCATTAGAACACTTGAACTCATAGAGAGTGCAGTTGTAAACTGCAAAAACAACAATGAAGGATGGCGTTTAGATGCAAAGTCATTGTGTGTACTGTTAAATACACATGGAATAAGATCAATGGGATAAGAGGCTAATGTATGCTTGTGTTTACAGTATATTCAATTGACTTGAAATTGTGTGACACTTGTTGTTGGTGCTGTCCAACTATGTAAGTTCCTAAATACAGTACAGTGCAGAAATAATACAGAGACACTCACTGCAGCCCTTTTCGTCAGCCCCATCCATACAGTCTCTGTCTCCGTCACAGACATAGCTGGGGCCTATACAGCGGTGGTCTGGGCACTGGAACTGTTCCGGGTGGCATGTACCACTGAGGTCTGCCAACACAGAGAGACCAATGGAGCTAACAGTTAGATGCAACACATCATGACTGACAGACATTCACAAAAAGACACTCAACAACAGAGGAATTACTCCTATAGTAAATGTGTGAAAATAAAAGTGATCCTTGACTAGGAGACTCACTGCAGTTGGCCTCGTCCGATCCGTCTTCACAGTCGTTGTCCGTGTCACACACCCAGGTGTGTGGGACACAGCGGTTGTTGGCACAGGTGAACTGGTTGGCCGCGCAGGTGCCAGGGGTCTGGGTGGGGCAGTCCCGCTCGTCACTGCCGTCAAAGCAGTCGTTGTGCCCGTCGCAGTGCCATCCACTGGGCACACAGTGCTGGTTGGCACAGGAGAATGCCCTGGGTGAGCAGGTAGTGTCTGAGAAAGAAAAGTAAGGATTAATGAAACATAAATTTTTTGCTACTTTCTAACACTGTAACAAGCCATTCTAAGTATACTAAAGTATCCAAAATATAAGTATAAGTATATTAAAGATTATTTCTAATGCCCCAATAATGTGCCTCGAGTGACAAACAGTTAGTATACTCCATTGAAACATAACATAATGCATTACTATGAGCTCCGCCACAGTTGGCCTCATCACTGTTGTCATGGCAATCGTCAACGCCGTCACATCTGTAGTTCTGAGGGACACATTTCCCATTGGTGCAGGAGAAGGAATTGGAACCGCACTGCAGCGTGGGGGGCTCGTTGGAAGGGTCCTCTACACATGTCTGCTGGCTGGGCGCCAGCTTCATGCCATACGGACAGCCACACACCCTCTGGGAGTCCGGCGCCGGGAAGCAGAAATGGCTGCAGTCTCCATTAGGGTTAGTATTCCTATTGCAGAAGTTGGAACCTGAGAGGGGTAGCAAAGGATATCATGAATGAATCCAGTGATGGCCACAGAGTTATCCTCCATAACATAAACACTGCAGCAGGGAAAACAATGAAAGAGTTTCTCACCAGTCTGGGAGTTGGAGTTGAAAGATTTGACATGCATGATGTGGCTGATTCCCCGCCTGATGATGACCATCTCTCCCCCGTCAGTCTTGCGCACACGCACGATCCCACCCAGGCGCCAGTCAGTGAAATATGCATAACCTGGATGGGCCAAGCAGGAATGCTCATGAAACTGAGACCCGGCATTGGGAATACCAGGGCACAACCTATGACATTAGCTATTTTATCTCATATCATCACTGAACTAATGTTTGAGATGACACGGTAATTGCTCTCTCTAATGATCATCAATCAAGCTGGATTGACAAGTAGTAATGAAATTCTAACGATGAAAGCTTTTATACAATAACAAGGTAGCTTTAAATGCAACTGATGGAATAGTTTTGCATTCCATTCTTCGTGAATTTAAAAAGGAGAAAATTGAATCACCTCCAAAAATGGTGAGACCAAAAGGATGTGAGATCTGAGTGATGCGCTCCAAAGACAGCCTGTTCTGTCCATCAAAGGTGCTGTGTTCGATCTTATCAAAGAAGGCATCCACCCAGTACAGGCGCATGGAGCTGGGGGGAGACAGGACCAGTAGGACAGACATTATTAAACACTGTTGCACAAACATATTGTCAGGAGGAGTATTAGGGAAGATCAGTCTGATAAGAGGCTTAATGAGATCTTACAAACGTAGGATCTTAATTTGATCACTCTTTTGTTGCTGAGAATTTTCCTGCACCGCAGGAAATGCAGATGAGCTTTGTGATTTACATAAATTCACTAAAAACCCGCACTAACATACTAACAGATTAACAGTATTCCACTTTTCATGCAGCCTCATTTTGACCAGTTAATAACCTAACCACCAATCAAGCAACATTATAGACTAAACGTTAAAATCTTGTTGATGCAAGATTATTTTGCTCTTACAATACAGGTCAAATTAAGATCCTACATCTGTAGATGGGTGAACAATAGCATGATTTCAACTCAATGCAAATCGTGGCACAATGTTGAAATGTAGTGACAAAGTCAATCCTAATGATCTATTTGTTATGAATGAAATTGCTATTTCTTTTCTTGATGGAGTATTACTGGAAGAGGAAGAATGGCGTATTGTGAGGCCATTCCTTTGGTCCTGCTAGGCTCTGGGACCATTGGCTCACCTCCAGTCGATAGCAAGGCCATTGGGCCAGCCAAGAGTAGTGTTCACAATCGACAGAGCATGTGACCCATCACACCAGGCCCTCATAATCTTCGCTGGACGGTACCAGTCGGTCCAGAAAATATACCTGCCAAAGAAAACATACACATTAACCAACACTCACATTTATATGGGAAAAGATCATAGTGTATTTTTCACCTCAACCGAAGTAGACTCTGGCTTTAGGACCACTTCAAAATCTTTTATGAACTGAGAAATATAGACAGTTTATTTCAGAGCTCCACAGGGCTTTTTCCGTTTAAGCCAAGTTCTTAGTGTTCACTACAATACTGGCCTTCATGCAGCACTAATCTAGGCTATTGGACCCAGAGGCCTTATGACTTTGAAGCTATTGGAAATGTCCCACTAGCACTAAATAAAGAGTCCTTTTATCAGGTTTGGGATTTAAAGCGCGAACAATCTATGAATGGGTCGGTACCTCTCGCATTATACTAGGTGTGACTAGACAACTGCTCAGTTTGCTAATGCTTTTTCATGTTCTTAAGAGGCAGGGATCCAAGATGAAAGCATGGGCCTCTGAGCTCTGCTGGTTCTGGCTAATGCCCTCACTAAATTGTGCATGCCCAGGACATTGGAGTACTTGACCGATTTCACACACTAACTTTGTTTCCCTTTGACATCCTATGGTCCTTTAAATGAATCTTAAACAAATATTAACTTATTAGCATTTATATTAATGAATTGAATAGAACCAAACATTTAAATTAGGATATTATGCTGTAAAAAGCATGTATTCAGCGGTAAAGTCAGCATTCTTCAAGCATCAACAAGATATATAAGCCTATCATATCTGCTCTCCCTCCCTTTTTTTGTTTTTGTTGCAACAGAGGTTGGAAGTGGCACCAAGCCTCTCTCCCTGACCCCCCCTCCTCAGCTCCAGCCAAGCTGTATTTACCCAATCACAGGGTGCACCACGATGGACCTGGGGTTGTTCAGGTTGCGTATGATGGCTCTCCTGGACTGATCGGCCACCTTCATGACTGAAATACTCCTGAAGCGTGGGTCCGTCCAGTAGAGGTTCTTTGAAATCCAGTCGTAAGCCAAGTCCTCCACGCCGTCCACTCTATTGGCAGCTAGCACCTCCCTGCCTGGGAAAATCAAAGCGGTGACACCGCCATTTAATACGGAGATGAAAGAGGAACACATTTAAGTAAATAGACTGTCAGCTTGCATTTGTCCTATGTAGACCTGACAGAGAAAACTAGGGCTGGTCAACCCTATGTTGCAAAAACAACACCACTGGCCAGTACAGATTGTGGTTTCATTTTCTACTGGAATTTCTTTACCACATTAGTAACTTATTTTACATGTAAGTTAGAAGATAAATATTGAATCTTCTACAACCTTTATTAATTATGTTCCCAGTGTTTGTTTTATCACATTCTGGAGCCTGACTTTGAGCTGTTACGTGATAGTTTCACTGCTGTCCATGCTCTTGTCCGTTCCCTTCCTCCTTCTCTCCCTCCCTCCCTCTCTCCCTTCCTCCCCCATTGCACTACCCGGCTCCATAAGGCACTCCCCTAACTGCCGGTATAAGCTCGGCTGGATCACATGCTTGAACTCTCTGTTTGAAAGGATATATGTAGGGATGTAACCATGGTTACAAAAAAGTATTTCTTCACATTCTAATAAATGGAAAACACACTAAGTAATAATGACCTACAAATTCAGTAATAAAAATATATTTAACAGAAAATTCAGTGTTTGATTCTACATACAGTATCGAGTCATCAATCCAACCAAATAAATGTAGGCCGCTCTCACCGGTGCCATCCACTTTCTGCTTGTAGATGATGTCTTTGGCCGTGTCTGAGAAGAAGATGGCATCGTCCTCTGCGCTGAAGTCCACCCCAACGAAGTAGGAGGGCGTTCCAGTGACAGGAAGGATGACATCCTCCTGAGAGGACAAGTTGAACGGGATGCCTCGGACAGCCAGCTGGCTGGAGAAGAGTAGGAACTGCCTCACCGCTAGAACGAGATAAGAAGACATCCACCACCAATCTTCTACCTCATATTTCACACCACATGGGCATTCACAGTATAAAGGACACAGCACATTGAAGTGTTCCAAGTCCAATGTTAATAGAGAAAAAGCAAAACGAGGTTTATGTGTTGGTCTTACCAACACATCTCTTGCCATCAGCATGCAGGTCGTAGCCCATTCGACACCTGCAGCGGAAGCCCAGTCCTTGGTTGTCTGACCTGTGGCTTAGAATACAGATCTGCTCACAGCCGTCCCTGTCTGCGCCGCAAGGATTCGCCACTGTCAACACAACACACGCTCAGTCACTGACAGAACATGCAGAAGTGGGACAGATCAGTGTAGTTGTACCCGTGACATGCTTACCATATGGTTGTCTTAGTTGGTGTACCACTTGCACTCCATGCGGGGTCTGAGATGTGGTGTAGACCACCTGAGGGTTAGTGTCACTGAACTTGTTGGCTTTCATCACGGCCATCTTGGTCCAGTCAGTGAAATACACAGTGTGCTCAAACAGACTGATGCCAAAGGGATGGGGGATCACAGCACCTCCATGGACAACTGTTTTCCTGAAAGGTGGAGAGAATACCATGAGCAGACTGTACATTTCCCATTGTGAGAGACAGGGAACCTGCATTGTTTTGACTTCTTACATATGGTCTCTCCAGACATTTGGCCAAAAAACATCCAATTTGAGCTCTTTCATAAGGAAAATATCTGGTATGCTTACCTATGAAGCCCATCATATGTGGTGGTTTCAATATAGTCATAGCGGCTGTCTACCCAGTAGACTCGCTTGGCATCAATATCCAGTGTGATCCCTGCTGGCCAGCCCAATTTAGTCCTGATGATCCCATAGCGATTGGTGCCATCCATGTAAGCCCGCTCCAAACCTGGCTCTCCATTCAGAGAGTCCCAGTCTGAGAAGAACAGGAACCTGTGAAAAAAATGTATTTAGGCTTAGTTAGGTACAGATTAGGTACAGGTTACCAGTACAGTAGGTTGCCAAGAAATTGTCAAAGACTCCAGCCACCCAAGCCATAGACTGTTCTCTCTGCTACCTTACGGCAAGTAGTATCAGTGCACCAAGTCGGGAACCAACAGGACCCTGAACAGCTTCTACCCCCAAGCCATAAGACTTCTAAACAAGACTGCTAAATAGCTAATCAAATGGCTACCTGGACTACCTGCATTAACCCTTTTTTGCACTGACTCTCTTGCACTTACTCTATGCACACACACTGGACTCTACCTACACATACTTAATTACACTTACACCACAACTCACACACACACACACACACACTACATATGCCCACACACAAAATAAATGCACACACATGCATACTGACGTCACACACTCACCTCGTACCCCTGCATATCAACTCGGTATTGGTACTCCCTGTATATAGCCATGTTATTTTCTACTCCCTATATACACTGAGTATACCAAACATTAGGAACACCTTCCTAATATTGAGTTGCACCCCTTTCTGCCCTCAGAACAGACTCAATTCGTTGGGGGCATGGACTCTACAAGGTGTCGAAAGTGTTCCATAGGGATTCTGGCCCATGTTGACTCCAATGCTTCTCACAGTTGTGTCAAGTTGGCTGGATGTCATTTGGGTGGTGGACCATTCTTGATACACATTTTTTTATCTTATTTTTAACTCTGCATTGTTGTAAAAGGACCCGTAAGTAAGCATTTCACTGTTAGTCTACACTTGTCTACGAAGCCTGTGACAAATACAATTTGATTTGATTTATGTACTGGGTGCAATATTGAACATTGGTAAATTGGATTCCATAGCAGCAAAGTTATTCTTCCTTTTAGCTATAAAACGACCAAGATTGCAACTCAACAAAAGGCCAGTACATAAATACATAAGCGGATTTCCTTTTTTAATTGATTTTGAAACAGACACATCCTCCACTGTCTTTGTCCCCAGTCTTACAGGTGGGCCAGCCCTAAATCCCACCGAGGTAGAACAAGTGTGTACATTTATTATCACTTCCCAATTTACCTGTAGCCACCTGGGCCAGGCTCCCCTCTTGAACTGCACTATTGGATTACAATGAGGCTCATCACTTTTAATACATGCTCACTAATCCGCCAGGACAATCTGCGAATCTCACACACTCATTACTCCCTACTGGTACAACATGACAGAGAGACAGAGAGATAGAGGGGTGGAGGATGGAGGGATAGAGGACTTGAGGATGGGAGAGGTCCCCTCGACTCACCCCACAGTTGGGTCCACGGCCAGCCCTCTGGGGTTTCCCAGATTCTCTGCAATCAGCGTCACCCGGTTATTCCCGTCAAAGTCCACCATGTCAATCCGGTTGACACTGGCCTCCACCACATACAGCTTATTGTTCACCCAGTCCACGGCAAGGTTCTCTGGGTAGTCAACTGATACATTTAAAACCACCTGCATATTGGAACCGTCCATATCCACCGAAAACACCTGGCCAGAAAAGAAAGCATTGTTGCTAAGAGATTAGCTCTTTGGTGGTTAAGGCTCCGGAAATTCATGGAGATATTTTTTTTAAAAGACAGTCCGAGAAACAGGGATGGGATATGTCACCATAATACCCCAAAATGAGAAGGAAATTACTGTCATTAAGGCTGGGCTTTGGTTGCTTGTCTGACTTCCATCTTGTCTGTCTAGTAGTATTTGAGTGGTGCCGTCGGATAGTATTCTGAAACCTGTACCCTACTGATTCCAAGATGGCACCAGTTTCTCAGGCTTGAAGCCTTGGCACCTCGGAAGGGATAGTGCTCTTTACAGCTCTGGCTCATTTGAAATAAGACACAGACGTCTAAAAAGCAGGATTTTCAGCTGACCTGTTTAAAGAGAAACTGAATATGTGGAAATAGCCTGCTAGTTTAACCTCCCTAGTACGTTCACATGGCCTGTTTGTGGTCCCCCCACTTTAAATCAGATGACATTCCGCCATGGAGGTGGCTGATCTACACAGATACCACACTCCTGGTATGTCCCTGCTTTTCAGTCTCATGGCTGGGGTTCAAACCATACAGAAGCCAAGAGGCTGAACAAAGCCCTTTGAGCTGGCCAAAGAATGCATATAACAGGGTGGACTCGGTGAAAACAAACACTGCACGATTACTTTGAACACGATCGGGTTACAAAAATTACACTGAGCTATGTGAACATCATACCAGCATATCACTGTTTTCCAGATTAGACATTTTGGATTCCATTCCCAACCTACTTCCCCTTCATTATGACCCAGCCATTTGGGAGCCGACAGGTCTACCATTTGTACAGTATTTAACAGTGGCGGTATCTTAAGAGATCTGTCAAAGTATTCCCTCTCCTTTGAGGAGGGGGGGGGGCAGGTTCCTGTACAACTCAAGCATTTCCTCAAACAATAAGCCTTTCTATCCTGTGGACTGTAACTACGGTCCACTGTACAGGTAGTTCTAACGATGCACTGATGCCTTAACAGGGCCACAGGAAACCATTCATGAGAAGTATTTTAATGCCAGTATTACCTTGTTCTGAATAGTATCCGTCCAGAATACTCTATTGAGGAGGTAGTGGAAGTCCACCCCGACAGGGACTCCTCTGTTCTGGGAATGGACCAGGGTGCGTGAGCTGTGTCCATGGATGTCACCAATCAGCAGGTCTCGGCCATTAGAGAAGACCAGCGAGGCTATGCCAGCTACATACAGTAGACAAGGCAATCAGTAAGATAACATGCTCAAACATTTCATAATCTCTTCTTATGAATACCTGTCATATGCTGTTTGAGCACTTGTTTTTTGACTGTATAATCATTCATTAATTTACTCAGCAGTGGAAAACAGTAAAGAAATAACAATACATTTTAGTCAGTCAGTTTTGATAACATACTATTGAGTTGATTCAAATATTAATCTATAGTAATACATTTTTCATTTTCATGTAATACATTTTATGTCATTTTTAGAAACCCAAATGGCTAAGATAATTTGATCTGTATTATTAACACAGCAAATCCCTCCTTGCTGCTGGCCTCAAAGTCAGAGGGGTCTGTCTCTTGGTCAATAGCCATTCTCTGGTCCACAGACACAAACGACTGGCTGAAACAACAATCAGTGTGCAACAATGCACCAGAAAGCAGAGCAGGCGGACAGAGGCTGGCAGACAGGAGGCTGGGTTGAGGGGCTGAGGGCCTCTAGCCAGGAGGAATGAGTTTGATATGTTGAAGTATATTGAAGCTCAACGCTGGCCACTCACTTGAGGTGTTAGCTCTGCAGTATCGGTGCTGCTCTAGGAAATAGCCCTCTCGACAGCTGCAGCGATGGGTTCCTATCCGATCTTCACAGAGCTGGTCGCAGACGCCCCACATCTGACAGTCGTCAAAGTCTTCACCCAATAATAAAATAAGAAAAAAACTGAATGAGTCAAAAGCACACATCCCATATTCTACCTCTAGTAGCCTGAGTTTCCAATTATTTCAATGTACTGTAACTGAGTGAATATGGCAGTATTTACCGATACAAGAGCGGCTGTTGTTGTTGTTGACAATGTACCCAGAGGGACATGAGCAGGTTCCTCCCTCAGGGGACGCATGACAGCGATGCTCACAGCTCAGAGAAGCACACCTCCAGATACCTGACAAACAAAGACAGACACACATTACTCCCAATGTCACTTCTCAAAATAAAGTGTGTGCGTGTGTGCACTTTAAACTGGTTGTATCGTTACTGACTGCAATTGCGTCCAGCAGTGGTGTTGGTCTCATCCTCTCTATCTGGACATTGGGCTGTCCCATCACACAGTTGGTCCATGGGAATACACAGGCCTGAGGATGGACAGGGCCATTCTCCAGGATAGCACTCACGTGATACAGCGTCTGCAGAGAAAACAAAGTCATCTTCACTGCCTTGCTTTGAGAAAACAGCAACAATGTGTGAGGTATGCATTGAAGACAGCAGCCTTATCGGAGGATTCTGCAACCCATCCTCTAAAAACACTCTTCAGAGCAGCGTGGAGGAATGTTTGTATATTATTTTTTTTAAACCTTTATTTAACCAGGTAAGACCCATTGATGTTAAAAACCTATTTTGCGAGGACGACCTGGCAAGAAGGCAAAACAGGAAAATAGCAGCGTGTATATAAAATATTACAGAAAAATACATAAAATACACACAAAAGACAAAGTGTCACAAGTTACAGATACAATTGAAGATTAGAAACAACTGCAGCTATTACAAACAGTGTTGTCAATCAGAGTCTTAAAAACAGGTAAGACCACTAACTCCCCTAACTTTAATATATTTTGAAGAATTCTAAAGCTCTTTGGAGGGGTGAGCGATCAAAGAGGCATTTGACTACCACACTTTAAAAGCACAAGCACAGTGCTTAGCCCATACCAACCATGGAGACCAAAGGTGAATCAGGTTTATACACCGCAGTGTTTCTCACTCCTTCAAGTGTGTTTCTACTGAACCCGCTTACTGTTTCCTTTTCAGGGTTCTGGGTCCAATATTAGAAATGTGTCAAGAGGAAGGGGAGGTGGAACTCTGTAGCGTCCATACCACAGCCTTTCTCATCTGCATTGTCTTCACAGTCGTCTTCTCCGTCACAAAGCCAGACCTGGTGAACACAGCGACCGCTGGGGCACGTGAAGTAGCTCCCTCTGCAAGTGGGATAGGCTACAGGGCGAGAGAGAGAGAGAGAGAGGGAGAGAGAGAGAGAGAGAGACGGGGAGGGGAGGGGGGGAGAGCGAGAGCGAGAGAGAGAGCGAGAGAGAGAGAGAGAGAGAGAGAGAGAGAGAGAGAGAGAGAGAGAGAGAGAGAGAGAGAGAGAGAGAGAGAGAGAAAGAAAGAGGGGTAGCGGGAGAGAGAGAGAGAGAGAGAGCACATAGAAAAGGTCAGATTAAGTCCAAGTTAGGGGGAGAAACTATCTGGGTGAGGAGTTAAGATGAGAGGTGCAGATAGCAGTAGTGGTGCGAGGAGGGTAGAGGTACGCACTGCAGCTCTGTTCGTCACTCCTGTCTCCACAGTCGTCGTCATGGTCACAGACATAGCGTTGAGGGACACACTCTCCGTTTCCACATTGGAACAGGCCACTGCTGCAGTGCTGTGCTGAATAAAACAGACACAAAACCCCTTCAGTGACTGACTGTTTGTGTCGGACAGGAGGAGGGCCTGGTTAAATGCGTGGTCATGCGTCACTGCTAGGGCTGTGGCGGTCATACAATTTTGTCAGCCGGTGATTGTCAAGCAAATAACTGCCGGTCTCACGGTAAGTGACCATTAATTAATGTAAACACATTTAGCATTTCCTGGCTTCCATGCATAGCCTACAATTCACTGATGCAGACCTTTGGAACATCTACATTTTAAAAAGTCTAATAAATCCATGTAATATAGCCTACACCATAACAATAAATCCATTATTTATTTTAGAGAGGTCTAAAGAAACATGTAGTCTATTTCAGAAGAACAGAATACCATACTCTGTGTTGTCCTTCTGTTAGGCCCTGATCTGGCTATGGGCTACACTAGTTCATTTAGCTGACAAGATTTGCTTAGAATTCCTTGGCATTATTTTATATTATTTTATAGTATGAAGAATACAATTGAACATAGCTGAATAAAATAGAAAGGATATATTCTCCAAACGATTTGAGGGAGTGCGCACATGCGGCTATTCTGTGTTGAGTGGTTAACAAAGAAACAGATACTCCTAAATGCTTAATTTAGAGTTATTTATGTAACCTTAGTTGTGATACAAATGTTAGGCTATATGTTATGATTTTTAATACAATCTAAGGCTGCATGATGCGTCTCTAATGATGATTTGAAAAAAGTTGCATGAAAGGCATGAGCTCTGCCTTGTTTTTTGCGCAGGTTGTACACACTTCATCAGTCTCTCATTCACAATTTGACAAGCACTTAATAATGCCTCGAATTTCCTGGCTGCATCCCCTTTGTGTGGCCGTTATGCCCCCTAAAAAAATCCATGCCTTTTGCGGCCAGTGGCCGTTGTGCCCTTGGGCTGAATATAATAATTATAATTCCCTTCTCCCGGCTGTGTGCCGAAGCACCTCTCACTCACATGGCTCTCAGTCACATGATTGGGTCTTTCTCACAGGCTACAAGTGAAGACAGACACATCGGGGACGCAACTGCGCACGTCCTTATCCAATTCCCGAGGCGCATATTGAAGATATTGGAAGAACTGTCCACATTTACTTTTCGTCAGCCAACAAGATGAGTAGGCCTAACTAACAGCAAAAGCACTAGCCTATGTCAATCTACTATCCCCATAGTACAAAAGTTGACCTATTCTATTCTGTGCGAGAAATAAATATTCCAAACATAGTCCGGGACAGTTGTGGGATGTGATAGATCCCAAATTAATACAACCACTAGCATCAAAAAACCTGTTTTAAGCAATGAACCTGACGCAATAGATGAGAATATTTAGCTTAAAATGTTGATAAACTAAGGCTATTTCTTCACATTATAAGCACAGCAATGCACACACGGCAGTAGGCTATAAGCGCAAATGTTCCATTAGCAGAAAAACACCATTCTCAAAAGTGACCACAAATACAATTATGCATGTAATGCTTTCATTACAAAGGTGCATTTTCATGGTGAAAATGATCTTCCCCAAACTTGAAACTCACGCGCTGCGTATGTACACTACCGTTCAAACGTTTTGGGTTCATTAAGAAATGTCCTTGTTTTCGAAAAAAAATCACTTTTATTGTCCATTAAAATAACATCAAATTGATCAGAAATACAGTGTAGACATTGTTGATGTTGTAAATGGCTATTGTAGCTGGAAACGGCAGATTTGTAATGGAATATCTACATAGGCGTACAGAGGCCCATTATCAGCAACCATCAGTCCTGTGTTCCAATGGCACGTTGTGTTTGCAAATTCAAGTTTATCATTTTAAAAGGCTAATTGATCATTAGAAAACCCTTTTGCAATTATGTTAGCACAGCTGAAAATTGTTGTGCTGATTAAAGAACCAATAAAACTGGACTTCTTGAGACTAGTTGAGTATCTGGAGAAGTTATTTGGCCACTTTAGCTGTGATACAAACCTTATCAAAACATATAGGCCTATGGGCCAGGCTATTGAGGTGTGCGACTATGATTTTAAAAAGTCCCCAAAAACGCATGCACTGTTTGCCTTAAGCTGGGCATCATTCACAAGTGATAAGCTAATATTGTCTCCCATCACACTATTCTTGATTTAATCTTGTCTTTACATATTCAAAATAATATATGTGTCAAATTTGTTTTGATTTAGAATGGACCATTATTATGCGCCTGTCTCGAAACAGGGGCAGCTGTAAAAAATACATGTCATCTATGCACTTAAATAGAGAATGGAGGACGCTTTTCCCGTGGTCGTCGTCGGGTGAGGTTGTGTCTCTCTCTGGCAGGAGGTAAGCTTGGCTTATATGGCTTATATACATAGTTTGGGCTTTGTCGAGTAAAGCTTAAACTATGTATTTAGATTGTAGTTAGGTATTGTAGGTAGTTATCGTGGGTTGTTGTATGTAATTATTGTAGGTTATTATTGTATTCGTCTGAGCCCGGTGAAGCACGAAGCTAGCTAACCCACTACCTGGACTAGCTGGCGGGTAGCTACTGGTAACTATTAGCAACTGTGGATAGTTGTTTCACGCCTGAGAGTACCTGTAATTACGCCAGCTAGCTGCCTACAATAATTACATACAATAATGCCTACCATTCAGCTGTTTTTCTAACCTCACTGTCTGAAGCGTTAATGTTAGGTAGTAAGTGGCTACTGTGCTTGAAATGTAGCTAGCTTGTTGCTACCTGGATAGCTACTAGTAAACAATAGCTGGAACGACCTAGCGAACAGACACGAACAGGCTGAGTCAATTCAGTGGATAGCTTTGCACTTGACTAGCTAACAGTAGCTGCTAGGGGTAAGTTATAATCTACATTTGTGTTTTGTTTTTACATACTGGTAGCCAGAGTCGTTCAAGGGAATTCGGGACATGGGTGACTAGTTAACGTTAGCTTGGCTCTCTCTGTGTGTTCGTGCCATGGGAGGAGGGGTTTCTTCTTTGTCTGAAAGCAATGGCTAGCTAGTATGCTAACTATTCTAGCTAACTAACTGGCTGAATAAGTTGACGACGGACTCGCTCAAGCTGTCGGGACTAACCCACAACGTTAGACACGGACACGAATGATCTGCTTGGCGTGTTGACACACTGGTGGTTTGTTGTGGCCGAGTATTGGTGCTAAACCGTGTTGTTGGAGTCCGGCATGCTAGTTGGCTATGGCGTCATATGACTAGGTGCCCTGGACGATTTTCACGGAAGAATACTGTACCAAGTTAGCTAGCTGAATAAACTAAGTTAGTCTATTCCTAGAAAACATTGAACCGCTGTAGTTTACAACAATTATAGTTTCTGAGGTGGAAGTTGGGAGAGTTATATTTGGGTGTTTCAGTGAAACGTAAGTGAGGGAGGCCCCGCTCTCTCCTTTCCCAGATGTTTAGTTCATTTCATTCCGATCTCCTTTGCATTATTGTAGCTATCATCTCTTCCCTCTGCTCAATCCTTCTCCTTCCAATCTCCTGATTCTGCCTCCTCAACCCTCCTCTCCTCCCTTTCTGCATCCTTTGACTCTCTATGTCCCCTATCCTCCCGGCCGGCTCGGTCCTCCCCTCCTGCTCCGTGGCTTGATGACTCATTGCGAGCTCACAGAACAGGGCTCCGGGCAGCCGAGCGGAAATGGAGGAAAACTAGACTCCCTGCAGACCTGGCATCTTTTCACTCCCTCCTCTCTACATTTTCTTCATCTGTTTCTGCTGCTAAAGCCACTTTCTACCACTCTAAATTCCAAGCATCTGCCTCTAACCCTAGGAAGCTCTTTGCCACCTTCTCCTCCCTGCTGAATCCTACTCCCCCTCCCCCCTCCTCCCTCTCTGTGGATGACTTCGTCAACCATTTTGAAAAGAAGGTTGACGACATCCGATCCTCGTTTGTTAAGTCAAATGACACTGCTGGTCCTGCTCACACTGCCCTACCCTATGCTTTGACTTCTTTCTCCCCTCTCTCTCCAGATAAAATCTTGCGACTTGTGACGGCCGGCCGCCCAACAACCTGCCCGCTTGACCCTATCCCCTCCTCTCTTCTCCAGACCATCTCCGGTGACCTTCTCCCTTACCTCACCTCGCTCATCAACTCATCCTTGACCGCTGGCTATGTCCCTTCCGTCTTCAAGAGAGCGAGAGTTGCACCCCTTCTCAAAAAACCAACACTCGATCCCTCTGATGTCAACAACTACAGACCAGTATCCCTTCTTTCTTTTCTCTCCAAAACTCTTGAGCGTGCCATCTTTAGCCAACTCTCTTGCTATCTCTCACAGAATGACCTTCTTGATCCAAACCAGTCAGGTTTCAAGACTGGTCATTCAACTGAGACTGCTCTTCTCTGTGTCACGGAGGCTCTCCGCACTGCTAAAGCTAACTCTCTCTCCTCTGCTCTTGTCCTTCTAGACCTGTCTGCTGCCTGTGATACTGTGAACCATCAGATCCTCCTCTCCACCCTCTCCGAGCTGGGCATCTCCGGCGCGGCTCACTCTTGGATTGCGTCCTACCTGACCGGTCGCTCCTACCAAGTGGCGTGGCGAGAATCTGTCTCCGCACCACGTGCTCTCACCACTGGTGTCCCCCAGGGCTCAGTTCTAGGCCCTCTCCTATTCTCGCTATACACCAAGTCACTTGGCTCTGTCATATCCTCATATGGCCTCTCCTATCATTGCTACGCAGACGACCCACAACTAATCTCCTTTCCCCCTTCTGATAACCAGGTGGCGAATTGCATCTCTGCATGTCTGGCAGACATATCAGTGTGGATGCCAGATCACCACCTCAAGCTGAACCTCGGCAAGACGGAGCTGCTCTTCCTCCCGGGGAAGGACTGCCCATTCCATGATCTCGCCATCACGGTTGACAACTCTGTTGTGTCCTCCTCCCAGAGTGCGAAGAGCCTTGCCATGACCCTGGACAACACCCTGTCGTTCTCCGCTAACATCAAGGCGGTGACCCGATCCTGTAGGTTCATGCTCTACAACATTCGGAGAGTACGACCCTGCCTTACACAGGAAGCGGCACAGGTCCTAATCCAGGCACTTGTCATCTCCCGTCTGGATTACTGCAACTCGCTGTTGGCTGGGCTCCCTGCCTGTGCCATTAAACCCCTACAACTCATCCAGAATGCCGCAGCCCGTCTGGTGTTCAACCTTCCCAAGTTCTCTCACGTCACCCTGCTCCTCCGCACACTCCACTGGCTTCCAGTTGAAGCTCGCATCTGCTACAAGACCATGGTGCTTGCCTACGGAGCTGTGAGGGGAACGGCACCTCCGTACCTTCAGGCTCTGATCAGTCCCTACACCCAAACGAGGTCATTGCGTTCATCCACCTCTGGCCTGCTGGCCCCCCTACCTCTGCGGAAGCACAGTTCCCGCTCAGCCCAGTCAAAACTGTTCGCTGCTCTGGCACCCCAATGGTGGAAAAAGCTCCCTCACGACGCCAGGACAGCGGAGTCACTCACCACCTTCCGGAGACACTTGAAACCCCACCTCTTTAAGGAATACCTGGGATAGGATAAAGTAATCCTTCTACACCCCTTACCCCACACCACCCCCAAGAAAAAAAAAAAAAAAAAAATAGTAAAGTGGTTATCCCACTGGCTATAAAGTGAATGCACCAATTTGTAAGCCGCTCTGGATAAGAGCGTCTGCTAAATGACGTAAATGTAAATGTATGTAAATGTTCATTTTCACGCCAGCCAGGTAGGCTATACTCCTGTTTTAAAGAGAAGCAATGTGCTTAATATCAGGAAAGTTGAGAAATAAATATAGTAGGCCTAGCCTATAGAAAGCTGATGGGATCCTCCTCTTTTTAATAGAGGCCATCACTCTGTTTTCTCACACAATTGCATAGCCTATAGAAATGTTGCGCAACATGAGCTCATGGGCTCTCATGAAGTGTTTGATTAAATGTTTGATGACATTTGCATTGATGTCCAAGTGATTAGAGGGACAATAGAGTGCTGAGTACCAGGCAGTTAGCAAGTTTGGTAGGCTACTAATGACCATCAGCAGCATCAGAGCTTGGAGAATCCTAATTACCGTGACTAAATGGTCACGTGGAATTTGACTGCCGTCATGACTCGTGACCGCTGGTGTGGCGGTAATACGGTCACCGTAACAGCCCTAGTCATGGCCAGAAGTGAACACTTACTGCAGTTGGCCTCGTCTGACCCGTCACGGCAGTCCACGACCTGGTCACAGTGCTGGGTCCTGTTATAACAGGCACTGTTGGCACACCTCAGCTCTGTACACTCTGGGTAGTCTGAGAGGGAAATAAACATGTCAAAACAGATGAAGACAAGTCAATCATACCCGACTGACATAGAACAAACCCATCTGTAGAATATTCAAAGAATTTAAGGAATAAGCATAAATTCCCTATAAAAATAATTTGTTTAGAGGTGCATAATGCTTTCCCTTTCAAATGTCAAATGTCTCTAGTAGTCTTAAACATTTCTCAAACATGAAATGTCTCAAATGTCAGTAGTCTTAAACATTCCTATATAAAGTTCTCAAGTATTAAGACAACCTTGCAATTACCCAAATGTAACAGTCTGCTGCTAGCAGATCATTATCTTAGCTGCTGCGTCGGCAGCTCTAACCCCCTTTTAATCTCATTAACAGTAGAACATATACCCTTAGATACTCCCCCATGAAGTCATGGTGGCAATTCACCTCTGAAATATAAAGCTCTGTACGGAATTATTCAGCCTGTAATGGTGCAAGAAAAATGCTAAAAGCTAATGGGAGGATAAAAACACTTTATTCTGCCGTTGTGAGATCACCAAATGTGCAGTGCTGTGAGTCTAACATGTCGGCACAATAATGGAATAGCAGCTGAACTTCAGCTTGACTAATCCCCAAGGAATCTGCAATCAACCTCTGACAACAAGAAGCATATTGTGGCCATTCTGTCAGTCAGCAAGCCTCTTAATCTTACAAATTGATTAAAATGCCACAGGAGCCTGAGGGAAGAAGGTAAGTAAGCCACACTGGGGAACTTACGGCAGTCTCTCTCGTCAGCCCCATCGGAGCAGTCGGGCAGCCGGTCACACCTGTACTCCCCTGGGATGCAGGCCCCATTGGTACAGCTGAACTGCCCACTGGAGCACGTCCTACCAGCTGCAGAGAGATTGAGGAGCAACTTAACCACAAGTGCAGCATTTCTCTACCCCCTTAATTGCCTTTGTCATTGATTTTTGCGTTAACATTTGTGGCACCTGTCACATTGGTGAGAATTCTAAATAAAACATGTTGTACACTGTATGGTCTACTCAGTACTTGCGTATTGATTTCCTCTATTGTAGAAAGTGTGAGAACTTACGACAGTGTTGTCTCTCATCTGAGCCGTCCTCACAGTCCTCTTCGTCGTCACAAACCCAGACATCTGGGATACACTCCCCGTCACTCAAGCACTGGAAATGACTCTCATCACATGTTACATGGGCTGAGGACACACACAGCACATCCCATTTTAGTCTCCACACTATCAGCAACAATAGTCAATATGTAGGTGAAGGTCTAAGTAAGACAATGCCAGGTGATTCTTCCTCAAGATAATTCTACGAAGCAACAGTTTTGCTGCTCTCAATACAATTTAACAGGGAAACGTGAGTAAATGTGACAAATCCTGATAACATGTAAAGGGAGAGGGTCAAAGTGCAGCCCAGTCCACTGTAAGATGAGAAGTTACTCACGGCAGTCGGCTTCATCAGAATCGTCTACACAGTCTAACGTTCCATCACAATGCCAGTGCTGTGGGATGCATCGGCCTGTCCCACACTGGAACTGCCCCGTCTCACAACCTTCACACAGGAGACACATTATTACTAAAGTTATCTTCATTCCATATTTTAGACCAATTCTCAGATACTATTTTGTAATACCTTCAGTCCCCAGGTGCATAATTCTTCATGATCTTAATCAGTTGATCATGATCATGTGTATTTCTAAACTAGGTCAGAAAAAATAAATAATTTCCTCTCAAATGTCCCTCTCTACTATAGTTAGTCCAATAAATTGATGGATATCTTTGTGTCTCTTATCAAAACATCTAAACAGATTTAAGTGTGTTTGGGAATGTCTCTTATTGATGAAGCATGGTGTTTACAGCATCGACAGGGCCTGGAGAAGAGCGTGCCAGCCATCCTCAAAACAGTTACTCAACCCTCAGCACACTCATCCCAAGCTTCCTTTTGATGTTCTCACTGAGTGGCATCTGAGGAGATAAGGTACCACCACTCTACCTTCCCTGAAGTTTTCCAGGAGATATCAACTGAGGCAGCATAGTTCAGTGGCAGAGCGCTCCGTCAGACCTGTCCGAATTGGAATGTACAATTCTCATTGTCTCTCTCTGACAACCTGATTTATGGTGCATGCTGTTCCTTGTCAGAAATGTAATTGGGATAAATAGTGGTACCAGGAGGTACCGCAACCCTTAAACCCAAATTCTTTGCTGAGGGAGATGTAAGGTGGTGGTTGGTGGTGCATGTCTGGGGTTGGTGGTCTACAGTGTCTTATCGACTACCTTTAAACACACTCCCTGCTTGGTCAAATATGTGCTGAAGAGAGAGGTTTTACATTGTGTCAACACCTCAGTTGCAAAACAAACTGAAGACTGTTCTAGAAACAAACAACACTGAGAAATATAATCAGTAATACAAATGACCTATGTTTTATTTCCAATCTATGAATCAAACACTGCCATCTGACCAATCAAATTACACACAAAACACACCCACATTTTTAAAAACCACATTACATTTCCAAACATTCGCAGTAAGATTTTTGGATACTGATTCATGACCAGTTTTCACATAACATAAATGTGTCAATGGGCGATATCCATAGATCATATGTTATACATGTATGAATACATGTATTGTGACTCCTAGAAGCAAATATGCAAGTAATCAGCTATTTCCATTGCATCAACTAGCTGTGCCATCACCAATCAGCATGTGCATTGGGTTTCTATTAGCACAACCTTTCACTTAGTGTTTCTCTCCCACTACAGCTATCAACAAATTACTTCAAATTCCAATGGCATAGGAGCATGTTACATGATAAGGACATGCAAAACAAGAAAACAGTGGTCAGTTGCAAACAAAAAGAAACCAACGTGTTGAATATACACCTACTGGACAATTTTGTAACAGAAAAAGCATTTTCAATCCGGTCAAACCATCTAGGCCTAATGCTAAACATGAGCTTTCATGAGATAAGGCACTGAACTAAGAATTAGTGTGATGTCATCCTTTGATCTTGTGCTGATAAGTTGAAATCTCTTAGGAAACTCCTGCCAACATACCCTCTGCCTTTTTATTCTTCTCATTTAAAAGAAACATAAAACGGATACAGCATCGGTTGCACAGGTCCTACTGACATTGATCCTTTAGCAGGACGTAGAGACACCAGGAGCTATTAAAGGCCAAGGTGGAATTGTTGGACACTGATATTATGAGTCGGCCTACTTAATTATAGAACAAGTCTGGCAAAGCATTTCCCTCTGACAGGTGAAAAAAGAGCACTTCCGATATGACCACTATTGAACCAAATGCTAAAAGCCAAGGGAAATCTTCCTTCTTTGTCAAACACCTAGTCCCGTGTAGCTCAGTTGGTAGAGCATGGCGTTTGCAACGCCAGGGTTGTGGGTTCGATTCCCACGGGGGGCCAGTATGAAAATAAAATATAAAAAAATGTATGCACTCACTAACTGTAAGTCGCTCTGGATAAGAGCGTCTGCTAAATGACTAAAATGTAAAATGTAAACAGACATACAATGTAATGAATTGAATTGGAAAATCGCAGCCCATTCAGTCGACAAATGTTGTGTGAGCAGGCACTTTATTATAGGCAAGTCAGTAGTTTATCATCTCTTTTATGTAATGTGCTCTTCAAAGATGGATCACTTCCACTTGAATTGTGGGGTCATGACTGTGCTACGGCACTAAAAGCCTTGTGAGGGGCTTCTCATATCATGAGGTCTTGTCTCAGATGAATTAGCCGACACCACCAAACTGCTTTTAAACTACGCCAGCCAAAGGGGCTTCATATTTAACTCATTCAGCAGCCAATTGAGAAGCAAGCTTTTTTCCTACTCAGTTTACTAATGAGAAAATTGCTTCCCCATTAGCTCAAAGGGTGCCTTTGTTGAGAGGCAATGATCCGGGAGGTTTCAGCATCATCTGTAACATGCAGGTAAGACAAACAGTGCATGCAGTATCGGAGCAGCACAGTGACACCACTGAAAGACATTTGGGTTTAGCTCTGTACCCCTGAACAGACAGTCAGTGGTCTCATGCTCCATGACATTACGATCATTATAAGATCAACTCTGAATATGTAATATTTGACAATATATGGTAGATATCAGACAAAAATCATGGGTGTACTGACAACTTCAAGGATAATACTGAAAATAATGATACATTTTGTCTAATGAGACTTCCACAAAGACCCTAATTAAAAAAAAAACATGATCACTCGTTGCTTGACCCACAAATAGGATTGCATGTAGTATCAATATCCACCAGCTTATCAACAAAACCAACATATTTTTTAAAAGAGAAAAATACTAGAAGTGTCTTTAAGCATCAATGGACTTCAAGTTCAGAGGAAGGACACTCCTGAGGCCTCCTAGCAACAATGGCAATGTTCATAATCCCTGTTCATAATCCCTGTCTGCTATGCATTAGGTTAACAGCTTTCAACAACCTTTGCCAAAAGGAAACCAATCTTCTGAGACATTCAAATGAAGCCAGTGTTTCCTGACAGTATCAGTTCTGGGAAAGGTGACTGGCCGACTAAAGTGGACTTTTAAATGAATGCTCTTACATTCAGCCATAGTCTTTTTTTATGTCATCTGATTTACTATTCCTTCAGGAATAAATTGGTAAATAGTTTATTTTTTAAGGCGAAATGTAACAACACTGATCAAAATACGGGCAATTTGACTGTCAGTCAATTTCTATTAAAATAAACTTAAGAGAAAAGTGGCCAATATGCTGCAAATAAGCTCTTAAGAATGTGGTGTCTAAGGATTGGTACTTTTTCGTTAGTGTCTTTGTTTAGCCTGTTTTGTTTAGTTTGGTGTTTTCTTTTTGTCCCTCTCTCTGACCATGTCTTTTGTAATTAGCCATCTTAAACCCACAGCAGGCGAGAACCTCACACTATCCACAGAGAAAGATAAGGACGCCCTACTACTGCCAAACAAAGAGGAGCAGCAGAGGAATTTTCATTCGAATGAAGCCTGCCAATGCCTCAGACCCCACTGTGAAATCACAATGGCACAATGGAAGAGCCAGCAGGGCTGCAACCTCATAACTGGAAGTGTCACCACGCCAATGGGACTATGGAGAGGGATAGCAGAATGCAGAATACAGTATAGCTTCCTGCAAAAAAAGTTTAACAGAAGCCCCCCCCAAAAATTTTTTTTTAAAATCTTGGCCCTTCCCCAAAACATCTCTTTCCAATCATGTGGGGGCCCCTGAAAGAGGTGTAGCCTCTTTCATCAATACCGCCTTGTTTTTGTGCGTCCCCTCGCACTCTCTGAATGTGTGTCTAGAAAACGGCTGGCAGCGTGGAGCGCTGGATCCATCCATGCTGTTAGAGCGAAGTGCTGCTCCATTTCATATGGAAATCAATTCAACAGAATGCAGTCAATTGCTGAACAACTGACTTTGGCTCTTACTGCCACACACAAAACAGAGAAAAGCCCAAGGGAGTTTGGTACTGGCACAGGTACAAAAGGAGACAATACATAGTGAGTGAGGAATGAAGCTGTACTTCTAATTCTTACTTTTAAAAAACTTTTATAAAGTTTTAATACATTTGTAAAGCTACATTTGACTAGAAATGTGTAGAAAGCAGCAGAAATTGAGATGTTACACTGCACTTCTGCAGGAGGTCAAATGTTTTTGTTCACACTGCCTATGACAAACTGTCACTCAATACACCATGAGCATTGTTAGCCTAAACATTGCACCCTATGCATCACATAATAGTCTGGGACCTGGGTTGAGAGTGCTGTATAATGGGAAAGGATTAGTCTTTCATTTGAGTCAACTGTGCTAACTTCTGTTCCCCTTTCCAATACAGCGTTAACGTTGCTCACGGATTTACACCAGAAAAGGCTGCAGCATCTTTAAGATTTAGCACGCGTATGCTGGCCGAAGTTTTCTGTGCCTTGTCAAATTTCAACATCAACCCACAAGTGTTTGTTGTTGTGCTATAACACAAATTAACTAATAATAGGTTAGGATCAATTAATGTGAGCAACAAACTGAAAACACCTATTTGAGTTAGTAGGGGAAATGTTCATAAGCCAACCCCATATCCCCCTGTTCTAGACATCGTGTGTAACACTGACACAGAACATCTTGTTTATCCTGGTTTAATTGTATATGTTTTTTTCTAATTCAAATCATGCATTTTTTTCACAAGATCCTGAATGACCAAGGCTGTTTGTGGCAAATTATTGAGGTTTGAAAGGCACTTAGCCCCAATATTCAAGCAATTAACCTGCAAAAACATGTTTTGAACGGCCACAATCAAATCTAATCTAATCAAATTTTATTGGTCACATATATTTAGCAGCTGTTATTGCGGGTGTAGTGAAATGCTTGTCACCAAGTCCAGTTCCTTTGTTACCTATTACTGTAACATTAAATCACCCTACAAGTGTGCCACATTAACCATTATGTCGACACAGGTGTTTTACAACACTTTTAAAGCCTCTTGATAATAAGCCACAAAAGACTGTCTGTCACACATTAAATTATCATCAAGTTGAGCCACATTAGCTTTGGTGAAACTTTGACAGGGCAAAAATGAGTGTGAACCCTATCCCTGGAGGACCCAGTGGAAATTAGGCTCAATGGATTAGAGAAAGTAACCTGTCCTCCAAGGCCCTTTTAGTCATTTCCTCTCAAACGCATGCTGGCTAAATCTGGATTAATTCAACCATTCCTGCCTCAAATTTCTGAGGAGATCAACAAGTGCCATGATGCAAAACTGCAAAAGATGCTGGAAGTGCATGAGGCTCTGTTGCTAGTCAATGCATTTAAAACTTGGTATATACTGAAATAGACAACATTGATTACCTGTTGACTTGAATGTCTTTTTAAACTACGACGACACAAATCTTTGGTACATCATTGTTCATTTTTAAGGGACAAGCCTGCTAATTACTAACTTGAAAACGCTGGCAAAGGCCTGATTTGATTCAATATTATAATTAATTTTGGCGAAGACCATGCTCATAGCCTCAGCTTGTAGAGATCACTTCCATATTATGTACTACAAAATGCCACTGGATAATTACAATTGTTAAAATTGATTAAGATACGTGCTGTTTTTTTTCTCATTTATTTTGTCATACTTTCTTATTTTGTATAGTCTTGGAATGTAGCCTATATAGAGCAATGCAGCTAAAACATTAAGAAGAAACATACAGCCTATTTAGCCTGGGATGGTTCCATCTGAGGTTGTAAGAACTTTCCCCTTGTTGTTTACATGCACTCTTTTGCCTGTTGTTGCTTAGGTAGAAATGGTCGCTTTCAGCAGCAGCTGCAGCGTAATTAGTTGCTTGATTCACACTAAGGAGCTTACATACTAAGGGTTGAGCAAAAAGAAAGCAGATTACAATTTGAGCAGTAGGGTATAGGCTACACCAGTATGCAAGAGACAAAGATAACAGTATTTCAGATCTATCAAGCAAGGTATATGACTAGTTTCTACAACAGGAAAGGAAAGGAAAATGGGTCCTTGAATTAAGGCTATATAATTAGTTATCATCTATTGAGGTTTTGCACTAGGCAAGCCGTTGAGTTCCTCTGAATAAGATTTGTACCAGTAGTTTGCAGTCCACACAGATTGTCTGCAAGTCACATGCTCACTTCTGTTACCTAGCAACGACAAAGCTCAGGCAAAAGTTCTCCAAGAGAGAACTTCAAATCTGTCTGAGGGAGGCTTTGTGCTCAATACAAGCTTTAATAATGTTTAGAGTGGAATAGTTTTGATAAAGAAGTCAAATATTGTAAACTATATTAAAATAATTCTGTATTTATTGGTTGCAAAAAAAATTGTTGTAGAGCTGGGGAAATAACTGGCCAAGTAGTTGGTAAGATTTGCCACAATAAATTCAGATTTTTTTATATAGAAAGTACTCCGGTACTACTTTATAAAAACATAAATGTATGTTTTGTCACATACACTGGATAGGTGCAGTGAAATGTGTTGTTTTACAGGGTCAGCCATAGTAGTACCGCCCCTGGAGCAAATTAGGGTTAAGTGCCTTGCTCAAGGGCACATCAACAGATTTGTCACCTTGTCGGCTCAGGTATTCGAACCAGCGACCTTTCGGTTACTTACTGGCCCAACGCTCTAACCGCTAGGGCCTTTCACTTCAAAAAGGCCAAGCATTGCACAAACATGGCTAAATGGCTTGTTTTTTTACTTATAGATAGCCAAATTAGATGATTGTTTGCCTATCAACATCTTAGCTGAGTAAAGTATGTCTTCAAAAAACATATCCAATAACTACAAATCAGGCCACTCTGCCACATAGGTGTTATTGGTGTCTATGTACCAATGGTTTACATTTTCTCATCCAGGGCAGATATAGGCTACACAAACAACTCTCAGCAGGTTCACAATTAATAAAGGCTGTGTTTAGGTGAGTTTAGGATACTCTTACCTTGTGAATGACACCGGAAAGTACAGAAAATCAATATAACAAGAAGTTTTGCAAGCACTGCTCTCCACATTCTGATGCTGGGTCCCGGCTGGTCTGTCCAGCTCCTCATGAAGCCTGGCAGATGGAGGTGCTCTAGGGACTGGGATGCTGTTGCTTGCCTCTCTCTTTCTTGTCCCGCTAGTTGATGAAAAGGGGCGTACACAAAGCCAGAGACGGTCGCTCCCCCAACCCCGGCCCTCCCGATAAAACCCTTAAACCGCGCGCCCTGGAATATGCATAATTCCATTGCCCGGGCTGTCTCATCTACACGTGATCTACACATTGCGTTGTCCATCAGACAGCTAGGTAGGCCCTAATGGTGGCAACATTAGTGAAATAATAACGCAGCATTTTGTTGTCTAAAACATATAGAATAATTACTTTCGATGTAAATCAAAATAACATGGATTAGCCTAAAATGCACATTCGCAAATAATTCCCTGGAGCCAACATTTTTTAAAAGCTGAATTGAAAGATTTATGTCCCAGGTCCTAAACGTGTATTTATTTACTGTTTATCTATTTACTATTTATTTAGTAGCCTATTTGATTAACTCAGTAGCAAGCAAACAAAAAAACACAACTGTTGCTGCTCTTCTACCATTATATTGTAGCTTAAGTTTTATCCACACATGATCTTTCACATCCAGTGAGTGATGTCGAAAATGAATAAGACAATTATTTGTCATAAGAGTAAAATAGACGAATCAATTATAGGTTACGTTGTTGCCACAGCACTGTAGAATGTTATTTTTGTTCTGACTGAAGGGGCTCAACGTTATTCAGCTTCAGGGTGACCTTGGTGTGTTGGTACGGGACTACACCGGGGTCAAGGCTCGCCTCAATTACATGGGGGCAGGATCAACATTTCAAGGCATGATAAATGGCAAAAAAGCTGTAAAATGAGACGAAATCGACTAATCAATAAATATAGGCCTGCAAGTTGGATCACTATTTAATCCTGTAAATTACAGCCTATTAATCACATACTTTAGGTCTACAACCAAGGTTTCACCCAATAAGTCAATTGAATATCCCAAAATTGTTTTATTTCAAATAGAAAATGTGCCTCAAGCCTTGCACTTTCGCTCTTTTTCGTAAAAATGTTTTGATGTGCTGCATATCATGCATAGCCTAATACATAAAGTGTTATTGTTTTTGTACTCCTCGAGAACTATCTATTTGTATACATTGCTTTTAAATATTCGTGTTACGGAAATCCCGAAGGATTGGGTCTGGGACCATGTTTGCGGGTCACTTTAGATGGGCCTCACGTTTCGATGTGTTGCATGCAAATCCACTTATGAGAGGCGCAGCAGCCCCATCAGGTGGTGCAGAGGAGGAAATTCCACCTGCGGCGCGCCGTTTAAAATTACACCTGCAACATTTCCGAACAATGTAATGTAGCATTCCTTTTCCATTTCCCTTGTGCATTTGGGTCGAGCTGTATAATTCCGTGGCTCATGTCTTTGGCGCAAGCCAATTATCAAAATAAATACATAAAAAAATCAACTACGTTGTTATAAATTTAACAATTCTGGTCAAACATGATTAATGTTGGTGTATGCCACTGCTCACAGAAAATGGTGAGAGGAAAATGTAAAGAGGAGGGGAGAAAATGGTTTCCTCTAGGCAACTAAAATGACAGTTGCCAGTAGCAACAGCTGAAACTTTGTGGCTCTCCAACAAGACCCATTCTAAAAGACTCGTTGAAGTAGTAACGTTAAGTGAACGAAACTGATTTACGCACCTCCAAGCTCGTATACCTTTTTCTAAAGAAGGCAGTCGACATGGCATCACCCCACAGCAGTCCAAAAGACCTAAGGAAGATGATAAGAGACACCAAACAGGTAAGAAACAGTACCAGGTTATTATAATTTCAAGAAACATCGACGTCCGGCAATGCCAGATTCATGCTACTGTAACTAGCTAGCGAGCTAACGTTAACCATCTACTCGTAATCATTAGCAGTAAAGCAAGTTTTGTTTTGCATTATTTAGCCACATGTGTGTATGGATCTCTGAAGACCGCATGGCCCATCTTATTGGCATATACATTTAAATTCCTTCGAACTAATGTATATAGCTAGCTAATTGACAGACTAACTGTCTGTTGTTCACTTGCTCCAGGCTGCTGGCACTTGCAGACTGGAAATGTTAACTACAATGTTCCAAATGATTGGAAACAAATTGTTTTCTCGTGGAACTCGAGTCTTAGTGGAAGTACAATGTTGCAATATTGTTGACAGGTAGAAAGGAAACTTTGGTTTGGGAGGATTTTGGAGTCGATGGGCATATAAATAGATTTTTAAGATGGGGATACATCAATAAATGGGAGGACACAGAGGAGGTACAACATAACATTTTGGTTGGTGTAAAATGCATGTGGTGCAACTTGGTAGTTGGGGTTCTCAGATAGTCGGCTGTATGTGCAACCGAGAGTAGAGCCTGCATGGTCGTCACTAGTTACCACGCCTATTTCAAAAAATGTTCGTCTTAAAATGTGATTTTAAAGGTAACCACACTGCTAACCTTATGCCAAACCTTAAATGAAGACCACATATATAAACGTTTTACTTTGTGGCTGTGGTAGCTAGTGGACACCAGCCTGACTGGACTAGGACCAGTTAAGCCAAAGGATGTACTGCTACGACCCTTGGGCCAAGTGCAGCTTAAAAACAGTGTTAAAGTGGCCTGCGACATTTATACAATTATATGAAATGTGGCCAACAAGAGAAAATAAAACACAAAACATTTTGGTGCTGGTAATGTTTTATAACTACAGGACCTTTTAGGTACGTAGTGACGTGGTGGAATCTAAGAAAATTGCCTCAGATGGGTGTTTTTATAGCAAGAGAGACCTGGTTAACAGTATCACTGTAACATGAGTGCCTAATGTAAGTCAACTAGGCTAGGCTACATGTCTATACATTTCACCTGACTTATTTTCTCCTCCAGGACATGGACGATGTCCACACGTCTTTAGAGAAACTGCGTGGCCTTTCCCTGGAAGAGAGGACGGAGTCAGGGATGCTGCGGTCAAGGATAGACGAGCAATCAAGTTTGATTTGCATTTTGAAACAAAGAGCCGATGACATGCTCCTTCGTTGTCAAGCTCTCGAGCAGATCAACTCAGAGTTAGAACACCTGAGTGCAGACGTACAGACCAAACTTGACAATGAAAAGAAGAAATCCATGCAGTTAGAGCAAAGATTTATGGATCTGGCAGCTAACCATCAGGAGCTGATACATTTCAAGGATGAGTACAAAAGACAGAATGCCAAACTAAAACAGGAGAACGAACGACTTCAGGAAGAGAACGATAATATTTTCTCTAAAGACTTACAATACAAAGAAGCAGTTATTTTGAAACTAACACAAGAATTGAGAGACCTTGCTGAGCAACATAGAAGTCTTGATAATGAATATCAGTAAGAATGCGCCATTTGTTTTTCTATTTAGATTTATTGCTGCATTTAGTAAATGTTGACTGACTTCATCCGATTGTTCAATGTAGGAGTGTTATAACAATAGGTATATATTTTTTCCCAACAGGGGAAAAACAACTGGATTCCAGACCAAACTTAAAGGGCTCATGGGTCTCCATCAAACTAAGGAGGCGTCCTTACAAGATGAATTGCATGATGCTCAAAGACAGCTGAGGGATGCAGTGGAGATGTGCACAGGTGAGTTTGGCTGTATAACTCTGTGTCCCAAAAAAACGTATTTCCTAAATGAGAAATATGACCGCTTTTCTAATGTCTCTTGACCAGAACTTGATCAACAGCTTAAAAAAGCAAGAGAAAATTATTCATTGAAAGAGACACAGATGCAGAAAAAAATGGAGGTCTTGGCCAAGGAAAAGGACAAATTCTTGGATCTATCGATGCAAAGGGGTAAACTAATACAGGTAATGCATAACATACATAATTTTTTTTAAACAGAATGTCGCTTTTAACTACACATGGAAGCAGTTCAGCCAATTCATAATATTTCTGCCTTTTGAAAGGATAAACAGGTGGAAATCCAGCAGTTGGAGACAAAAAGGCAAGAGGTCGAAAAAAACAGGGCTGCTGCAGAAGAAAGGTATGTATATAATAGTTTAAAGGTCCAGTGCAGTCAAAAATTTGATTTTCCCGTGTTTTTATATATATATATATATATATATATATATATATATATATATATATATATATACAGTACCAGTCAAAAGTTTGGACACACCTACTCATTCAAGAGTTTCTTTATTTTTACTATTTTTACATTGTAGAATAATAGTGAAGACATCAAAACTATGAAATAACACATATGGAATCATGTAGTAACCAAAAAAGTGTTAAACAAATCAAAATATATTTTATATTTGAGATTCTTCAAATAGCCACCCTTTGCCTTGATGACAGCTTTTCACACTCTTGACATTTCAAGAACTTTGAACGTTTCTTCAAGTGCAGTTGCAAAAACCATCAAGCGCTATGATGAAACTGGCTCTTATGAGGACCGCCACAGGAATGGAAGACCCAGAGTTACCTCTGCTGCAGAGGATAAGTTCATTAGAGTTACCAGCCTCAGAAATTGCAGCCCAAATAAATGCTTCACGGAGTTCAAGTCACAGATACATCTCAACATCAACTGTTGAGAGGGGACTGTGTGAATCAGGCCTTCATGGTCGAATTGCTGCAAAGAAACCACTACTAAAGGACACCAATAAGAAGAGACCTGCTTGGGCTAAGAAACACGAGCAATGGACATTAGACCGGTGGAAATTTGTCCTTTGGTCTGGAGTCCAAATTTGAGATTTTTGGTTCCAACCGCTGTGTCTTTGTGTGGGTGAACGGATGATCTCCGCGTGTGTAGTTCCCACCGTAAAGCATGGAGGAGGAGGTGTTATGGTGTGGAGGTGCTTTGCTGGTGACACTGTCTGTGATTTATTTAGAATTCAAGGCACACTTAACCAGCATGGCTACCACAGCATTCTGCAGCGATACGCCATCCCATCTGGTTTGGGCTTAGCGGGACTATCATTTGTTTTTTCAACAGGGCAATGACCCAACACACCTCCAGGCTGTGTTAGGGCTATTTTACCAAGAAGGAGAGTGATGGAGTGCTGCATCAGATGACCTGGCCTCCACAATCCCCCGACCTCAACCCAATTGAGATGGTTTCGGATGAGTCGGACGCCAGAGTGAAGGAAAAGCAGCCAACAAGTGCTCAGCATATGTGGGAAGTCCTTCAAGACTGTTGGAAAAGCATTCCAGGTGAAGCTGGTTGAGAGAATGTAAAGAGTCCACAAAGCTGTCATCAAGGCAGGGTAGCTATTTGAAGAATCTCAAATATAAAATATATTTTGATTTGTTTAACACTTTTTTGGTTACTACATGATTCCATATGTGTTATTTCATCGTTTTGATATCTTCACTATTATTCTACAATGTAGAAAATAGTAAAAATAAAGAAAAACCCTTGAATGAGTAGGTGTGTCCAAACTTTTGACTGGTAGTGTATATTTCCACACTATGAAGTTGGAGTAATACTGTGAAAATTATGATAATGCCCGTTTAGTGTAAGAGCTGTTTGAAAAGACAGCATAGACATTTTTGCCTGTTTTGGTAGGATGGAGTTTTGGCCTGCCTGGTGATATAGTTAATAGAACAATAAGAAAGGGTGTTCCAAACCTCTCCCCACTCAGACCACTCCCAGACAGTCATAGTAAAATCCTTGCTTGAGAAATTGGTCTTGCTAAGAAGCTATTTGTGGTTCTATTTTTATGATTTTGATTGAAAACAATCACAGTAAGGTACTTAATTGTTACCCAGAAATGATTTGATATTGAGATAAAAACGGCTGCATTTGGGCCTTTAAAATGAAGTCCAACACTGGCATGTATATCAAAGATCTCTCTGCTTTAGGTTTGAAAGAGAGGCAGCTGTGGTGAACACTAATTTGAAAGTCAAAGCACTCCAGCACGCTCTTGATCAGTCTGTGAACACTTGCAACAAGCTGAAGAAGGTTAGTTGAAATGTGGAAAATGAATGATGTATATAAAACCTGGATTGCTAATGCTATGTATTGGCCATTGAGAGGCTTTGAAGCCACCGGTTGGCCATATTGGCACTCCCCAGTAGGAGCAGTCCTCCATAGGAATCAATGGACTTCTACAGTATTTCAATTAAATGTATCAAGGACAAAATTACATATACATATATATGTTATTTTTTTTGTAGTGGGGACAGTACTATTAGTAATCTCTTAAATGTATACTTTAAATAAAATGTTTTTCCATTTTTTTCTATTTTATGTTTATTTCACATAATATAATTTAAAAGTATCCATGAAGCTGTCTGTAATAGAATAAATGTGTCAAAAACGAATGTAGACATTAATAAATGCATTTCTATAGCTTTGAAAATATTTTTTGCAATGGTGGGGGAGTGCCAAGATGGAGGCACGGTGGCTTCAACACAGCGCCATCTATCAGTGATCTAGTGTACATATAAATCATTATGAAAAACATTGCAATATTGCAAAATAGAAGTGCCATCGTGCTCAATTATATACAATTATTTCATAGGATTTTGAAGCCTATAAAAACCACAGCACCGACCTGCTTGAAAAGGAAAAGGAGTTAAATGCCAAGCTGCGCCATATGATTGGCTAAGACTACCATTCCATCCAACCATTCACTGATGTAATAAGATAGAGTATGAATTTGCTTATCTTTTTTTACAATAAAACAAATTCATATTTTGAATTTACTGCTGTTCACTTAGTCACATTAAACCGATTAGACTTGTGATTCAGGATTTTCATTTGTTGATGGTTTAGGAAGTAGCAAAGTATTTATCCCCTATCAGGTAGAATTGGAAAATAACAAATATTTACCACAAAGAATCTTTTGCACACCACAAGCAACATCATAGTGCTCAGATCCAATGTTTGGGTCAATGATACGACCAGTACAGTATAATCCAGGGAGTCCACAGCAGGATGGATACCCAGCTCAGCAATAGCACGGGTTGCATCAAAGTGGTGATCGAAAGTAGTGGCAGGGGCAGGGTCAGTCAAGTCATCAGCGGGCATATACAGTGGGGGAAAAAAGTATTTAGTCAGCCACCAATTGTGCAAGTTCTCCCACTTAAAAAGATGAGAGAGGCCTGTAATGTTCATCATAGGTACACGTCAACTATGACAGACAAATTGAGAAAAAAATCCAGAAAATCACATTGTAGGATTTTTAATGAATTTATTTGCAAATTATGGTGGAAAATAAGTATTTGGTCACCTACAAACAAGCAAGATTTCTGGCTCTCACAGACCTGGAACTTCTTCTTTTAAGAGGCTCCTCTGTCCTCCACTCGTTACCTGTATTAATGGCACCTGTTTGAACTTGTTATCAGTATAAAAGACACCTGTCCACAACCTCAAACAGTCACACTCCAAACTCCACTATGGCCAAGACCAAAGAGCTGTCAAAGGACACCAGAAACAAAATTGTAGACCTGCACCAGGCTGGGAAGACTGAATCTGCAATAGGTAAGCAGCTTGGTTTGAAGAAATCAACTGTGGGAGTAATTATTAGGAAATGGAAGACATACAAGACCACTGATAATCTCCCTCGATCTGGGGCTCCACGCAAGATCTCACCCCGTGGGGTCAAAATGATCACAAGAACGGTGAGCAAAAATCCCAGAACCACACGGGGGTACCTAGTGAATGACCTGCAGAGAGCTGGGACCAAAGTAACAAAGCCTACCATCAGTAACACACTACGCCGCCAGGGACTCAAATCCTGCAGTGCCAGACGTGTCCCCCTGCTTAAGACAGTACATGTCCAGGCCCGTCTGAAGTTTGCTAGAGTGCATTTGGATGATCCAGAAGAGGATTGGGAGAATGTCATATGGTCAGATGAAACCAAAATAGAACTTTTTGGTAAAAACTCAACTCGTCGTGTTTGGAGGACAAAGAATGCTGAGTTGCATCCAAAGAACACCATACCTACTGTGAAGCATGGGGGTGGAAACATCATGCTTTGGGACTGTTTTTCTGCAAAGGGACCAGGACGACTGATCCGTGTAAAGGAAAGAATGAATGGGGCCATGTATCGTGAGATTTTGAGTGAAAACCTCCTTCCATCAGCAAGGGCATTGAAGATGAAACGTGGCTGGGTCTTTCAGCATGACAATGATCCCAAACACACCACCTGGGCAACGAAGGAGTGGCTTCGTGAGAAGCATTTCAAGGTCCTGGAGTGGCCTAGCCAGTCTCCAGATCTCAACCCCATAGAAAATCTTTGGAGGGAGTTGAAAGTCTGTGTTGCCCAGCGACAGCCCCAAAACATCACTGCTCTAGAGGAGATCTGCATGGAGGAATGGGCCAAAATACCAGCAACAGTGTGTGAAAACCTTGTGAAGACTTACAGAAAACGTTTGACCTGTGTCATTGCCAACAAAGGGTATATAACAAAGTATTGAGAAACTTTTGTTATTGACCAAATACTTATTTTCCACCATAATTTGCAAATAAATTCATAAAAAATCCTACAATGTGATTTTTTGGAGAAAAAAAATCTAATTTTGTCTGTCATAGTTGACGTGTACCTATGATGAAAATTACAGGCCTCTCTCATCTTTTTAAGTGGGAGAACTTGCACAATTGGTGGCTGACTAAATACTTTTTTTTCCCCACTGTAGATGGCCTGTTAATTTTTAAATAAAAATAATCTTCAAAATGAAGAAGTAAGGCATTTAAGAAAGGGAAAGTACGTATTTATTTTATGTGCTCCTTACCTGTACCGAGGTGATGGAACCCTTTTTGGTGGTGGTGATTCTCTCCTGCATGGTACCCATGTCTGTGGCCAGGGTACAGGCTGGTAGCCTACAGCAGAGGGGATACGACCCAACAAGCCAGTCACCTGAGAGAGAGAGAAGGCCTCATTTAAAAAGGACCATCAAATCAGAGTGGACAATGGGTTTATGGACAAAGCATTGCAAGATGCTTCAACTGCAGCACTTGGGTGGTGCATTATAAAAACCCAGTTTGACCATTCCTTATCTTCTTCCTTCCTTGCAGTACCAAGGGGGTTGTGGGAGGATAATTTGATGGGGTGTGAACAGGTTGTGTATTAGCATTATTGTACTTATTGTATGCCATTCAGTTTGTAATTGAAAAAATCTTTAATAAATGTTTTTATTAAAGATATAAGATATTTATGTCAAATAAAATAAAATGTTATTTGTCACATGCTTCGTAAACAACAGGTTTAGACTAACACTGAATTGTTTACTTATGGGCCCTTACCAACAATGCAGAGAGAAAGAAAATAGAGAAATAATAGAAAAGTAAAACACGTAATAATAAATACACAATGAATAACGATAACTTGGCTATGTACACAGGGTACCAGTACCGAGTCGATGTGCAGGGGTCCGAGGTAATCTAGGCAGATATGTACATATAACTAGGAATAAGTGACAGATAAAAAACAGTAGCAGCAGCGTATGTGATGAGTCAAAAAAGTTGGTGCAAAAAGGGTCACATGCAGATAGTCCAGGTACAGTTGAAGTCGGACGTTTACATACACCTTAGCCAAATACATTTAAACTCAGTTTTTCACAATTCCTGACATTTATTCCTAGTAAATATTCCCTGTCTTAGGTCAGTTAGGATCACCACTATATTTTAAGAATGTGAAATGTCAGAATAATAGTAGAGAGAATTATTTCTTTCAGCTTTTATTTCTTTCATCACATTCCCAGTGGGTCAGAAGTTTACATACACTCAATTAGTATTTGGTAGCATTGCCTTTAAATTGTTTAACTTGGGTCAAACGTTTCGGGTAGCCTTCCACAAGCTTTCCACAATAAGTTGGGTGAATTCTGGCCCATTCCTCCTGACAGAGCTGGTGTAACTGAGTCAGGTTTGTAGGCCTCCTTGCTCACACACGCTTTTTCAGTTTTGCCCACACATTTTCTATAGGATTGAAGTCAGGGCTTTGTGATGGCCACTCCAATACCTTGACTTTGTTGTCCTTAAGCCATTTTGCCACAACTTTGGAAGTATGCTTGGGGTCATTGTCCATTTGGAAGACCCACTTGCGACCAAGCTTTAACTTCCTGACTGATGTCTTGAGATGTTGCTTCAATATATCCACATAATTTTCCTTCCTCATGATGCCATCTATTTTGTGAAGTGCACCAGTCCCTCCTGCAGCAAAGCACCCCCACAGCATGATGCTGCCATGTTCTTCGGCTTGCAAGCCTTCCCCTTTTTCCTCCAAACATAACGATGGTCATTATGGCCAAACAGTTCTAATTTTGTTTCATCAGACCAGAGGACATTTCTCCAAAAAGTACGATCTTTGTCCCCATGTGCAGTTGCAAACCGTAGTCTGCCTTTGTTATGGCGGTTTTGGAGCAGTGGCTTCTTCCTTGCTGAGCGGCCTTTCAGGTTATGTCGATATAGGACTAGTTTTACTGTGGATATAGATACTTTTGTACCCGTTTCCTCCAGCATCTTCACAAGGTCCTTTGCTGTTGTTCTGGGATTGATTTGCACTTTTTGCACCAAAGTACGTATGACGGCTGCGTGGCCCCATTGTGTTTATACTTGCTATTGTTTATACAGATGAACGTGGTACCTTCAGGCGTTTGGAAATCGCTCCCAAGGATGAACCAGAGTTGTGGAGGTCATTTTATTCTGAGGTCTTGGCTGATTTCTTTTGATTTTCCCATGATGTCAAGCAAAGAGGCACTGAGTTAGAAGGTAGGCCTTGAAATACATCCACAGGTACACCTCCAATTGACTCAAATGATTTCAATTAGCCTATCAGAAGCTTCTAACGCCATGACATCATTTTCTGGAATTTTCCAAGCTGTTTAAAGGCACAGTCAACTTAATGTATGTAAACTTCTGACCCACTGGAATTGTGATACAGTGAATTATAAGTGAAATAATCTGTCTGTAAACAATTGTTGGAAAAATTACTTGTGTCATGCACAAAGTAGATGTCCTAACCGACTTGCCAAAACTATAGTTTGTTAACAAGAAATTTGTGGAGTGGTTGAAAAACGAGTTTTAATGACTTCAACTGTAGCTTCTTACTTTCTCATGTTCTTCTTATTTGTATTTATTATGTGTTTTTGTTCTACCTTATGTTATTTTTAGGGCTACATTGATGTTGATTACTGCATTGTTGGGTTTGGAGCTTGCAAGAAAGGCATTTCACTGTACTTGAAACTTGAAACAGTCAGACCAGTCAGGGCAACTCTGGCACTAGCCAAAACTACTTGAGGTTCATTCTTCCTCTCAAGTCGAAAAGCTTTGCTGCCAAAATGTGCAGTTTTGTCACACACCACAGTGCCACAGATGTCTCAAGTTTTGAGGGAGCGTGCGATTGACATGCTGAGTGCAGGAATGCCCACCAGAGCTGTTGCCAGAGAATGTAAAATTCATTTCTCTACCATAAGCCACCTCCAAAGTCATTTTAGAGAATTTGGCAGTTCGTGCAACCGGCCTCACAACTGCAGACCACGTGTAACCACACCAGCCCAGGACCTCCACATCCGGCTTCTTCACCTGTGGGATCGTCTGAGACCAGCCACCTGGACAGCTGATGAAACTGAGGAGTATTTCTGTCTGTAATAAAGCCCTTTTGTCAGG